AGATTTTCGGATCGCAGCTGCCGCGCGGGGGAGCCCGCCGTCCATTGTAAGGGTTGAGACCGCAAGCCGGTCAGTGATTGTGGCCATCGAAGCATTGCCTAGGTAGGTCGGCGGCAGTGGCGGGCTCGCGCGGCTCCGAATGTTGACTGCAAATAGCAGGGCCGAAGTTTCCTGGCCACTCAAGGGGCCAGGAGAAGCGCCCGGAAACCGCCGGGCTAGTGTCATGTGCCGCCAGAGAAAGGCGCAAAGAGCGTCGTGGGTAGAAAAGGCTGCTGCGGCAGTCTTGAGGCCTGCGAGCGATTCTGTTGAAAAGTAGAAAATGTGCGCCCCCATGGGGGGTAGTTGTAAGGGCATCGGAGGCATTGGCTGTGTTTGCATGTTGTCACTGGTTGGGAGCCTATACTCCGGGAAATCAATCACGTTCGCTCCCGGCGTGCCTTCCATAAGAGGGCTGCGATCGTTTGACTGGGCATCATATGTGGTGAAGGAGTTGGAGCCGCTGACTGCAGCAGTGTTTTGAGACCAAATGCTGATGATGGTGTCCAATGCCGAGGCATCACACACAGAGTGATGGACTCCGACCGTTAGCAGAAGCCCATTTTCGATGAAGTTGGCTTGAGCCGCCATTACCGGCTGCGAAGCTTCTGGAAAGGCGCCTATTGGGCCAAGCTGTGCAGTCAACAGCCTGGAGAGTGGAAAATGCTCTTGCTTCAGCTCCTCGTATGATGGGAGAATTCCTGTGAGATCTTTGAATCTATTAAAACGTTGATGTTAGCTATGAATGTTAGCATTCCGAAGGAGACACTCACGGAAATTTGACGCCGCCTGACGAATCCACGATCTGAATTCTATTATCCGCCGGGTTGGATCCTTGCTCGGGCCCCTTTAATGGGAGAGCGCTAGGTCAGCAATCGTATAGAGGAGAAATGGCTGGACAATGAAATTCACACACTCGAGTCAAGTCTAGGGGAGTGAATACTAACAACGTTACCAGCAAGCCACGGAATAGATTTGATAGTGTGCGCTAATCCAACAGACAACTCCTCATATCTAGGGCATGTGTAAGTAAAATCCTTTGCAGTATCTATACGTGGAGTGTCATGAAGGGCTTTACACTTGAATTTTGTTGGTGCTGGGTTGTAAAGGAAAGCACAGGACCCAACGAGCCCCATAGAGCCTTGGCATGTTCATGTCCAAAGGCGTTAGCTTTAGCTTCTGAGATGCGGACTTTGGTAGCTCATATTTTTCAGGTGTTATGAAATGATCCTCTTGCTTAGCCTGTAATCCACCCGAGCTCATGGGTTGATCTGAATGAGACATGATTCGATAAAAGGTGCAGAGTGAAAGTTGGATTGTGGGAAAAAAAGAAGAAGAAATGGGGATTTCAGGAAAAGAGAGGGAATGGTGACAGTTCTAGGCTTAAATAGCCAAGGGATTCCCCCAAAGTCCAAATCATTTCGACCACACGACGAAAGCGTCCCCCTGATCAGTATTCTCAATGTGTAAGTCCTAGTCACCGCAGCCTATTGAAACTATCTCGTTTTTGATATCGTCTGTGAGCTGGTTAACGACGACTTGTGACTGGCTGTCTCAAAGCATGCCGTATCGGGTTAGTCTACTTCACGCGCCATCACACAGAGCTCGCGGGATATGGGCATTCCCCTGATGCTATGGCCCGCAAACAGCCTACATTCAAACCAAATTGATGTATGGTTCTGTATAAAGGATTGGGCCGAAATGCATTACGATATCCAAACGGTTGGGCAACGGGAGCTCGCTTCGTCCTGCGGCCGAACAGCTCTTCTATCCTTTGTACTCAATCTCAATGGTTTGGCGGCTGAAGAAGGGACTTAGTTTTGTATCAATGTATTGAGTAAGTTTTGTTACAATTACCTAAAATGGAATAAACCTGCATGTGTCGTCCCTGTCTAATCCCTAAATAGTTTAGGTGTACCAAGGTAGTGCATCCCATATGGATTATTTCGTCGATGAAGACTTGGTGGGGCAGGGCGGAGAAACCTCGGGCACGAAACAACTTGTGCTTTGAGCCAGTTTCCACAGACAGTCCAACAACAAGCTGCTTCAATGTTCTTGTTCACCACCAAAAAATCAGATATTAGAAGGCAGTTAGTCCCAATAACGCGTGCTAAGTTGTGACCCTTTCCCTCGATCTCCTCACCAGATTCGCAGGGTACCGCCACGGAAAAACCCACCAAAACAACGCGACCTTCTTCTTCTACTCCATTCCTGCTTCTGCAGCCGTGTCTATACAATCACCTTTAGCGTCCACGTCGTCGGCCCCGGCCTTACTCTACAAAACTCAGAATGGTGTACTGCGGGAAACCAAGTCGGGGATGCGAGAACTGCAGGTAAGCTTTCCATCTGACCAGGGACTCGTGGACATTTGCCCATACTGGGAATGGTCTAGGAAACTGCATAAGAAGGTAATAAACACCAAAGAGCTCGAGCTTTATAGCTGAAAAGTCTGCTAAGGAAGGAAAGTGTGATGAAAAACTCCCCCAATGTTCACGTTGCTTGAAGATGAAGAGGGCGTGTTCTGGCTACCGAAATCAATCGAATCTCACATTCCGCGACGAGACTACCAGAACACGGGAGAAATTCCAACAATGGCAATCGCGCTCCCACGGCTCATGTCCAGGATCGGCAAGTAATACGACATTCCCCGCCATTCACATTCACGCAGCGCGGGTCCCGGTATGGATGCACGGCGATTGCATGACCTGGACACATCCACTGTCACCGGCAGCGGATGATCTTGTAGTATGCCACTTTTATCATACCACGATGGAAAATCTGTCTCACCAAGATCCTGCTCATCGCCTTCATACCGAACTGCCAAGTCTCTATACTAAGAGCGACCCTGGTTCTGCCTTGCGCTTGGCGACGGAAGCAATCTCATATGCTGCCTCTCCTAAGCTGGTGCAGGAAGCGACTCAACTGTCCAGGAAACGATATATTCAAGCCACTAGAGCAGTAAGAAACGCTCTTCAAGATCTACCAGAAGCGGGAGACGACCAGACCTTGTATGCTATTCTTCTCCTCTGTGGCTACGAGGTTGGTTCCCTACTCTTTACTCGGAGCTCTTATATATGTATGATGATGCCTCAGCTGACCACCATTCGAGACTATTATGTGGGGCTCACAGGCACCACCAGCATGGGGATCCCACGTTGACGGAGCTGCCGCTCTTGTAAAACTTCGTGGCAAGAGCATGTTGCACTTGCCCCTGTCATACAACTTGTTCCGCTTTGTCCGGAAAAGCGTTGTAAGATTACTACTTCATCCCCTGTATCCACACTTCTAATAATTCTGTTTCGATAGGTCTTAAGTCATATGCAAATATCTCATCCCGTTGACAAAATCTTCACTGTACCGGACGAGTCGGCATCTTTCCACAAGAGCCCGGAAGACCAGCTCGTCACAACGGCGGCTAAAATACCGGACCTTCAGCACTTGGCCCACGGCTATCTTTCTCAACCTCAAAATGCTAGTAAGGATAACATCGAGAAATTGATATATTATGCTCAGTCACTAGATTGTGAGCTTTCAGATTGGGCATCCAATACCCCCATCACCTGGTCTTACTCTGCCGCCTTAGATGCCAGTATCCTGGCAAGATCAGAATTCACTCTACGCCAGGTTCATAGATACCCAGACTTTTATACCGCTCGGGTTTGGAACTTTTATCGCGTGTCACGGCTCATCGTTCAGTCATTACTCCTCCGCGCGATCCCTTGGTTGTCCGTCTCAACAGAATCTCGCCAAACAGAATCGAATAGGACCCGTATTGAGAGAAGCAGTATGGAATTGGTGAACGATATATGCGCGAGCGTCCCTTTTCTTTTGGGACGTGACCTGTCAAAAATGAAACTCCCTGCCACGAACTGCCGGAGGGAACTGGAGAACATTTGGCAAACTAGGTGCCCGAAAGACAAGGATAACGGTGCGAGACGCGCTGGGAGATTTTCCCTTCTCTGGCCACTCTATATTGCGAGCAGCGCACCTCCAATACCAGAGGCTCAACGAGAATGGATGCGCCTGCAGCTGCGACTGATCACTGAGCATGGTGAATCGCAAGCGCGCTGTCTTTGTCACACAGAAAGCCAGATCCTTCTAGGTGGAACCGAGAAGTTTCGGTTTGATTGTGTATAGGTACGAGGACGAGACTGGTGCCTGAGTATATCCTAAGCTGGTTGACATTTCCAAAGATATCCCCAGCCCAGCACTCATGGAGACATGTACTTGCAATTGTCCATCCGCAGAGTGGGTTTTATCGAGGCCGGGACGAATATAATTTCGCCAAAGCCTACAGCGCAGGCTCGAGACCTGCGTCGCTCCTCCCAGGTTAGGACACGGCCCATAATTAGGGCTCTAGACACAATTTTAGGAATCCAGTGGCGCGAATGTTTGGATATGGCTGCTCCATCTTAACAAGGCAGCCTTAAGAGCACTTCTGCGTGGTTCAGCGAATATGAAGCCAAGCCATTCTCTTGTTGAAGCGAGAGGTATATCGCGATAATGCCTCAATAGTGACAGACAGCATGGTCCCGAGCTGATATGCTACTGAGCAATAATATCTCTACGAGTATCTTTGCCCAGTATTCCAAAGTGTCTTGCTTCGAGCAGGGAAAAAAAATTCCTTGATGATTCGCAGCCTTAACTAAGCCATGCAGGTAGCTCCACCCCACATTGACGCGACAGGCCCGGTCCCAGATACCAAGCGACCCATATAAGCATCCTACACTTTATTAAAAGGGATGGCTCTTCCGGAAAAACCACATTCCTTCGCACCTGTGCTTTGTTGGGTGCCTCGTAGAGATCGTTTGGTTGCCGGGGATAAAGGTCCGTGATGTGTTGCCCGGTTCAATTATACTATTATTGTCACTGACGACGTGGCCTCCAGCTACGACAGTACTCCTAATAGACATCGGTTATAATAAATAGCCTCGGTAATTGGCATTACGATAAAGCGAAAAGTACTAGTCCTAGACACAAAAGAAGATTCCATGATTCTTTATACAAAGGTGATGTTCTACTCTCCACCGGGACCCTGCTTCCTGCAGCAACACCCCTTTGTCCACTCACACAGCTGAGGCTAATAGGCGGAGGATCAGGTAGTTGGGATGCCATGCTCGAGTCGTTTGCATTATAACCCCAGACCGTCGCGATTAGGACTGTCCTCAAGCCCGAGCTAGCGTAAGCGTCCGTGTCTCCTCTCTTATTAAAGTCGCTGCCGACGCTAAATCCAATGAAGGGAGCGCCATTGCCGAAAGCCCTGTCTAAGGTCTGCTCCGGTAGACTTGAATCTATGTCAGTGTTAGCTTATCTGCCTGACGACTCGGCCGAGTTTAGATGGGGACACCAACCAAAGAACTGCACCAACTCTCCAAAGCGGCAGGTAGAGGGCAGATTGTCGGGGAATTGGCATGAGTCGTTGGTTTGGAATGCTTCACTAAGCGAGCTTTCGATGTCGCGAATGCAGTCGTTAGATAGAACACCACCGCAGTTGGTATTCGACTCATTAAGCTTTGCGGTGAGGTAAAAGTATCCATTGCAAATGTTCCAGGACGGGTCGACGTTTTCCGGAAGGCCTGTCCCGTTGTCGGCAGCGATCTCATCAGGCACCGTTATGCTAACAGAAGTTACAGTTGTGAAGGTATCGTCGCTTTCCTCAGTGGACCCAAATGGCAAGGGATAATCGGCGGTGATGCGCAAAAGTGTGGTGAAACCGTCAATGGGCGATCGCTCCGAATAGGGTTTGGTGATGTCGAAACCTTGGAATCTATCCGTATCGGTCATGTTGGGGGAGGCCAGGGCCGATTTCCATGTATTGATATCGGTGCTTGTGACGACGCGTTCACGGGCATGCTGAATATTTCTATAGAAGAAGGCCGTATCCTCGAAGCCTTCGCGTTGTCTGCGGTCAATCTTAGAGGTAGCAGAGCTTCCTAGGACGTTGAAAACTGCAAGGAGCCTCAAAAGGCTAAAGAGGCCGGTACCCCTACTGCGACACATTCTCAATTGTTTGGGGAAGGTGGGGAGGGAGAGGGGGCAATCTGAAGAGAGTACGGGGGAGAAGTTGCTGCGGCGAAGATTGAGCGGAGAGAATTAGGGTGATGGAGCCTTGAGTGAAGTGGTGGGTGTTTTCCACGAAGCCGGAAGATACAGTCAGTCGCCGGAGCCTGGCCATAAATATAGAGAGCATTCTGGCAGTCCCTCAATGTCAACAATCCGTTGGATTAGAGTTGTCTAGCCAATGATATTCGTCGGCTAAAGCAGGAAGCCCGATCCTGAAACAAGAGATGAACGGCTCAAGCCACCAACATCTTGACGGATTTTGGCCCCCGCGGGCCGAAGTTGACAAACCGCTAATATGTAGAAATGCCCACCCGTCCTCCACAAGTCGATCGACCAAGGCCATAAGGAACTTTTGTGTCATGTAGAGTGGGATTGGGGGCGAGGCGTATTTCAAGTTACGGCGTAAATGGTTGGCACTACAGTGAAAGGAGGCAGTGCGGTTGGTCTTCAGTTTATAAATATACATGTACGCACGGGCTCTTGCCGACATGTTACCAGATGTTGGTGGCGCTCAATCATACGTGTGTCAGGGGCCGGTAGAATACTTGAATACAGTCAGTGTGGCCCAATGTTCACTCCTAACATAACACCAAACCAACTGATCGCTCGCAGGATCCATCGACTTTCTGTGCCGTGATGCTTGCGCCAAGGTTGCAGCTTTTGGGGGCGAGGCATATTTCAAGCATTACGGACTACAGCGTGAACAGTTGATGTTTACGTATCGCGTACCGGTTAGGCTGTTGGTCCCTACTGCCAATGTTGCAATGTTGGCTCCAATGAACAGATTTGAGAGACTGGGACTTTAAGGAAGCTATAGAAAGACGGAAAGGCAACCTATGCTTTAGGCGTAGCATGCTCATCAGATCAGACCGGTCTTCCTGGCCCGGGAGAACCGCCCGAGGCTATGCAGCAGTTACCCAGCGCAATATGTCTAAAACCAGTCGGCCATACGGTGACCCTATCTCGTCTCCTTTGCAGCTTGGCGGAGCATTGGAGTCATGGACCCCAACCCTGAGCATTGTGATGGCTCCCTCGATAAAATGATGACCAACTGCAGTCGATGGAACGGCACGTTTTCTATTTATTATTTACCGGCGTATCCAAAAGTCGTGATGCTCACATCACCAACTGGCCCCCAGCTTCAAAGGAAGCGGATGCTTGCGCCACTATTCCTCCAACCTTGACAGGAAGCTCCTTGTGTAAGAGTTGTGCGTCGATCAAAGAGCAAAGTCGAACATCTCCAAAGCAGGAGGAGGACAAGTACGGCCGAAAATGAGTATAAAACCCTGGGGCTCTCTGTGGTAGCTGAAAACATGGCCTCCAACGATCTACAACGCAACCAATAGGCTTAAGCTATCGCTTGATAGATCCATAACTCCATCCCATCCACCCCAAACCCAAGTTTCATCATGAGGTCCACGCTGCTAGTTTCTAGCGGGCTCTACCTACTGGCCGGCAAAGTTCTCGCTGCCCCATCTATCATCCCTCCTTGCTATATTGAAAGCAAATATAGGAACATCATAGTCAGTCCCCCCTACGAGCTGCCTCCTCGGATGGGTACAGGCTATTCCTGTGATGCGTTCGTCAACCAGGTTTGTGAGATCGATGTTGGTGTGAGCCACGCAGCGTAAGAATACTTCCGACAAAATGCGAGAGCGGGCACAATGGCTAATCAACATATGAGTACGATTGAGCAGACCATTTCAGGTAGCTTTGGCGGTACACTTAACCTGCCAAAGATATTCGATATCGGTGTGGAGGCCGGATATTCATACACGTGAGTTCAGTAGCAAAGCCTTCATTAGGTTCCGAGTCATCCTACCTCCTGTGAACTCTGCTAACAGGAACGACTCTGTCCCAGATGGTCAACTTCTGATGAGACATCCACTTCCAGCACGGTGATTTGCCCAGAGGGCGGGTATACTTGCGGCATGATGGTCAAACCCATCGTCGTGAAAATCACGGGCGAGGTTTCAGATGCCAGAGGTTGCCTCGTGACAGACGGGTCTGTCTACTACCCGTTCGAGATTATTGCTCCTTTCAAGGAGGGAGACAATGACCCGCCCGATAAGCTGAGAGCCGCAATGGAATTCAGCGCGTGCGTGCTGGACTGCGCGACGGCTGAGAGCTGCACCAAATCTTTCGAAATAGGTATACCCCAGTGCCCGTCTGAGAGAGCCCCCGGGCAGTTTAGGAATCACTTTGGAGGAACGCCAGGGTATATCTCGGTGGATGAGGCCAATGCGAATGTTGACAAGATTCGAAATGGCGGTGGTTGATGCTGACTAATAACTTGGGGATGCATAGGGAGAATAGATAATTGGAAGCGGTTCTAATAATAATGGTGGGAAGTTCTATGGAGCCAATCCATACTCTGTGAGGAGTCATGGAGTAACAGAATTAAACAATATGGGAGTCAGACGTGAAAATGAAGGAAACACTCGTTGATTGTTAATAATGTACGTCGTATCTCGGCAAGCTAGTTCGTTTATGAAGGGTGCACAACAGCCCAGCCTCTAGTAACGGAAATGTCTCTGCCAAGTTATAAGGTATAATCTACAATACTCGCCGTCGCGAATCTAGATTTTGGATTATATAGCCTACTTCATTGTCAGGAGACAGACTCTTCCAGGCGTCACCAGCGACATTAACTCTTGACAACTAAGAGAACTATCACTGCATTGCTAGTGTTCTCATGCAATATGATTAATTAGAACCTCAGCCTAAACCTTGAGGTGGCTTCGAAACGGGGCGAGCCTTAATCACTCGGCTAATTCGCACTCAATCAGGTTCTCAACATCAGACTGTCCGCACTTCCAAAATTTGACAATCTTGAGGTTCAGTCCGCTTCCTTCGATCAATTGACGCCAGTTGTCCTCGGTACGCTCCAGAGCCGAGAGCTGGGTCATCATGAGGATATCTCCAGCAGTGGCTTCCCAGTAAGCACCCGTGGGAGGGATCACGCATTCGAAGATCAGCAACTTGCTGTATCCGGGCTTCATTGCATCCGCAAGGCGGCTCAGAATCTTCTTGCACACATCATCGGGCCAGTCGTGGAGAATAGAGTGCATGAAGTATGCCCTTGCTCCCTTGATGGGTTGCTCCGTCAAGAAATCATGGCTCATCAGCTGGATCTCGGGGCTGATACCTTTAACATCTTGGATGACGACAGGAAGATCCTGTAGGATTAATTTCTGTGTAAAATAGAGTCAGTACATGAAGACGCGTTATTTTTCTGGATAGACAAATAATACTAACCCCGGGGTGGTTGGGGTAATATTTCTTAAACTCATCAATGTCGTGCCCAAGACCTCCTGCGACGTCAACCACAAGTGGCGCATCAGGCGAGGTATCTGCACCGGCAAACAGCGTCTTTTCGACGGGGTAAAGCGAGGGGTGCATCCAGGGCAGGCGGCCCTGCCTGTAGCCACCCACTAAAAAGAAGTCTTGTCAGCGACGCCGCCATCCTCGTCTCAAAGGGACATTACATTTACTCACTATGGTGGTTTGTGTGAGGGCCTAAGCCAATAGAGCGAAGATATTCGAAGCAATTTGGCAGGTCGGTGTTGTAAGATGCGTGCATGGCTGTGCGGGCAGCATCAGTGGGATTCTGCCACTTGGTATCACGAAGGAACTTGTAGAACTCGATCGGGCTACGACCAATTCCGCCAAGCCTAGAGAACGAACATCGTCAGTAAACCCAACAAGTGTGAACTTTGGTCTAACTCACAAAGCAACATAACCGTCCCCAATGACATCAAGGCTTAGGGATTTAGCGAAGTTTGTGAGTTTATACTCGTCCTGTCCCACCTCTTCAAGATGGCCCATGGCGCAAACATGGCGCATCAGGCGACCTATGTAAAGTGGACCGTGAGCTTGGGTTCCTTCTGTATAGGTTGTGAGATATGTTGCGTCAAATCACTGACCGAGAAGCAGAGCGTCCATGCCAAGGGCCCCGGCAAGATCGTTAACCTTCTGAGGGGTGTCAACGCCGTTCTTGACCATGAGCTTCCAAAGCCCAACGTCGACGCCGGTAATCAAGGCAGCATTGAGTCCGGGCTAAAGAATATAGGGTTCAAGTTATTAGCAAGTGAGGCCTAGGATGGATGGTTGGCGACATACATCAGCCCAGGTGTGCTGCAACATCTGCTCGCGGGGCGTGAGGAGAGACTGTAGCAGGCTCCGTGTTTTGACCACGAGCTGATGGCGAGTTTCCTCGTCACCATCCTTCATGCCGTGGTGTAGAGCATTGATATCTTCGATCAAGCCCGGCACGGCATCCGCATTACTTGCTCGAATGGCGACGGAGAGATCAATTTCTTGGGACATGTTGGTTGTAGTCGTGTCAGAATATTCACGCAAAGGTCTGCGTGCGTAACAATGTAATATATTATACTTCGTAATAAGATATTTATCGAGAGAAGTGGTCGTCTTTGAATTGACGTCGACTGGCGACAATTTGGCTCGGGGAACTCTGATGCCTCTTAAGTTGGAATGGATTTCAACATCCCATCCAACAATTTCCCGTCTTCGGTCCCCGCCGAAACAATTCCACGTTGCAAACCCCTGGCCAGTTTTCAATAGGGGCTCTAGAAGCATTAGTGATCGCCCAAGACATAGGCCGCCGCACTGAGGCCCGAGGGCAAAGGGCCCGCGCCGTTGTGACTAGGCACGGGCAGAGCTCTAGTTAAATACTTCGCTAAGGGCATCAAGTGGGGGTGTCAACTTGACGGCTGGGGATATTTCGAAGTGGGACAGCAACAGCCCCTATTATACTCAAACGCAACCCCAGTACCAAGGCAACAGACGAATTGGTACGATCCGTTGAGACGGATTTTCTGCACCCGTCGACGTACTTCGTAGAGCATAGATTACTTGGTCGCAGGGCAAGGATTTCCACCCCTGTCGAAATGGTGAAGATTACTCCTTAAGTCCAGACCCATCGCTGATCAGTCAAAGTCACCAGACCCCATCCCAGCGTTGCCCCTGTTGGAGGACCCGCTAAAGATTCAGAGAAGTGGCTCTAATCCTAGTAGAAAATGATCTGTAGTTTTGCATCCAGTCTCGCCAGTCTTCAAATACGAAGTCCACTACGAGGAATGCAGCAAACGGCCAAGTTCTGCCTATCTGAAGCGATTTAGGAAATAATCCGGATCTCAGTTTCTCACCATGATACCTCGGTACCGTGGTATAAAATGCTGCATCCCGGCCATCGTTATGACAGTACGAAGTGGGGGCAAGGTTAGGCGAGCAACTATGTAGATCCTCGCATGTTTTAACCACCACGGGACAAGGATGGCCTGCCAGGACTTGTCTTGGCAGGCCGTTACAGCGCCAGGTCATCATCCTGTTCCTGCCACTGTTATTCTGGCTATGCTGAACTGGCTGCCACTGGGAACTGGTGGTTGGTTATTCTACCAACCGATCATGCGTGGAAAAGAAAGGGGGTCATAGTTTATTATAAAGAGAGTATTACGCAAGATTTTACACAGGTATGTTAAAAAGAACTGAATGGCGGAAATGATGGCTGACGACCGGAAGTAGAAAGTCGCGAGCGGCCTTGCCTGTCTACCCTGATAGCTTCCGAGAAATCTTCGTACCACGTACCATCATGACTGGGATGAAGCCGTCCGAGTGCAAGGCGGATGTGGCTCCGCGTCGGCTTGTACATATTTCCCGGATGCGCGATGGGGCAATGCAACAATGTTGAAGATTTTTGACCTCGCATGATTCTTACTTCGTAAACGACTTTGGTTACGCGTGTTCCGTACATCGGGGAATAGGGGAAAACTCGGTGACCCACAATATCTTCATGCAGGGGCGCCGGGGAGGTGACCCGAGTTACGAAGTACATGTGGCCCCGCTAAAGGAAGGGATCTTGTTTTCTTCGTACGCGAAGTGGTCCTGATCCTACTGTGGCTTCAAAGTGCCGATCCGGAAAACAAGATCCTTAACGGTTGGTAATAAGGATTGAAGAATATGCTAAGATGTGTTGCAATTCTTGTCAGGGTCTGCGTTCATGATTCAAACAGCGGAACGAAAAGTCTCTCAGGGAATAAGAGAATATATCGAGACGAGATACATACGAATCAAAATCAGGAGCTGTATCTGCTGGGTCAGAATGTGACGGGCATCGGGGGGGTATATCATCTACTAAACACTCGCCTCTCTTTTCAGATTCATTCTCCAACCTCTTTTGACGTCCTCTCCCCTTGATATCAATCGCCATCAAGATGACTGACGACAAAGGTCCTATGATCATTGCGGTCTGCTGGGTCTTCACAGGTCTGGCTCTTCTATTCGTCTCTGGCCGACTTTATGTCAGAGCCTTTTTACACCATAAGCTGTCCAGCGATGATTACTTGATCATTTTCTCTTCGGTATGTCCACACTTTCTGCCTTTCTGCCATCTGCTCCGATCGAAACTCGACAAGCCCTGGGCTGGCGCTTACGCTCTAAAAGATATGTGCTGTCCTCTCAAATGTTTTGGTTACCATGTCAGTTTATTGGGGTAATGGCAAACACTTCGCCACCCTTGACCTGGAGCAGCAGCAGAATACCGTCAAATGGATGATGGCGGCATACGTTCCGGGGATAGAAACCCTCGGATTCCCGAAGCTCGCCGTCATTGCCCTCCTCGTCCGATTACTCGCTCCTCGCCGGTTACACATCTGGATCCTATGGACCATGGGTGGAATATGCTGCCTGTCGCTTACCGCTATGGTTATGGCGCTGCTCCTGCAGTGTACACCTCCCAGAGCTCTTTGGACCTTCTCGATGCCCCGCAAGTGTTTACACGTGAACGTGCTGAAGGGGCTAGCCTTTTGGGCGAGCAGTGAGTTGGACTTCCCCCCAACACAGAATACTTGAAGAGTTTGATTGACGGACGTACTGTGGCCAGCATGCTCTGCGTTTCTTGACTTTTACTTGGCAGTATATCCCGCCGTCGTGCTGTGGCAGCTGCAGATGCCAAAGCAAAAGAAGCTTGCTCTCAGCTGTGCTCTCGGCATGGGCGTCGTGTAAGTATCAACACCACATGAGCTTTTTCGAAAGTTACCTGACGAACAGGAATAAACTAGATCGGGATGTGTCGGCATTGTGAAGGCTACGGGCGTTCCAACCCTTGCTAGCCCAGACGTCAGCTGTAAGTCATTAAGCACGGAAAGATTTAACTGCCAGACATAATCAAAAGACTAATGGATCATGAAGATGACCTGTGCGACCCTCTATACTGGACATCGTGAGTAGATCACGCCTCCTAGCTCATGCTCTCCGCTCTCCATGTCTCGGCCAGCTAACTATTATCCTTGTGGTGCAGTATAGAAGGAAACCTCATCATCATTGCGGCCTGCATCCCGATTCTCCAACCTTTGGTCGAAAAGATCAAGGGCGGTAGCCTCTGGAGTTCGAAAAAGGGCACCAGCAAGAACCGCCAGTACGCGGATTTCAGCAAACGAAGCGCTCGGCAGCCCGATCCGATCGAGCTACACGATAAACCTAAGAAAAAGGTTGACGTATACGGGTTTACGATACACGCGAAAGATGACAGCGAAGAAAATATCGTCGACCTTGACAAGCAGTCCGCGAATAGATCCTCCAGTCGACAGAGCGTAGCATACCACCCAACCGACAGGATCATAAAGACGGATACCGTCACCGTTACCTTTGACCAGGGAGACGAAGGGCCAACCTCTGCAGCCACCAGATGGGCTGCTGTCTAAGTTATGTGAGGCTTCGGGTTATTTCAGAGTCCGCCCCGAAATGTTGAAAAATAAAGACGTGTGGTATGCTCAGTCGTCAACCCGTTCGTTAAACAATAAACAACAACAATAAACAACGGCGGTGCGTTGGCCTCTTCCGCGATTCGGTTTCTTTGTCGATATACCCTGAAGGCAGGCTGGCAGCCTGACAGCAGCTAGTTACACGCTTTAACTGGTCACAAGAAAAGAGGATTGGTAGAACCGAATATGGCGTTTGTCTACTTGGGGTACTGTATTTATCAACTATGCTAGCATCAGATTTCCTGTTACGGGGCAGAACAGAAGCGAAACGCCTCTCCTAACCTACTGATTGAGGATTTCCTATCGATAAACGCGGCCTGTCTTTACTCTTGGCATTCCGGCTGGCTTACCCAGCCCGAGACGTGACTTTCCAAACCGTAATTGAAGCTGTCCTATCCTGATGGCTTGATTCGCGTCGGCTCCTGTCGTGACCGTGTTGTCCTCGATTGTCTCAACCCAGCCCATCTGCTGACGTGGGCCGAATGTCTTAATGCCAACTGATGTGTTTTCAAGTCCCGTTTCCCCATCTCGTTCAGGCGGCTCCGAATTCAGAGCTAGCGCTAATAGCTCAGGTATGCTCTCCCAAGCGCTAAAATGTTTCCCAAGGCAGAGTAGGACAAGGACATGGCCTAGGGCGATGACAACGTGGGCTAGAAGAAGGATGATGCTTAAGATGTCAAACCAGCCAACTGCAGCCATTGCGTGTCCCTTCAATGAAAGTGACATTTTCACTTGTATCTGCTCGTCGGCGTTTGGTGGGCGGAGGTTATCTAACTTGAACAGGTCTTTCGCTATCGACCTCATCTGGACCGGGTTCGCCATCACAAAGCTGAAAGGAAACAGTTGCCCGGACAGTAAGTGCGGCGCATAACAGAAACATTGCGACATTCCATCGGCAAAAACAAGGCCAAGGGCAAATTCGACTTTGCGTAGGGCAGTTATAGTAGTTTTGCCTTTGTTGAAGGGAGCAAGAGGAGTGAGGATGCTTTCAACAATTGTTTGGTTCAAAGATGTGTCTTCATCGTAATTTCGGACAAGTTCTCTAGGGGTCAATTGATTGAACCAATCCGTCGTGATCTCGACCCGTCGCCAGGTTCCGTCTTTTGGCGGAGAGAATGAAGTAGAACTGATAAAATCTTCAAGCTCACTCTCGATTGTTATTGTTCGCTCGTCGTTAATTGACACCGTTTGAATACTTGTTGTTGTCTCACGAATGAAAGACTTGCCCTTAGCCCAGCGAGCGTCAATCGAGCATGTTTGCATTGGAACGGCACGAGGAAGCGGCACTCTCCTCTGCAAGCTAATAAGGATGACCCCAAGTGATGCAGATTGTCCTGGATGGGGGGGAAGCTGAACGCCTACTGCCAGGATCCAAGAGCGAATTTGGTCGCCATACTCCTCAGGATTTTCTCTCAGCTTCTGGTGGATGACGTCTGTCACGTTAATGATCTGAAGGTCATCGCGTGCATCGTCATCGTATTCTGCGAGGACTGGGAATCCTAAGACTTCACCAGTGAGGGCGATCTTTGAGAACGGAAGGCATTTGACCCGAACGACTGGAAGCTCGGCTGCAGCCGTAGCGGTTTTCGATGAAGCATTGCTCAGTCTGAAGTAGTTAGGATATTCCCACACTGACCCTGTCTCTGCAAGATAGGATAATGCATTGGACCAACTAAGATAGGTACTGGCCTGGAGTAAACCCACGGAGTCATGAGCCGTGGAGACCCATGTGGCCCCTTTCAGGATGCCGCCGATATAGGTTTCGCCAAATGGGGTTCGGACGTATACTCTTCGGGCGTACCCCATTCCGACTGTTGATTCCTTGACATCCAAAGATGGGACGGCCGAGCTTGCACTGCTTAACCATTTCTGGTAATTGTCACGAATGCTCCACAAGTTTGATGTGAGGCAACTTTTGTTGAAAAGATCATCATAGTATGACGGCGGAGCCTTGTCAAGGCTTGACGGCCAGATCTGATCTTTGGTGCCTACAACGTTATGTGAGTGGCCCAGTCACGGTAGATTGAAGATGAATTAACCTACCTTTAAGCCACAGGTCTGATCTACCGGCCTTCCACTCTAATTCTCTCGGAATCATCAAGACGGCACTCGCCGGGCCGGAAAAAAGAGCTATAAGCCCTGAGATGGCGACGAGAGTGATGAAACCTGTCTTTCGGAGTGAAGAAGGATGATCGGAAAAAACGCCAGCCCAGAAATCCGACGTGATAAAAAAGCTGCAAAATGATTTGAGGTTAGGTCCATCGTTTTAGAGGTGGCAATATTGAGGGAGGATACGGTACCTTGGAGAGCTGAAGGAAAAGCCAACACCGACGAGTCCTAAAGGAAGGCCGGCGCCGGAGACCAACTCATACCGTACCACATCAAAGATAACGATCCCTAAGCTGGCGATGATGAAGAGCTCATGCACCTTGGCTGCTATCTGCAAAACTCCTAGTTTGATGCCGTCCTGTCCTGTAGGACCGTCGAGTTCGCGACCAATGAAGAAGCGGAGAAGATTCAGCGCAACGAGGGCAAGAGTTACCAAGACGGGAATCAGGTGAAAGAGACAGCAGAGAGATGCAGATGTGCGAGATCTCTTGAAAAGCGGCTTGGGATTTTCAGGACCGTTCTGGACAGCATGGACGTGATCCTTGAGAGAGTGAAAGAGAGAGCGGAGTCTACCAAAGAGAGACTTGAGGATACTGAAGACGAATCTACACGCCCTGAAGAGAAGTTTGAAGGGCGCTACCGCGACCACTAAGATCACCCTGGAGTAATTGAGAGCGATCATTCCTGCACAGCTGGTACAATATATCTGTGACTTTGAATTCGGGCAGTCAATGGGCGATGGACGTTAGATATCGAGTTGGGGGTTTGAAGACAGACATCAGAAAATGCAGGTGTCAAACTTTCATGAGCAGGCTGGAGGCTTAAAAGTACTTTAAAAGAAGGATCGCCAAGGGCTGGCTGTGCTGGCATGCATGCCAAGCCAGAGCTGAATCTTCAGCGGCTATCGAGGCTGTAGAACTTTCGAGTCTCCGAAAAGCTCAGAACAGACGATTGTACCAGGCAAAGCTCCGTAATATCATGGCATTGCCAGAATGGGACGGAAACAAGTGACATAGAAGATGCACAGGGCGAGATATTGGATTGTAATATCATGCGCCAAATCCACAAATCGAGTTATCCATGCACTGTAGCGGGCCATCTTGCCCAAGAATCACCGCAAGGGGCATCTTTCGCTGCTTCGAATTGCTAACTTCGTTCCGACTTTTGGCCACAAATTCAGCTCGAATTCCAGCATTCACAACGGCTTGGTTATGTCCATCTGCTCGAAAAGTAGTCCGCCGAAATCCTTGCCGCCGAAAACCAATGATTTGACTTCTTTGTGTGTCGGGCGTCTAGGATTGTGAAGATAACATCAATGCCGAAGGAGATTCCAACGCAAGGGCACAAAATTGCCGTACCGGCCACCCGCATCAATGCTACCAATGCGGCTTGCTTGGATATCCACCTTCACTTTGGTAAGCTCCGGCGCTATTTCCACCCCTGCTAGGCTGTTTTGTCGATCTGTAGAACTTGGAACTTAGTTCTTCTTACCAGATGACTAGAGCTTCCTGGGGCGCGATGTAAATGGCTTTAGCTCCATTACCTAGACGCTCGGGCTAAAGAAAGAAAGCAAATCAACCCCGAAACGGCCACTCCGGTCGAGAGGCAAAGCAAATAGTAGGGCCCCCCTGTCTTGTCGACTTTCATCCCCAAAGACCAACTCCCGAATCCGAAAAAAAAAAAAGTCATTCACCTCTCCTCCTCCGAGTTAGCTCTCGGTGCCGTTTCTCTCTCACGAGAATCTCGATGCTCGATTCCTCGACAAGGCAATCGTTCAATCTCTCGGCCTTTAGATCGAGCTAGGTTGAGGGCCCAAACAGCTACGACATTATTATGACTTGGCGCCAAGTGTCGCGACGCATCCCATACGCGCTCGTCCAAGTCGAACAATGCCTGCTTCTGGAGCTCAAAGGAGAGGAAGCAGCGCGGCAGCCAGCTAGTGTGCTCAAAGTCGATGACGTAGATGTCGTCCGCATACGCGCTGCCAGGTAAGATGAGGAAGTTTTGAAGGTTTGGGTCGCAGTAGCATAGAGAGAGGCCCTCGGACATAAAATCTGCAACAAGGCCGGAATTTACCTGCATAGGGTGGGTGGTTAGCACTATACTGTTCTCGGGCACGGGCACGGGTACGGGTAGCACGTACAACAACGTTTGCCTTATTGACGTAGTCCTCGAGGTCTTTAAGGTCTAGGAATTCTCGCGGTGCGTCGGATTCATGTTCTTCGTACTCTTTAGCAAAGGTAAAATTCCTTATTAGGCCTCCCCCAACCGGGCCCGGCCGAGCGTCCGGTGGAGGGGGCAGGTCAACAAGGGCTGCCAGCGCATCGGCGACCTTATATAGTCTGGAATGGTGTTCCCCGTGCTCATAGAGAGCATCCCTGACGGAGATACCGGGGATGTACTCCATAACTATGAACACGTAGCGATGAGGGTGGCCGGCCTCGGCTATTTCGCTTTCGAAGACCTGGTAGATTTCCGGAACTCGAACCCTCTTGTCCCGGCCTATGCCCTCCCGGGCTAGCTGGTGGAAGGCAAACGCCTGCGTCCTGGCTTGAGCTCTCATATTATCCCCATCTAGCGAGTATTTCACCCATAGGAGGGAGGAGTCAGGCGGGAACTGAAACCCCAAGACCGAAGCACCGCAGTTGGATGAGAAATGCTGCGCGGCCGCGGCGACGAGATCTTCCTCAGCACTCGCGAGTTCCGCTGCCATCTGCGGCCGCGTTAGACACCCTATAACACTGCTCCCGGGACCATTCGACCGGCTGAGCAGTTCGGGGGGTTCCTGGCAGGGTTCCCTGTGAGCGACGGTCTATGGAGACAAAGACTGCTGGCGGGTCGGGCTTTCGTCTTCTCGCCCTGGGATGGTGATTCCTTGCGTCAAAAGGTGACCGGAATGTGTAGATAGGCAAGCGGAAGCCATTTTCTTTTCTCGTTGAGAGGTCGACAGGTAAATTTTGGCTGGGTCGTGGGTAGGTTGAAGGAATGAAGATGAAAATGAGGGCCTCCGTTCCCCAATCCTTTATCATGTGCGCTTATAGAAGGCACGTCCTCCAAGCCGCAACAATGGGCCAGTCATTGATGGTGGAAGTGACAGTTTGGTTTTTGGTTTCTATTAATTCTACCGCTTAATATTACTCCAGCTAAGCGTGCTGATTATCATAATTTATATAATCTCCACCAGAGCCCGATCTAAGCCCAATTATAGCGGGCAACGACGACGGATCCTAGCATTCAAGTTGTATAGGAAAGAGAACAAAGCACAAAAGTAGAAGGAAACCCGCTCCAGTTTAAGACCAAGGCAAATGCGCTCGCTAGAGATCTTCGGGGATCTCGGCCTCTTCCCCACCAAGAACACTACGCGCTTCTCTCTCGGCAGCAATCCTCTTTATTAAATTCTCGTGCTCACTGACGGATGTAACCTGGATATCGGAAGAAGGCGGTGTCCGTTTGACTACTTTCGAATCCGGGTTTGTGAGCCCTGATGCGGCTGGAGTAACTGCCTTCTTATCCGCGTTCCTGTCACTGGCTGATCTCCACTTAAAACGCGGCAGATTTGCTGTGGTTTTGGGTTTCTTAGAGTATACTTCTCCGTCACTTGATGAAGCCGGAACACTCTCAGAACCTACGCCATCATGGGGAAGCGGTTGGCTCGTTGTTCCCTTTCGTAGAGGTGTTGTGGGGTTGAGGACATGTGCTGGTGCGGCCGGGATAGACTCGGCCCACAAATTGGCGTTACAATGCGGCTGGGAAGGGGATGTTCTCTCCTGATTTGCCATGTTGGGGGGTTCGGTCCGCGGTGGTCGAAGTGACCACGGTGGCCTTGACCCCGGGGTCCGTGTCGCCGTTGAGGAGGAGCTGGTTCCTGAATTTGGTAACAGAATTGGTATGTCACACCCGGGAGCCCATGCTGTATCCGCGTCCTCGGGCGGTAGAACTGCATGTGAATGAGGACGGAGGTGAAACGTCACCTTCGCTAGGTGAGGAGTGGCGAACTCTTCCATTTGCTCCAGGTCATCGTATCGGAGGTTCGAGCTGAGAAAATGTCGCGCTTTCTGATCCATCGGCGTCCACAAGTCCCGACAAGACGGGAAATGGAGAGTGAGGAGGGAAACCACCAACACTGTTCTCGAGATTGCATCCTGAGTCCCGGGATTCTTCGAAGGGAATCCAGGGATTATTTTGCGGTACTCCAACATTGAGGCAAGAGCAAAAGACTCGCAGGCTTTGCCCAGAACGCTCTCCATCGTCACCTCCCTTCTCCATGGGGTTTCTTTGTAGAACTTGCCGGAGAGGAGATCTTGCAATGGCAGGAGGAGTCTGATAAGTTCGCGCTTCCCTCGCTCAATCAGATCCGTGTTGATTACGGGGTCTGCGAAGTGAATGGCAGATGCAGCCGGAAGGTTGTTCCTTGGGGCCGTGATCGCCGAGGCGGTGCTGAGCTCCGTGTTGACGGCAGATCTTAGATCTCGTTAGCCTCATATATATGTATAAATCAAGGTTTGCTGCCTCTGCAAGTGAGATCGGCCACTTCGGACCATGCAATTGATCCACGGCCCGAAGGAGCTCTCATGGTAGTTCCAAGCTGCGTTCGTTCGGATGGTAGATACAGCGTTCCTTCGTTCTTAACTTACCTTTTGAGTGACTCTCTTAGCGTTTCCGTACGGCCAGTTCCCCTCGCGTCGTTCGCGTCGTACGAGAAACGCTTGAGCTTCTTGCGCTTAGAAAACTCTTTGTCTGTGGAAGTTTTTTTGCCCGTCTCATCCACGTCGTCCATGCCGAATGTGTCGAACGGATCGTGTACGGGAGACAAGCTGTTTATGGGAATCCTCTTGTCCGAGAAAGACTTTTGGTCATTCGAAAATTGCTCAAAGGTTGACGGCTTGGGCTTGCTTCGGAGCTTGGCGGAGCTGAGGAATGATATTTTCGTATCGAAGAAGATGTCGTCGACGCCTAGAGCGCGATGCCGCACAGGGTTTCCAAAATTTGTTGTCGTTGCGGGACCGATAATGCTCGCTCCGTGTGCGACGGCACCTCCAAGGTTTCTTCCACCCATGCTCTGTGATGACCCCTGTTGACTGCCCACCTCAGGCTCCGAGCGAGAATGTGACCTCTTCTCTCGGTATGATCCGTCATGGTCACCTCGCGACTCAGGACCAGCATCCCTCTTGCCAGCATTTCCGTGACATGGGCCTCCCCCTTGGTCGTCGTCCGAGTCGTTACTGTCATCTCCTCGGTGGCGCCCATTTCGATCAGAGCCTGTATCAGGTTCGTCACCAGATGCGTCTCTGGTCTCGTCATCGGACTCAATCTGTTCAGCATGCCCCTCTATTCGCCGGGTGACATTCCGGTCTCCTCTCGGACGCAGAAGATTCAATCTCCTGCCTTCTCCAATGGCGCCACGTCCTCCCACTGGATCTCCATCCATGAGCGAGTCTTCGTCTATCGGATCCTCATCCACGGCTTCCTCTACCGCAACGAAGCTAGTCCACTTCGACACCAGCGACCACTTGCAGCCGAGCTTCTCTCCCTCACGCCTTACCAGCTCCCTTTCCTCGGCGGAGTCTCTACCTGGCGCGTTAGGCCTTGTGTGGATGTAACTCTCGCCACGCTCTAGATCACCTAGGAGAGCTCGCGCCGCAAATTTATGGATGATGGTATCTGGCGTTTCGGCAACGGTAACGGGAACTTCTACGGATTCTTCGTCCATTCCGGGTCGGCTGCAGTTGATCCATACCGCTCGAGGGACGGCAGATTCACGGTGGTGGTTGAGTAGTACAAGGACCCGGTTTCTCATGAAGGGACTGAGCATGGATATGTCAAGAGGTGACTGGAAAGTCTCGTTGCTCGTGTCATCAAGCATATGCGCTGCGGAGCAGATGTCAAAAGGTTTGTGACGTGTGTTTATGGGGCAGCTTGAAGCGTATTGCGACGTACCTTCATCATTTTCGTCAACCCAGTTAATCCCAATCCACCTTGGAAAAGCATGGGGTTCCTTTGCCGCCTCAAGAATAGCCAGCATTCTACCTTCCCAGCCACCCCGACTCGCCGTCTGGATCACCTCGGCGTATCCTCCACCAGCCTTGGCGATGCCTTCCACCAACTCGTGCGAGACGGCATTTCCTATGCCAAGTGAAAAGAACCGGACTTGGCCAGCGGTGTCCTTCCTAGTCTGCTTTACAAACTCGATAGTCTCCTGCAGGTCCCAGATCTGGCCATCCGTAAGGACAATCACATCAGTGTTCCCAAAGCCACCTCGGCTCGCCACCACCTGCTTCAGCGCGCCGAGAATCTTCGTCTCGCCCATATCGGCTCGAAATTGAGTCATGACATGTGCTTCGGCAGCTTGGCAGTTGGCCGCGTTATAAGGCTGGGAATGCGACCAGAGTCGCGTAAAGTAAGTCCCAAAACTGCAGATGTTGAAACTGGAGCCGGGCGGGAGTGCTGCGAGGAAGAACTCCATCGCCTTTTTGAGAGCGTCGATTTTGTCCCGCATGGACCCGGACCTGTCTGCTACGAAGACAATCTCGCCGCCGGGATACTCTCCGGAGGGCCCAAGTAGATATTTTGGCGGAATTGTCAGCATCAGAGCTGACTGGCCGGGAAACTCTGGGTGCTTCTCTAGGCATGCAAATGGCCTCTCTGGAACCTCCGCAGATGTTATGCAGATATCCAATGTAAAATCGCGATCTAGGCAGGTTGTATCGTCTGGAAGCCTCACGGTGGCGTACCTGAAGTCTGGCGTTACGCGATTGGCGACGAAATCGTTCCAGCGCCGGTGTCTTGCGACGCCAATCTGGATATCAGAGCTCGTATGCGAAGGACACGTCAGTGCGAGAATACCACTCGCAGCCAAGATGTCTACAGAGAACGACAGGGTAGCTAGACTCGCGCTTCGGTTTAACAAGTGGTCGATCACACTAGGGGCCGTCCCGTACCGAGGAGCAATGTACGTTGGAAGTACAAAAGTCATATGGGTCCCACTGCTGTCTCGTTTGAGACTGTGTTTGAGAAGCACAATGAACGACAGCGTAGCCTTGATTGGGATATCGGCGGGAAGATTCCCGAGCGTCGTCGTGAAGAGTTCTGGAGAATTCTGGTCCAGTAGCCCCGCTGCCTGGTTTTGCCTAACAGCCTCTTGAAAGGTCTCTCTCGCCGCAGCTTTGGGTTTTACCTTTCCTCTCAGAAGTCTATCCCTGCCAATGCGGCAAGAAAAGTCGACAACGCTACTACCAGGCGGCAATGGAAACGTGTATCTGGCCTTTGGGATGAGGCTGTGAGTACTGTTCATGAACTCTTGAGTGACTGTGACCTTGGCCGTGTCGTGGGTGATGCTCGCGTTCACCGAGACAGAGACGGGCGGCAGGAATCCGTCGCTCGGGGCGGGCGCATTTTCGAGAGAGACCCCAATAGTCTCGTCCACCTGGTACCAGGGGCTCTCGGGTTCAATTCGGGGCCGCTGTGGGCTCCATTCTTGCTGACGCCATGGATCAGAACTGAGAAACTCTGCATGGGGGTGATGCGGGGGTGGGCGTTCCCTAGGGTCCCAGAATATGCCGGGCTGGCGGGCCGGGCCCCAAGTCATGTTGCTTGGTCAAAGTGAGGCGTAGTAAACTTGTTGAAAATGAAGAAGAGTAGAACGGTTCTAGATCTGACAGAGTTCGCTCAGAAGTTCTGCGTCTTGAGAAACGGTTTTCTTTTTGCCGGGCGGACCACTGGGGTTGCCTGCCAGGGGCGCGAACGACGAGGCGGACTAGGGCTTGGAAGGCCTCATAAGTCACGGGAACATCTCGAACCAATTGTATCCCATACTGCTGCTGTCGGCGAATTGCTTTTTTCCACTCTTTGAGGCGGTCCCCGACTCCCGTGTCCATTCTGCTGCGCGGTATCCCATGTAGGCAGGCAGACACCGATTGAGGGTGGCGCAGCAGGATCTCATTCCGACAAGAAACTCATATATGTCTGTAGGTGTAGGGACGCAGCCGACACGACCGCGAAAAGGTACCGCCTTTTTCTCGGTGTCAAGTGGATTTCCCCCATTTACCATGGCATCTCCGATAGGAGAAGCGTTGCTGCTGGGCAAGCTAGCCTTCAAGCTGGGCAGGGCATTCACAAGTGGTCGAAAATCAGCCCCCGCCGAGTTTCGAGAGGTCGAGAACCAGCTGTATTCTCTAAGTACAGCTCTGTCTGCCTTGCAGAAGAGCAGTATCAGCGAACGATTGAACGCTGCTGTGGGGACCGATTCTGTACTGACATCCCCGCTTGGTGATGGCCAAGAAGGTAGCGCCGTTTTCAAGGCAATGCTTGACAACTGCCATGCCACCCTGTCTCATCTGGAGAAGATTGTGCAAAAGTATGCGAAGGTGAAAGATGCGACGGACCCGGAAGCTCCGGTTTTTAAAAGATGGAGCAAGAAGCTGGTGACGGATATCAAGAAAGTCAGCTGGACGACTGAGGGCGGCGACTTGGCGATGCTAAGGAGCCAGCTTATGGTTCACATCAATAGCATTAACGTTTTCCTTGGAGTGGTGAATAAGTAAGGTTCCATTGCGATTCTCCAAGTCGTTTTGCGAGACTGACGCGGCACCATAGCATGCAGATCGGCCGGGTTGAAGGCACACTAACAACCGCGGTACAGCTTCTGAGAGAGATTCAAGACTACGTGGCCGATACCCCTCAACACGTCGTAGCCACGGCCGGAGAGAGCCAGGTTGTCAGAGATCCTCCCCTAATGCGCTCTTTCTTCGAATTATACCTAGCCACAAGTAACGGAGAGGAGCTGCTCTGTGAGCATGCGTTGCTGAACTTCAGCTGGGACAAAAGAAATAAAAATAGCACTCGGGCGCAGAGCGATGCAACACCCGATGTGGAGCTCTTTTCCTGCGGATGTCCATCCGTAACAGATTGGTCATTAACATCGCATACGGAGAGACTTAACTCCTTTGGCCGTTAGTTCATGCACCTCAGCATTGAGCATCGACGAAAGATTGACAAGTCTTCATAGTCACTCCGCTCAGCTTCGCCATCAGACTCGTTGGGCAAGAGCTATCATGGATGATATATAAAGTTTCCGATAGAGATACTGGCAGAAATGTGTCGGTGGTCATCAAGAAGCTATCTCCTACATGTGGGTTGATTTTAATCCCGAGAATGATACGCGGATTCTGACAGCAAAGAGATATGCTGAATTTCGACGAGCTCTTTATCCAGAAACTCTCCAATTCCTGGGCAAGGCGCTGGCTAAGGCAAGGCATGGGCACGACGCTTGCATTCGTAACTGCGAATACCGCAGGCGAGCAAGAAGCTCGTCTTCTAAATCTTCTTGGGTCTGTATTCCATCGATTTGCAAGAATCATCAATCCAACGTTAACCAGTGGAAATGGCCCTGTAGCGACGTCTCTGCAAATTCGCCTTTCGTGCAAACCGTGTCAATTTCCACGATGGGTCGCACTTACAGCCGATCCGACATTGACGACATTCAGATAACGCACTATGTTGCGGGAAATCTAGAAGGCTTTCTTAACGCGGCCGACAAGAAGTTGTCCCTTCTCCGGCCGGAAGACTTTGCGGAAATCGTCATCTACTACGGAGGTAGTAGAACCGGCGTTGCGATGGATCTGGACGAAGATGTTGTTAAGACGACTCTCCGATGTGGGTATCCGGAAGAGGAGCGAGTAACTTGACGACTCGACTAAAATTGATTTCCAGTGAAATTCAACTCAAAATTGGAATACCGCAATGGAGAGGCCAGCGTCACTTTTCCAAGCATTCACTGCACGAGTGCCGGCGAAGATGGAGTAGGATCTGATCTACCCAATGGAAAAGTCACGATCACATTTTCAACACCGTCAGGTAAAGATTCTGAGCTGCCAGCGCAGATATAGCGGGGCTAACAAAGCTTGCCAGCTGCCCAGGGCTTCAGCAAGAAAGTCCAGCAAATGCGTGTTGAACTCTCTATCATCTTCATGCGGCTGCCAAGGCCCAATGAGGTTGTAGTCATGAAGCTGTAGGATCCAACTTGACTCTGGAGACCAGGTTAAGTTTGCCATTGCTGACCGCTATTCAAATGATATAGACAGACCGGAGGCGTACATACAGAAGAAGTCGCTATGACGGAGGCCGACATCATCATAGTTCAGAACGTGACCGACAGATCGTACCGTCTTATCATCACAAGCCATGACGGGAGAACCGTCATAAGCCAGAAACGTAAGTAGAGAGAAAGTCCAGATGCTCCATTAGACTTAACTTATGATTCCCCTTCCTTCTAGTCGCCTCGGACTTCACTGGCACCAGAGGTTCCGGTACCAATTTCAGGTCTCTCACATGGGTGGTTAATGTGCAAGAGGACGGCCGTGTCCGAATTGGCAAATGTCCCAATGGGTTCACTCATCTCGTGTTGTCGGACGTTCGTAGTAAGTATTGTACTAGCAAGGAAGTCCCCATGGCAGCAACTAACGTGAATCTCCGTAAAGCAAATAGGCTCTTTGAAAAATGGGTGCAAAGCCAGCTCTGGCAAAACACTCTGCCGACTCGGGGAGTCCCTACGTTGACTGGAAGTGACAGGACTTGACAGGTTGGTGCGGGAGTAATATTGATCTTGCTATTGGAGCTAGAATAAAACAGTGCCAAGGGAACCGTCACCCCACTGCCTCTCGTTCCATGCATCCCACCGCTTACTCTGCTCTTTTACACTTGTTGGCTGCCTCTACCGCGATCTTGAAATCCTCCAGGAGCGTCTCTGTATCCTCAAGCCCAGCGGCAATCCTGATCTGGGTCGGCCTCAAGCCATACTTTGCAGCCCAGGACAACCTTTTCTTGTAGGTGCACATGGTGTATGCGAATGCGAGGGTAAAGGGGGCACCCAAATGAACGCCTTTATGAACGTTTAAATTATCATAGAAAGCTTGCGTCGCAGCCATGTCATCTAGCTCAACACTGAAGAGGCAGCCGTACCCCGAAGTGAATTCGGCCGTCGCGGGACGCATAAAGCGCTTGTAGTATATTCCCGAAGGATTAACGGAGGGATAGTGAACACTATGAACAGCGCTCTCGGGGTCTTCCGCGCAGGAACGAAGATATTGTACGAGGGTGCTTGCATTCGTATTCAGCTTCGCCGTGCGAGAGAGGTAATCGCGGCTGTTCCGCTCGATCGCCTCCGCGTCGTCAATGTAGAGCTCCGGAACATAGTATCGATCGAAAAGAGTTTTAAGCTCGCGGTATTTCGGGGAGGCAGGGTTGAGGATTGCGCTGCCTGCGATGACGTCCGCGTAGCCGTTGAAAGATTTGGTCATCGAGGTGACGAGGATATCAGCCATGGCTGTAATATCGATATTGGCCCAGCTTCCGATGGTGTCGTCAATCCCAAGTACCACGTCATGCTTATCCGCCAGTTCGCGAAGCTTCGTGATATTAGGTGTCACGAGAAGTGGGTTTGCTGGGAATTCAGCCCAGATGGCTTGGACCTTGCGGCCCTGATTCCGTTCCTCTTGGAGAAACGCTTCCAGATCGTTGAGATCCTCTTCGGATCCAAGGCCGAAGAACTTGTATCCGGGACCGAACTCTTCGAACGCCGTGACAGTATTCATAAACGCCATTCCGAAAAGCACACTGGTGCCCGGGTAGCATTTGAGCATGTAAGTGTGGGGCTTATAGATAGAGGCCATGCCGGTCGGGTAGAAATATACGTCTTCGACAGAGGGCCGCGGCTGCTGAAGAGGGTCCAGCGGCGCTCGTTGGAGGTATGAAACGATCCTCTCCCGCAACACGCGGTGAAATGAGCCATCAAAGCTCGGCCTGGAAGCCACTTCCTCGGTCACGGGCACTTCCTTGAGTTGGTGTAAACGGCCGAGATTGGCTTCTGCAAACCGAGATGAGACGCCCGCACCAGGAGTGCTCCAGAACCCAGCGACGACCGAGCGTTGATTGAGAGGGAAGATGACGGCATAGAAGAGATCCTTTGCAAAGAAGGCCCGGATCGCGATCTGTTCCGGTGACACGGGTCGTTTGTCGGCACCATTATCGCGCCTATTGGAAGTGGAGTACTCGACGCATTCCTTGGCCGATTGGAGCGATGAGAACAAGAAGCATCCCGCATCGGCAATTCTAACTCGCTCAAGTACTGCCTCGGCAAGCTAGACGGCATATGAGCTAGAGTCCTCTGGATGGTGGGTTTTATGATATCGAGCTCACATGGGCAATATCTCGATGGGGTTTCATGCGAGGGTACGCATTCTTGAAGTGAGGAACTACAGAGGCTGAGTCGGCGCCGTATTTCTCGACGGTGTCCCACCCACTACCCATGTGGACGGTCACCGAATGGCGAGGGGCTGGCGGCACTGCTTCGCCGAACTGAGTCGTGATTTTAGCTGACATTGCTGAGGGTCTGGTTTATGATGGAGACTTGTGGAATTGTAGTAGGAAGAAGATAAAATCCGGAATAATAATGAGGGGGAGGTTGAATGTCTCGTTCACAGATATAAGATAGATCGTGGGATGTTGGTGGGGCCGATGTCATCGAACGCCCTACGGACGCTGAAACAACGAATCAACTGGCTGCACTGCAAAAACACTTCAACTATCTTGAAAATCTCTCCTATAAAGTGTCGCCGTGAAGTGAAGCTCGACATCCCGGAATGGCGGGAAAACGAAGGAAAAAGGAAACTCACGAAGACAGAGACAGCATCGGAAGTTGGAGAATGGACGATCCAACCAGTCCGTCGAGGCATGACAACGAAAAGTCACGGTCGCATTCCATTCTCTCGCCTTTGAATCAGGAAGATGTACCTAATTCTACCACCTCAGCCCCATCCGAGACGCATGTTGAATGCGTTGCTGCAGAGCCGTATCCTTCCGACGTCAAGTTCGCTACCATCATGGTTGCTGTCTGTCTGACATTTACTCTCATCGGCTTGGTAAGATCATTGAAACAGCGTTTCTCTCCTGATTAGGGCTTTGATTCATTTCTTGTTTATCACACTCTTTTTGTGGCTGATTCCTGAATGTCAATAACTCTCCAGGACAGCTCCATTCTAGCAATAGCTATTCCAGCCATCACCCGTTACTTTCGCACGACAGCTGATGTTGGATGGTACTTGTCCGTATAGTAGGTAACATATCTCCTTGCCAGGTAAAGTCGGCAGAAGCTAAGTTGCTCGCATAGTCGACTTATGTCCGGCTCATTTCAACTCTTATTCGGGAAGCTCTACAGCCTCTTCCCAGCTAAACGATTAGTCCTCACGAGTCTAGCCATCTTCCTCATTGGAAGCATTTTAAGTGCCGTCGCACCTACATCTCCGGTGTTCATCATTGGGAGGGCTATCACCGGCCTAGCAACCGCTGGGGTTACTTCAGGTGCCTTTGCGTCTGTACCTCACTTGATCCTTCCTAGTCAAATGGACACGGAGTTCCGCTAACTGGGGTGTATTAGAATCCTAACACAGACTACGCCGTTACAAATCCGATCGAAATACGCCGGAATCGGTGCTGCTACTGAGGCAGTGGCTTCTCTCAGCGCTCCACTCATTGGAGGCTTGCTACTTGATCGACTAAGTTGGCGATGGTGTTTCTTTATCGAATTACCTATTATTGGTGCTATATTCGCCATTGTAACCTTCTCATTCAGGATAACGAAGCATAAGGACACCACTAGCGGCTACAGCTTCAGGGAAGCCCTACAACTTCTTGACCTCTGCGGAGTAGCTTCGTTTATACCAGCTTTTACATCATTGATCCTAGCATTGCAATGGGGCGGAACCAAGTACTCATGGTCGGACTGGCGTGTGCTGGTCCCATTAGGAGCCTCCGGCGCTTCGATACTAATTTTTGCCTGGCTTCAGCGCCGCCGGGGGGAGCAAGCGACCCTGCCGCCGCGGATATTGCTTCAGCGAAATGTGCTCTTCGGGTTCCTTTTCGCCTGCTGCAATAATGCGGCCTTATCAGTGATTGAGTATTACGTATGTATTCCTCCAACGGACTATCTTTTACATGATTAACCGACTTGATTCCTAGATGCCCACATTCTTCCAGATTGTCAAGGGACTCTCCGCAGCCAAGTCGGGCGTGATGGTCCTTCCCACGGGAGCCGGTCTAATCTTATCAGTTCCCTTGGCCGGATTTCTCACCTCTTACTTTGGCTATTACAACCCGTTCATGATCCTAAACAGCATTCTCAGCCCCCTTGCCGCCGGCCTTCTGACAACCATGAACCCGCAGACCAATTTGTGGAGACTGCTCGTTTACCAAGCATTACTCGGATTTGGCGTTGGAATCGGCTTCCAGGGCCCGCAGGTAGCAGTGCAGACTGTCCTAAACGATGGCGACTCCCAAATTGGCATTGCCATAATTCAGCTTGCCCAGGCTTTAGGGCCTGCCATCTTCGTTGCAGCTGCACAGACAATCTTCACGAGTAGATTGGTGTCTCGCTTGAAGGGCTTTTCCGGCTGCCAGGGACTCGCCGGTCTTTCTGATCAGGGACTGACAATGCCGGAAGGAAAGGACGGCGACAAGTGCGAGGCGGTACTGAGCTACAGCAAGGCATTGGCCGAGACCTTCTACCTTCCCGTTGCTCTCGCATGTATGACTATGATAGGAGCCCTCGGAGTGGAATGGCGATCTGTGAGAGGCAAAAAAAGGACATGATATCGACTAGCTACCAAGGAGAGAAACAGTGTTCACGAATAGAACTGATCGTTCCCTCATCGCGTGGAAATTCGGACCGAACTCGACGACTATCGAATTTGTCTGTTATTGATCTCTTCGATATTGCTCCACCCATCCATGTCGGCCGTGGCGGTCCGGCTAGCTATAATATAGAAACTAGATATATAACCTAGATAAACTCTAGGGGTTCTAATAGATAAGGTTGCTAAGATAGGGCTGCTGGCCAGGTAGAGATAGCAGGCACGGTCCGTATTTAATAATAATGAGGCATCGCGGACTAATCGATACTTGACTTTGGGGGTTTGGGCCAGGTGTGCTTCGAACTCTTTTCACGGCAGGTTTTAGGGTTAATCAAGGTGAAGAGGGTTTGCCGACGATGATCCTACAACTGGGCGTTAGAGCCGAGAGATCAGCCGAGTGTTATGGAGAAATTTGGGGCATAAGTGCGGTATCGTCATGGCGGATCGAAGGATTTAAAGCATTCAACGGCCTCCAACGCGTCATATTGCCCAAACTGCCAGATGCCCATGATATAATAGATCCTCATCTGTGTCAGCCAAGGAAGATTAATCCCATCCCACCCAAGACCGAGGCGATGAGAAGACCCCTTTGCAGAACAATGTTTGCCCCAGCATCGGGCTCACCGTCCTTCCCTGTGTCACAGTTGTCGCCGAAACATTCCTCGTAGCCGACAAACTCGGAATCAGGGGCATGAGCACCCAAGCTTTCAAATGACACAATGTCCTGCTTCCCATCGGATCTCTTGCTCAACGGCGCTAGGCTGACCTCCATGTTCTTCGAGTCGAAGGCCAGGTAAGTGTTCTTCAGGGCCATGCTGCCGATGACCCACGTTGTAGCGCCGCTGGAGTCGTAGTAAAATGTATCAAAATGTTCCGTAGACTGTATACCAAGCAGGCAGTGCTTTGAGTATTCCGTGGCGTCTTTCTCAGACGGCCTGAGAAGGTGCCACTGCTCAGCGGGCACGACCAAGTCCCGCAAGTTGGCGGTGAGTCGATAGCCCCCTTCGCCGCCAAGCTCCAGGGTGAAGCTACCGTTGAGACTCGAGGCCCTGCTGCATTCTACTGTCCTAAGCCCAATGTTGTGCCATATGGCGACGTTTGGGTTCATCCGGTAAATGGGGTCAGCAACGTAGCTGGGTACATTGGTGAATGTGAAGGTAGGATCGACAGTTGCGTAGAACGTGCCGCCTCGGCTGGAGTTCACATATTGAATTACCTCCTCATCCGAAGACTCACTCCACCATACAGCAGATACATTCGCAAAATAACCGGGCACAAAACTCGCTTTGCCGCCAAAGCTCTCGGGGGCAAACTTGTCCCGACCAGCAGAGGCCTGGATGCGCTGGAGCTTACCCTCGTATTTGCTCTTGTCAACAGCGCCGAAGAGAATTACCCCAGTGGTACCATTGCCCCTTTCCGCATAGATGCTGAAGACGGGCGAGTCGATGACCTTCTGGTTCGCCATTTGATCGAGAATTGCAGTTCTGTCTTCGAAAAGATAGCCTCCCGGGTACCCCCAAGGAGTACTCAGGCCGAAGAATCCAGTGTCAACGTATGTATATATAGCGATACCCAGGCTTGCGTTTCTCATCTCGGCGGCGTCGATCCTGAGCACGTCTTGCATCATGACCCCCTCAACGTAAACCCCAACATAGTCTGTGAGATATATGTCCGAGGAGTTGTATGTAGAAGTGGATGATGTTTCATCGTCAAATGCGCCACTGCTGCAGTCACGGAAGTACTTCGCCAGGTCAGAGTCGTTGCTGGGATTGCAGAGATGGTTGTAAAGAACGAAAGTGTCGCTGTGAGTGAGACTGAGGACCAGTGATTGAGTCTGCGCCGGGGTACCAACACCAAGTTCTATAGCATAAGGATACCAGGGGATGTTGCCAACGAATGGGTGATTCGGGTATTCCAAGGGCTGGAATTGCTTTGCAAAGACCTCGAAAGCTTGCGCTTTGGGTGCTGATAGAGATGCTTGAACGTGCGCATCGACGCCAGCTGCGAGAAGCAGCGGTATTATAAAACGAGAGGATGCCATCTCAAAGCTTTAGTTGCAGAAGTAGGAGCAATGGTACTGGTCCATCGAGGTCTCTCGGCAGAGGGCATCACAACGAGAAGAAAAGGGGTTTGGGGGGGGGGGGGGACAGTCAGAGGGTTAATACTGTACTCCGTCCAACGGGCATTGTTCCGCAACTTTAACAATCGGCTGGTTGATGAAATTGCAATATAACTGACGCCCTTCATTAGCCACTTTTCCGCTTTCTCCCCATTTGGCTGGTGGTTACATTGGATAGATGAACTGGCCCGTGTTGCTGACATTTTACTTTCTAGGCCTGATCCAAGTCGCCATTTAGGCATGCATGCCTACAGGCCTGGCCAGTGTGCAGCCCAGAGAAGGAGCGGAAGCCCAGAGGTTTCAGCCTCGGCTACCAAATCACCTGGTGATAAGTGGACACCAGATGAAGAAAATTGAGATGAGGAAGATATTGAAGATAATGCGCCCAGGATGGGAAAAGATGGTCGTTCTTCGGCCGAGATCTAGCGCATCCTATCCCGTCGTTCCCAGAGCACGATGCAGGCTCGCTACTCGACTAGGCCAAGGCGTTAATGGCATTAAGTGCAGAAGCTCGAGATTTCAGATTAGCGGGCAAGGAATGGCGCCACTTTTCCCTGGTTTACCCTTATGGCGAATTAACCATGGTCCTGGCAATGGGTGCATCAGCGAGATCAGATCAATCGGCCCAGATATCAAGAACAGCGATGTAGGCAGACCTCTGCACACAGTAACGGAATCCACCACCAATACTTCTAGTGAATGGAATATGGAACCAAATTCGAAAAGAAAGACCGTTAAAGAAAGTACCAGTAAGTGATCCCTTCGAAAGACCCCTGGACAACGCCCAACGCAACGGACTATCGCACACTGAGCCTACCTAAATTGAGCTGGCCTCCGCATGTTGCACCTATATTCCCCCTAGCTCCTGTGAAGTGCTTCTGGACAAGTAACAGCTTACTAACATCCCTCTACAGATGTTGCCCGGCTAGCATGCCCAACTGCACGCGGAACCCAGCCGCTCAACTTGGACAATTTCTGGAAATTCCAATCGACAGGGTTGCTGAGCTAGTACTGCTGGCTAGCTAGAGATAAGAAACAGCGTGATCCTTGCTTTGTATGGAGGTACGCTACTCTAGAATAGTTCTATTATATTAGGCCATCATAGCAAGCTTCGAATTACCTGCAACGGGTGCTACGAGCAAGCCGCGATCACCACAAGACTGGAGAAGATATATAAACCGCACTTATTGTTATGCAGTTATTATATAACTCGCTATCTTACAACATCACACGTCCGGAAAGAAATAAGAACTTGAGTGGGCAATGTTCACAGCTCGCCGGAAGCCGCTGCAAAAGCCGTTGCAAGAACTGATAGATGGCTTCAAGTACTCCATCCTCACGGCCACTTCATGATAGTTCAATGGTTCTGTATCCATCTGGTATGTCCTCGCGACATTCGCAGCGATGAGGAGCTCCCGTTCTCCTAACGCAAGATAGTTCCTAGACCACCGGGTTCCCGTATACCGAGTCTTCTGTCTTGCCCGTCCTTTTCTCTCTCCTCTTGCTCGACATTGTCTATATCTTGTGGGTTGGGTCCCTGTGGCCGTTCTAAGGATTATAATCTAGCTATGGCGTATAGAGAAGATGTCGGCCATTAGGTAAGATAGAAATGGGTCGTTAGCGATGGATTGAAGCTAGTTATATACTTCGTAGTTCCGAACCTCAGGAGATGGAAGGCCAAATTCTGCCCGTGGCTCACAGAGATAGTACATATATCAACTTTTTCGGGACTAAATTGTTTCATATAGCCAAGATATATATGCATGGTAGAAGCTATCCTTTCGGCGAGTGATTCAATATAAATCTATAAGCTTAATGGAATGATCATTCAAATAAATGTCTCGCGAAACCCCTACCTTGGGGTCTCAGACCAGCTTCGCCACGATTCGCGGTACTCCGCACATCGACCTGCCAAGCGACCAAGAAATTACACACTCCGACATTACATGCGCCAGGCCTCATGGTTATCCATCTTCCCGGGCCGCCGCCGCTGCTTTTGAGCCGTGTGCCTTCGTATGGCCTACCATACCGATCCTGATCCATGGTAACCCCGCAGGTGCGAATCTCGGATCAATTGAGATTCTCCGCATCCTTGCAAACTCCAATTTCCCATCTTTCGCGCCTGATTTCCAATACCAACGTCGCATCGCCACTCCACAGTCGAAGGCCTTTCTCGCTGGGATAAGATCAAGGCAATAAACTTACCCAGGACCCTGGCTGTGGGCCTCGGAAACGGATCGACTCATCAATTCAACGCCCTTTTTTCTCGTATACAGCTGCCGACATCGAGGAGTCTAGCAAACGCCGAGCCGGGTTTTGATGTTCCCCCGCACGTAAATCACTGCCTAAGTTGAAGATGTGAATACAGCCTGAATCGTATGGTAACATTCGTGAATATCCCACGAGCTAGTAGGGTCTCATCCAGGGAGAGTTAGCGTAGCACCCACCGCGTTGAATAACAATGCTGCCGAGAGCGGAAATTTTCAATTGGGGTCAGTTCCAGGGGAAGAAGGGAGATGTGAAGCGGCACGATCTTGGCAAGATGCGAAGTACAAGTTTGGGATAAATATAGAAAGGGGCGTCGGCGACCGAACAAACAGAACATGACTCTCACGCAACACAGGGTCCAAACATCCTAAGGGCTTCCCAGCTTCCTTTGTTCTCTGGTCACGCCCATCCGTACGATAATGCGTGGCTCGTTGTTACTCGCATCCCTCATCGGCCTCGCGGTCGCCGAGGATGGCCTGGCTGCCTGGCTACGCTATGCCCGCATCCCAGGTGGCAAATGCCACCGCAAGAAATTGCCCTCTGCTATAGTCACCCTCAACGCGACCGAGGGGCTGCCTGTCTACACCGCCGGCCAAGAACTTGCTGAAGGCATCAGCAGCATGTTCGGCAAGAAGCTGACCCTCGAAGAGTCCGGCACCGATGCCGACGTTCCGACAGTGACTGTGGGTACCGTCGGAGCTTACTCCGAGAGCGGCGGTGATGTCGAGGACCTGCCGGAACTTATCGAAGACGGCTATTACCTCCACATCTCTGGTAGTGATGTCTTGATCCTCGGTCAGAATGAACGCGGGGCCTTGTACGGAACTTTCCAGTACCTTGCGCGGTTGGCTCAGGGGAAAGTTTCGGACGAGTCTTTCGCTTCGAATCCAGACGCTCCTGTTCGATGGGTGAACCAGTGGGATAATCTTCGCGACGGAGGCACTCACGGAAGTGTGGAGAGAGGTTACGGCGGTGACTCTATTTTCTTCTGGGACGGAAAAATCCGCGATGACCTCACGCGAGCGGGCCAATACGCTCGCCTCTTGGCATCAATCGGCATTAATGCCGTGGTTGTCAACAATGTCAACGCCAACGAAACAATCCTTACCGAGGAGAACATGGACGGTCTGGCAAGGATCGCTGACGAGTTCCGCCCCTACGGTATCCAGCTTGGTCTGTCCCTCAACTTTGCTTCACCTCAGACCTTGGGTGGCCTGGATTCCTTTGATCCGCTAGATGAGACCGTCATCGAATGGTGGCAGGGCATTACTGATTCTCTCTACGAGAGGATTCCCGACATGGCTGGCTATCTCGTCAAGGCCAACTCCGAGGGCCAGCCCGGACCCCTCACCTACAACCGAACGCTTGCGGACGGCGCGAATCTCTTTGCTCGCACCCTGCAGCCCCACGGCGGTATCATCATGTTCCGTGCTTTCGTCTATGACCACACAAGCTTGAATCAGGACCTTGACTGGAAGGCTGACCGCGCCAATGCCGCCGTCCAGTTCTTCGATGGCCTCGATCCCCAATTCGAGGACAACGTCGTCATCCAGATCAAGTACGGCCCCATCGACTTCCAAGTCCGCGAACCCGTTTCGCCCCTCTTCGCTCACATGCGCGAGACGGGAAGCGCGATCGAACTGCAAATCACCCAGGAATATCTCGGACAGCAGGCTCACTTGGTATACCTCGCTCCGATGTGGAAGGAACTCCTCGACTTCGACCTCCGCGTTGACGGTGAAGACTCTGCCGTGTCCGATATCATCAATGGAAAGAGGTTCAACAACACGCTTGGAGGGTACGCCGGTGTCGCCAATGTTGGCCATAACACTACTTGGCTCGGCAGCCACCTTGCCATGTCCAACCTCTATGCCTATGGCAAGCTTGCTTGGGATCCGTCTTCGGAGCCTGTTGATATCCTCGAGGAGTGGATCAAGATGACGTTTGGCCACGAGCAAGAGGTTATTGATGTCATTACCGAGATGTCCATGGAATCGTGGCCAGCATACGAAAATTACACAGGTAACTTGGGCATCCAAACGCTCACCGATATCCTCCTCGGGCACTACGGTCCCAACCCGGCATCTCAGGATGGTAACCCTTGGGGCCAGTGGACCCGAGCAGATGGGGATACCATCGGCATGGATCGCACGGTATTGAATGGCACCGGAAATGCCGGCCAGTACCCCGAAGAGGTGTTCGAGATGTACGAGAACATCGAGACAACCCCGGATAACCTGTTGCTCTGGTTCCACCACGTACCCTACACCCAGGTCCTCAAGAGCGGAAAGACAGTCATTCAACACTTCTACGACGCCCACTATGCCGGCAGCGCAGTCGCACAGTCCTTCGTCCCCCGCTGGGAGTCCCTAAAGACCAAGATCGACGCCGAGCGCTACGAACACGTGCTCTTCCGCCTTGTCTACCAGGCCGGCCATTCGCTCGTCTGGCGTGACTCCATCAACAACTTCTACTTCAACAAGTCGGGCATTCTGGACGAGGCCGGTCGTGTGGGCAACCACCCGCATCGCATCGAGGCCGAGGACATGGAACTCGATGGGTATAGGACCTATCTTGTCAGTCCGTTCGAGGCGGCCAGCGGCTCGCTGTGTATTGTGACGGCGGATAACTCGACTCAAGGCACCGCGTCTACGAAACTGGATGTTGAGGCGGGTACGTACAACGTTGCGGTCAACTACTACGACCAAGCTATTGGCAACTCGACTTGGGAGCTCTACTTGGACGAGGAACTGGTTGGCAAGTGGCATGGGGACCTGGAGTATGAGCTCGGTCGTGCGCCGTCTCCTTACATCGATGGACACACAGCGGCCCGTATCACGTTCAAGGGCGTTCAGGTCGAGTCTGGAAGCATTCTGCGTATTGTCGGTACGCCTGATGGCGAGGAGCCTGCTCCGGTGGATTACATCTCTATTCTACCCGAGGATGTGATAGATTAGAGAGATATTAATGCTTATTATCTTCTTGTTTTATTTTTTTAATAAGTTTACAAATACAACTTGGTTTATCAAGCCACGATTAAGAATAGTAGAGTGCCGGCATATGTATATCCCCCCTCGCCCAAAACCAAACCAGAAAAAAAAAGGGAAGTTTTGTAGCATTGCTAGGTTTCGATCCTAGGTCCCCTGGGTTATGAGCCCAGTGCTCTACCCCTGAGCTACAATGCTTTAGGTTCGTGTTCGCTCCACATAGTCCTGTTAGCCTTTTGGGCTCCAGCATCCACTTCCGACAAGATGTACAAGAGTTCCCGCATCCCCAGCAGAAATGTCTTAGAAGCCCATAGCCCTTGTGCGACTTTCATGCAGCCAAATCGATCAAGACGTGTTGCTCTGTTCTGGCAGAGTATACTGTATCACAAGAACCCATTTCCTCGTCCTAAAAAACCGACGAGGGATATCGGTCGCTTTGAGAGTTGAGCTCCATTCGCGTCTCGCCTGCGACTGCTAAGTAGCCTGCTATAGGTGCTTTCCAAGGATGAAGCCAGGCGGACGGTGCCATAGGGAACTCGACAGCATCTCCCCTAACGCCACCGACTTCCCGCCTTCGAAGAGACCGAGGTGTGTTGCATCAGGTGGCGTCCACAAAATAGCGTCCGCCCTGTCACTGAGGGATTTTAGCCTCTACTTAGGTAAACCTCTCCAGGGATCTTAAACGTTAGTGCGAGAGATCGTTGCCACCACCTAACATATCCCTGATCAAGTGCTAAAAGGTATATATTCTAACACTTTATATCTGAGAATACCTACGTAGTACCTGTCATAAGATAGGTCAGGTGGTAGAATCTGATCTCCCACGCTAACGTTTAAGGTCCCTGGAGAGGTTTATTTCGAGCCTGCATCATCGCTGTTCTTCGCTCGACTCGGTAATTATTAGCAACACACCCTAAAGCGAACTGCTTCAAAAGGTAGCACGAAGGAATGGACATCAGAGTCTGGTATCTATTGCCTTATTTACTGAGAAATAATACCCCCGGTCGGATAATACTGAGGTAGAGAGGTATGGGGAAATGATACAGCACTAAGGGTCTGCAAGGCTCGGAATATTACCTGCAATGTGACATGGATGGCTTGCTAGGTCAATCTCCAGAGCTGGGATTCTGGAAATATAAAAACCCAGAGCCTGGTTCCCCCTGGTTCCCCCTATCGTCCAGCTGCAGAACACCTGATCCAGCGCCGCATACCAATCACGACGGGCAGTGACATAGTGTCCGTTCTCTTTGCCCCATGAACCGCGTGATCAAACAAAAAGCGACTGTCGGGATATGCCACCTTATGGCGTGTTAAGCCAGGTTTCCATCGTCGTCCATCGGAGCATTTCCGCACAAAATGTGGCTGGAAATGGCAACGAGCGATTGTACTATCAGTCAATATTGTTGCTGAGCTGTAAGCTGGGTGCTCTTTATATGCTTTCCAGGGAGCAACCCCGCCACTCTTTAAAATGGCTGGCCAGAAAGAGGCAAGGCTATTCCGTCGGAGGTCTCCTCAAACTGGCCACTCGAATGGAACACAAAGTAGGGCGCAGTCCGCTCGCCGTCAAGCTCGCTAATGAAAAGCCAAGACACGCTGAAATGTGTGATATATTCCCCAGAGCGCTGCCCGTCCATCGCCAAAATATGGGGAAACCTTTTAACTGCGACCATGGTCTGACCCTAATAACATCCTCCCATTCCTATAGATTGTTCTGTAAACACCTCCTCCCTTACTTTCGTCATGCCTGGCAACCCCGATTTCCCTTCCGACCACATAGATTTCCAAACTCACGACGATGACCTAACTCAAGAGGAGAAACTGGCGAAAACCCTGACGTTCATCGGCGCATCGGCCGTCAGTCTTCTGTGCTATGAGAGCGAAGACGACGTCGCAAGCGTCTTGCGCAACGATGACCGGTTCAGGTTAGTTAGGGCACAAGACATTGTGTCTGGCATTTGGCCAGTGGTCAACGTTGCAGCTACAATGCAGCCAGGTGGAGAAAACCGTGCCGTCGCGTTACTCGCCTGGTCAAACCGCCTTCAGACGCTTTTCTTGGGCTTCCGAGGAACGCAGAGCATGGCTGATGTTCTCTCCAACCTTAATGTCCTCCAGGCGGCAACGCCGAACTTGGGTTCGCGCTTTCATGCTGGGTTTCTTGCACGGGCTTCTCAATACACCTCGCTGATCGAGCAGCTTGTTAAGGAGTACAGGCTAGTCGTCTGTGGTCACAGCTTGGGGTAAGTGGCACGTTGTGGACAAGTGTATATCTAGCCTTAATGCTGAAGTCCGTGTGTATCTAGGGGTGCCATGGCCACCATCGCGACATACACTGTCTTGGCCAATGATGGCAACTTCCGGTCAATAGGAAACGTATGGAATGCGAATGAGCAAAGGAGGTTGTCTGCCGTGACATTCGGCTCTCCGTCGGCCATGGTTGTCGAGGACTCCGGAACAACCGCAGCGCTGCGAAAAGAATGGGCTCTCCACTTCCACCACGTCATCAATCCCGATGATTATGTCCCTTTCGCGTTGAACCACTCCTCCCAGTTGGCCAAGGCATTCTTGCCTTCCGCGGTTGGGATCGTTCTGGGCGTATTCCCACAATTGGAACCATTCAAGAAGCCTTTGACCCTTTTGCTGGAGTATTGGCAAAAGAACAGGGCGCAGTTTGCCCACTTTGGTTGTATTTACCTGCTGGAGAATAACAATCCTGGCATCAACTGTCGCCAAATCACCATGGAGAGGCACATCCCCAGCACGCCTGAGCTTTCCAACGTCGGTCGTTTCCATTTGATGGAGCATTATGACGACTGCGTTCGCAGAACTCTACGCCAAAGACATCGATTCCATGAGATTGACCCGAAGACATCAATAAGTGTCGACCAATTCCGCTGGCGCTGCCTCCCTCTGCCTGATGCAGTTCATGAATGTAATGGGGCGATCCATGACAATAAAGTCATCATCTCCATTACAGTGAAATCGCGCCTTGTCCAATTCTTCCTGAAAAGGGTCACATTTAAGGCGAAAGGAAGTGAGGTTCAAGTGAGCAATATTCACTTTGCTCTCAAGCCCGATAACCATGATCAGGTATGTGATCAATAGTTAACCATGGAGACGCTTACTTTTGACTGACTATGCCATGAATCACGATAGATCATTGTAAAGCTCCAATATGATATCGATCCCAATGAGGAGCCTGCGGTGGCACTTGCGCTGGTGTATTCAATACAACGGGAATTACGCATCCACGATGTGTTTGGCGGATCCACTATGCTGTCAGTTAGTGAGATCAGAAGCACTTCGTTGCGATACGCGAGCTTGCCGACAACCTTCGAATCTCTTCGTCTAGCCATGATCATCGCCTTTGCTGATCAGATAGCAAAAGTCCAAACGCTCAAGCTCAACGATACGGAGAGTGATGAGGCGAATCGTGAGAACGCAGGCATCCTCACCGAGAGAGCAGCATCGATAGCCAATCTGGTGGATAGTACAGTGTCGGCTGCCGTTCCCCATCTTGTTGTTAGCCAGCTTCAACACGCACTAGGGCTCCTGAAGGAGCTATGGCCCAAATATAGCTGGCATGAAGAAAAGACCTCCCCTTTAAAAACTAGAGATATGACCGTATCTGGGGAAGAGGCAGTCCCGGGGTCCTATCCTGTCGAGCATCTTAAAGACCGCATCCCCCCGGATTGCCCAGAAGAGCTGAGGAGCTTGCTATCGGAGATGATGGAGACGCTCCAGAAAAATGGGCTGCGTGCATCTTGCCTGTCTATACGAAACTGGGAGAGACAGGGGCAGTTAAAGTTGGCGAATGTCATTCCCGACCTCACTTCGTTCGCCGAGGCCCTGAGGAAATTCAGTCGAAACTTGTACGACCGCCCGGTCGATCCCAAAGAACGAATTGAGCATGCCATCAAACAGGCAAGCGAAGTTTTGACTGCCATCCGCTTTTGCCACCTCGTCATTCTCACACAACTCGATGCTCCCCACGACTGGTACTACGAGGCAAAGGAAGACCCCGTCCGCTTCGGAGTGCTCGCAGCGGGTGGCGGCCCGTTATTAGCAGCGGGGTCTGCCTCTCGGTACTTGGCGGCTGCTGTTCCGGCCATGGAGGGCGCGGCCGGACTCGGATTGGTTGCCCTTACTTCCGTTCTCGGCTTCGCAGCTTCAGCTGTAGCCTTCTTTTTGGGCGCTGGCGTATACTACAACTTGCTGCCTCGGAAACAACTTCTCCACCTCAACTTCGAGAGCAAGCTACAAATGAGCCTCGAAGTGCTCGGTATTCAGTGTTCGCCTCTGAATAGCATCGGGGAGGCGCCGCTTGCCGACCATCTCAAAGATGATATGCAGAATGCAGAGAGCCCGCAGACACTGAAGGATTGGCGACAAAAACTTAGAAAAGGGATCAAGAAGCATCCAGCGGTGAAATCCAACTGGCTCGTCGAACCTACCGTCTACTGGTCGAAGTGGCTCTTCGATGTGGCGAGGGTTGGACAGTTGCGAGATCTCATGGCCAGTCAAATCCGCGTCGGCGTCGAGGGGCCTACCGAAGCTGGCAAGAGTCAACTCCTCACAACTCTTACCGGCGCTCCCGAGGAGGTCTTTCGGCCTGGTTCTGGGGCTAACTGCCGTACGATGGAGATTCAACTATACAACCCGCTCGAGCTCAGTGCTGTTTTCATGGACTGCCCAGGTGCCGATGATAAAGATGAGCGGATCCGAGAAATGGCTTCCCTGTTCCGTGAGATGTTTGGCATCATTATTTTCGTTGTTCCATCCGATATTAAATCCCGCTCAAAAGCGACAGACGAAGCCCTTCAGGAGATTGCGAATCTTCTCCGTGATCACAAAGATCTCCGCCCGGTTCGAATCCTGCTTAGCAAAGCCGATCAACTCAGTTTCAACCGCAAGAAGGACGAAGTCTTCCCCAACGCTCTTTTGCAAAGCAAGAAAACCGTCATTGAGGAACTCAAACGCCTCGGCGAATTGGGCGACGACTTCGTCATTCATTCCAGGAGGGCGTGCGGTGATACTTTCCTTTTGGCTACCGAGACTTTGGAAGATATTGTGCAGCCGTATTCGACATATGCTCAGATGAGCTTGGACGGAAGAGCAGCCTTGTCGGACTGTCCGGCTGGCGAAGAGCGTATGATCGAGGGGCTGTGCCAGTTTCAGAGCCTCTATCGGATGGCCGAAGAGGGCAAGATGTGGGATGTTGAATCTCTACGACAGTGGCTTCGTACGCTCTCGCCGAACAGCGTACCGAATTCCAGGGGGCGGGTGTATCACACGAAGTAATCGATCAGGGGGAAAATTCCACGTGAGTACATGCAATTTTAGGAGCTGGTCCAGGAAATCTCTGTCTTAGATTATTCTTCTTCATTTTTCTTTACTTTTCTTTCTACTGTTCTATTTTCTTTGCCTTTCCACGCAGCTGAAACATCATGGCTGAGACTTCCTACTGAGACTTCCTAGGTTTCCTAGGGAGTCCCTCGGAGAATACGAATCATACATAGCTAAGCAATCTACTCATTGATAGACGGACCTAAAATTCCGCGAAATTGAATATCGCTGGGATATTACGGGCAGCAGGAGTATTACCCCTTCACTGCATATACTTTAAAACTAGCTCAACCTGCATAAGTGGACGGCGTTTGTAATGTGTCAGTTGTCAAACCACCGCGTTAAAAGCTCACGTTCAAGTCACAGTTGAGTATAAAGCTATAGGTTAACGGACTTTACAATGGCATTTTAGCCACGGTACTTGGTAAACCTCGCATCAGCATCTCGAGGCTCTCATGCCGTAGCCCTTAGAAAATGGTGGAGGTCGTAGGCGAGATATGTCTAATTGCAAGTTGTATTGCATAACTAGCTAAACTGCCCTCATTCACCGTGAACACCCTACCATCGACCTAACCCCCGCTCCCTACCCTTAGCCCTCACGCGCTCACATCCCCTCATGCTGACCAGCGTGACGGCATATGGTCAAGTCATGGAACTGCAACCCCATCAACGATAAAAAGAACCACCGTCCTCCAGTTACTTGTACTGAACAAGTATGTCATCTACCATGATGCCGATCTTAATTCGGGCGGTACGATGCAGACGTGGCACAAGTTGCCCGGCCGCAGTCGACGGTTTTCGTGGTTTCCACGCTTGTGATCGTGCCATCGGCCTTGATCGTGGTCCTCGAGGTAAAGGTAACGGTACACCTAGAGAGCATTGGTTAGCTATTATCTAACATCATGAGCGGAACTTCTGGGGTTCTATGCCCGTGTAACCTACATGTTTGCCAATGGTTTCTCGCTTCGAGCGCGGTAGTTAGATTGGAATTGTGGATTGGTGGAATGAATTGTGAAAATGCAGCAGAGAGGAGACAGAACGCTGTAGAGAGGATTGTATTGAGCTAAGATCTTGGAAGATTCGGTTTGAGAGGGGATGGGGATAGGAAGAAGAGAATCTAAGTCTCATAGCTGGCGGACTCGAGGGCATATATATATACACAAGATTAAAGTCAGGCAAAATACAAAAAGAAGGAAAGAAAGAAAAGAAAAAAGAAATTGGAATCTGGAAATTTAGAAATGGGCACTCTCGCCAGCTGCGCCAACCAACATCAGGCCTCTTCCAACGAGACCATCATCACCAGACTCTCGCCACGGAAGCAACAGGTCGATCGTTAGGCCGCGACCGGGTCTCCAGGTTGTATAATGAGCCGTTCCGCCTGACTCAAGTGATACATTTTCAAGGCAAGGCAGGCCAAAGCCCAGTCCAGAGGAGATTTACTGGTTCAACAGGGCATGAGGCAAGACCAAACGTTTTGATCAGCCACGAAGCGGTCAACAAGTGCGCAACCCACGAGGCAGTGTCGCGTCACCCGGGGACAGGAAAAATCAGGGGAAGCAATCCTCGTTATCAATTCTATCTACGAAAACTGAAGGACTAGTAGGCATTTTCTAGATTTTACAATGCCTGAAAGGGCATGAAACTGGCCGGTAAGGTACGGCCCCTATTCAATTCTACTAACACCACAACGTATTGACCGGCGGCTCTCCTCAGATCCCTGGGTCCGCCAAACGCCAACAAGCTGGCACACAGAGTTATGGGGGCATAAGCTTCCTTGACAAGGTTATCCGTATCATGCGAGCTGATCCCCTTGCCAATGAAAGCCCCCCGGCGAGGTCGTACGCGTGACAAGGTTTCACGAAGCGCCTGAATCGCTGAATTGATTGGTCAAGCTGACCCTTCATCCACTTTGGTCAAAGTCGGACATCCCAAGTCGGCTGAGCCCCGGCCAGGCACCCATTTCCTTGGGGAACGTCCAGGCTGTGCTCATACTCACAACCCAATGAAAGTAGAAAAAGATCAGCCATTCCGAGTTTCATGTCCACTTTATTGAGGCAATGCTGAGCTGCCTCCACGACCAGCTTCAGTCCAAGGGTGGCAAGAACGCCCGACATTTAACCGGTGAGCCCCCCTCGTCTTGAGTCTTGATTCCATCTCACGGAAACTCATTGAAACCCGTTGCCCTCTCATTCCAAGATTCATTCCCAGATTCGACTCTACCCACCCTAAGGACCGAGAAGAATCCGGATTTTAGTTTACTATACGACAAATTCATGAAGTCGACTCGCTAGAATGAGCCCACCATCCACAGAAACCCCTCCTCGAAAGAGGGCCCCTCCTTTGAAGTCAATTCGAGACCTCACCCTCGTCGAAGCCTGGGACACAGAAAGAAAGAAACCCAAATACGTTACTTTCTATCTCATCACCCCCGAAGAAGAGGTCTTCTTTGGCCAGTCTTTCAAAAATAAGAGAGAGATTAGCCTCGAAGAGTACAGCGCAGGACTGGAGCACATCCCCGACGAAGAGCTCTATCCGGAAGTCCCCAAGGACATCAACTTGACGATCGCACCCGACCACTTGGACGATGTGTCCGCCTTTATCAAACGACCAGGTCTTAACTCTTACGAGACCATGAAGGGAACGGAGTTCATCCCCAAGGAGATCTTGACTGAGACTCTAACTATGGAGGAGATATCCAAGATAAACCATCCGAACATAATCAAGTATCACGGTTGCCACGTGAAACGCGGACGCATCACGGCGATAGTTTTGGAACGGCTGGATCAGACTCTGATGCAATATGCTCCCACACCCGCTTTCCAGGAACTGGATAAAGTCAAGTTCATCGAAGCTCTCGAGTCAGCTGTCAACGCCTTGCATTCTCTAGGGTTCGCACATAACGATATCAATCCTTACAACATTATGGTCAAAGACGGAATGCCGATTCTGATCGACTTTGGGTCCTGTCAGCCTTTTGGGAAGCGTCTGCAGTCACTTGGGACCCGGGGATGGTACGAGGAACTCTTTTTTACTTCCGAGAAGAATCATGATGAATATTCTCTTGGAAAGCTACGACAATGGATGCAAAATCCGGAGACATGAGTGGTGGATGGACAAGCGAAGGATCAATTCCTATACATGTATACAAGCCATTCAACGTGAGCCCTTTGAGCCGTTACAAACATCAAAATCAAGCCTTTTGGTTTGAAACATATCAGTCTCGGTGTAGTACTAATGGTTGAGCGGATCTAATGCCATTCTTCACCCGAGGAACCTCCCCGGTGTGTCTTTGAATATAACTGCTATCTGGAAGCTATTATCTCCGGCTGTTCTTTATAAACCCAGCTGACGGCTGTAAAAAGAAATGTGTTCCGTCACTTGTTTTGTTAAAAAGTGATTGTCAAGCAACCAATAATTATAACGCCAACCCTAATTATCTAACCCTAAGGCGTCTGTATGACCTGTCTTCTGTTTCCCGGATCAGTTATGCCCTCCCGAAGGGTGACTTGGGAACAGTCCTGATCTCATTCGGGACTTCGAGTTCCCCTATTATTCAATACTCCAGAAGAACTACTCTGAATACTGTCATAGGGATGTCCGAATTTCCGGCTTGCGGAGTAAGTCAACCATCGATATTGAAATAGCAGGAGAATTGCCCCCAATTAAAGACCTCTTAAAAACATCCCGTGCAGCCACAAATCTAGTTTCCTACTTGCTGCCGCATCCCTAACTGAGCGCCTTTCTGCGCGTCTGGGGTAGATACCTGTATATCAAATTTATGTTCTATTACAACAAAGTCTACGTACGCCAGAATCGCATGCACTGTTTGGGCCGAGTTCGCCCACTAAGGCTTATACCGCAGCAAAGTAAGAGATGCAGCAGGGAACTCAAAGCAATGGCTCGAGGGCCATGTGATGTCCTCCTTTGAAATCCCCGCGTCTCGTTCTAACACGCTCTTTCCCGTAACCTTGTGCACCTCGACCTTCGCACCGGCCGGGATCCCCTTCAACTGTGTCTCAATCGCCCTGTTCTCCGTGATATTCACAACAGCCAACGAAACGACGCCATTATCCTGCAGCGCAGCGCTAACATCCAACCAAGGAGTCTCCACGGTGCCCCGGATCCAACCCGGGCTCGTCTGCCCCTCGTACTCGCCGCAACGGACGTTCACTGCCAGGCTCTGACCCCTCATGTACTTACTGAATAGCACGAGGGGCCACCAGGGCGGCTGCTTCACGATCCCCTCTTTAGTCGTCATGAGCGGGGAGATGACGTTTACGGATTGCGCGATATTTGCCATCCCTATGTGCTCCGCCTGTCGCACGAACACGTTGAGCCAAACGGCGACGGCGAGGGCATCGGAGAGGGTGTAGGCTTCCTCAGCGCCCTTTTCGCCGGGTGCCCGCTGAGGATCCCATACGTTCCACTCGTCGAAGCATATCTTCTGGCGGGGGACGGTATGGGGGACTTTGTTTTCGATGCGCGCGAGGTCAATAAGGCTCGCGGCAATCTGGATGGCGCGCTCAGCAGAGCGAGGGGCTATTTTTCTCGGATTGTTAGCGCACAATGAAAACCAAAGAAGAAAAAAATTTGACCGTATCTAGATACTGGAGGGGAATCTAGAATCGTACCGGTGACATTTTTCAAGTGGTCGTCTGAGGCGGTGTAAATGTGAATAGAGTGCATATCGATCAAAGAGGCCGTGGTGCTGCCTCCTAGTCCATGAAGATCGTAGCGGATGCACTCCTTGATAACATACGAGTCCCAAGAAGAGTAGCCCGTCTCTCCGCAGAGGATCAAGACGATGGACGGGTCGAGGAGCTTGAGGGCTTTAGCCCACTGGTAAGCTTTGTCGGCATATGCCTCCTTGGTCATCTGGCCGACTTGCCAGGGCCCCCACATCTCATTTCCTAGGGCCCAGTATTTGACCTGGTGTACTGTTAGTGGTTGCTAGGCCTTCTGCGTCTTGGGGTGGCGGGATTGTGCAGCGGTACCTTGTATGGTTTCTCCCGTCCGTTCTGCCGTCTCAGGTTCGCGTAGAAAGTATCGGCATCGGAGTTGCAGTACTCCACCCACGCCAGAGCTGTAGCTATCGGTTAGGTCTGCGGGTTTCTGCCTCGGGCTTGCAAAACAGCCTACCTTCATCGAGGGTGCCTAGAACAGAGCAGCGCCGCCATCAACATCAAACTCCTGCTACTGCCACGACTTGCGCGGTCATCGCCTGGATGAGAGACATACCAGTGCCAAAGTTGAGGGCAAAGTATGGCTCCGTCCCTACAATCTCACACCACTTAAGGAACTCATCGGTGCCGAATTGGTTGCTCTCGACGCCAGCCCAGGCGAGGTCATGCCTAAGATCCATCTAGTTATTGATACCCGAAGAGAAATCAGGTGCGTCGTTCATGTGTCCATTACCCACCTCTTCGGACGCTTCTCTCTAGGCCCGACGCCGTCTAGCCAGTGGTACGTGGCGACGAAGTTTCCGCCAGGGTATCGCACGACGGGAACGTTGAGGTCCTTCATTGCTTTGATGACGTCCGTCCTGAATCCGTTCTCATCCGAGAGAGGATTTCCCGGGTCGTAGATGCCCCCGTAGATACATCGTCCCATGTGCCTATGCACAATGAATTAGCCAGCACCGAGGTAGGGCGAGGAGAACTAAATCATGCCGAAGGATGGAAGGAGAAGGATATAAGAGAGAAAAGGAGAAGTGACATGTACGGCCGCGAAAAGTGTCAGGCGGCATACTCTGTGAAGCCTCCATAGGTATTAGCCTCGATGCGCGCGATAGTATGTGTCGCATCCACGGAAATGACCGGACGCTCCTCGTCCGGAATCTTCGTGAAACTGGTCATGGTGGTGGGTGATATTTCCTTGTTGACGTTGCACCGACGACAGGGGAGCCCGGGTGACGTGACGGAGCTTGGGAAGACTTGCAGGCAAACACGAACAAGAAGGAACAAAAGGGACAAAAGCTTCCCTACTTTATAATCATAGGTCAGTTCCAATGAAGAGAGACAAGCTTCCCCGCACTACCAAAGTTCCAATCCATTTGATCTCCACCCTTCCACAACCGAGCGCGGCTGGCACATAATACCCCGGTCTTGCCTCCCCATATTGGCTTGTTGCTACTCTGCGCCGCCCCGGCAATGCCAATTCCAGCCTCATGATTGGCGCGCATAATCCGTTTGCCGGGCCTATCATGCAGACGGACCCGGGGGCGGACAGCGCACCACACTCCCCTTCGAGGACTGCTGTTAATGGTGTGTGCGCTCGTGGTTGGATAACTGTCGTACTGTTGTTTATGGGGAAAGCTTGGAGTACGACAAGGAGGTACTATGTAGAATGGGAGGCTATATAGAGCTATGCTCCGCCATCGACGTCCATCGTCAGCAATGGGGAGGGACCCTGGATGACACGAGACTCGAAAGTGACGAGACTACCACAAGTTACAACTCTTTCCTCGATTTCTATCTTGCCAACTCCGGACTCTACCACAGCCATGGGGCTTCCACCCAAGTGGTACCAGGTAAGGAAGAAAGAATTCCCATCGCCTCTTTATACGGTCAGGTTGTAACGAGTCTCGTTCCTCGCAGTTTCTTGTGGGCCTTTTTGCCTCGCTCGGCTCTGTGACTTTCGGTTACGATCTGGGTGTTATTGCCCAAGTCATCGCGTCGCCTTCATTCCTAGAAAGGTTTGGTGATAACCCAGATGAAATGTAAGCTTTCCCGGAGAGTCTAGGAAAAAAAATTGGAAGGGGCTGCTGTTGTTGTTGTTGTGGTTGTTGTCGTAGTTGGAGATATGATCCATAGAACTGACGCCAGTTTCTGCGTGCAGCGGAGCCATTGTTTCAATCTTTACTGGGGGTGCTTTTTTCGGCGCAATGTTTGCCGGCCCCGTTGGCGACTACCTCGGTCGTAAAATGACCATCCTCATCGGCTCCCTCGTTTTCCTCCTCGGTGGCGGCCTGCAGACCGGTGCGCAAAACATCAGCTACATGTACTCGGGTCGATGCCTTGCTGGCGTCGGGTAAGCAGCATCCACTGTCGATACGTCTATTAATCTTACTTTTCTTGTGACGCTGATCGTTTTGTGTAGTGTCGGCTTTCTCACCATGATTATTCCATTGTACCAGGCTGAACTCTGCCACCCGAGCATTCGGGGTCGCGTCACAGCCCTGCAGCAGTTCATGCTTGGTGTTGGCGCCCTTGTCGCCGCCTGGATCTCCTACGGTAAGCCCGGGACCCCATTTTACCTCCGGAAATGGAAAAGGAAAAAAAAGCCCAGCCAAGACACTTTCTGACCGAGTCTCTCAGGCTCATACATTGGCTTTGCCAAGACCGACGACAAGCAGTGGCGGGTCAGTCTTGGCATCCAGAATGTCCCCGCCGGTATCTTGGGAACGCTCATCCTCTTTTTCCCCGAATCCCCTCGCTGGCTCATACGACACGGCAGAGTTGAACAAGGCCTCAAGACCTTAGCCAAACTCCACGCTCGCGGGGACGCTTCGGACCCCTGGGTCCGCGCCGAATTCGACCAGATCCAGGAGTCCATCACACTCGAGCACGAAGCCTCGGCAAAGTCCTACGCCGAACTTTTCACAGATCGGTCCTCCTTCAGGAGGCTGGTTCTAGCGTGTGGGCTGCAGGCTTCGATCCAAATGACAGGTGTGAGTGCGATTCAATACTACTCTGTGGCCATCTACAAAAAGGTCGGCATCGCGGAAGACGAGACATTGCGATACCAAGCCATTTCCTCCGTCCTCGCGCTCGTGGCCCAGTTCCTCTGCATTCTCTTTATTGACAGGACGGGCCGAAGGTGGCCGCTCATCTTTGGAAACCTGGGCAACATGGTGACTTTTATCATTGCCACCATCCTCCTGGCCCGTTTCCCTCCCGGCTCAGACAAAAGCAACGGTGGCGCGGCTTGGGGCTTCATTGTCATCACTTGGCTGTACAACTTTTGCTTCAGCGCTACCTGCGGCCCGCTCTCCTGGATCATCCCTGCTGAAATCTTTGACTTGAAGACGCGGTCGAAAGGTGTCTCCATCGCGACGATGACCAGCTTCGCCTTCAACACCATGATTGGGCAGACTACGTCGGTGGCGCTTGACGACAAGACCGGCATCGGGTGGAGGTGGTACATTCTCTTTATCGTGAGGTTTCTCCAGTCTCTCTAACATATGGTCTCGGATATTAATGGTTTCTCTCAGGTCTGCAACTTCTCCAACGCCATCTTCTTCTGGGCCGTTCTGCCCGAAACCGCTAAGCGACCTCTCGAGGAGATGAAGTACCTTTTCACCGAGGCACCTTGGTTTGTGCCGTCCATGGACTCTTCGAAGTTTGCTGTCACCGACCTCGACCGTCGTGTTGAAGAGCAGGAGCGTAAGCGGGAAGGCATGGTCAATGTTGAGCATAAGGTCTGAAGAGGGGGCTTGTGCAGCTGTACTTGACTGCTCGGTTACTCACTCCCAGAAAAAACACTTGATTTAATTTACCCTCTTTTCATCTCCTTTTTTCACTTCTTTTTTGCCTTGCACGTCGATTCTCTGTTTCCTTGCCTACGTGATCATCCAGGCCCGCGGCGTTTACTCAGTTCTCTGGCAAGTCACGTACCTGACAGCTCATTAAGCACATAGATGGAGATATCGAAACAGACACCAGAGGACATATCTTTGGAGATATATATAGGTCCTCGGTTTTCATCCTTATAGGGACGAAGAGGTATGGACTGGGGCGAGCATACACAGATTAAATCATTCAATTTCCTTGCTTCGTTGGGGGATCCGTTCCGGGGACCGCCTTACTCAGGCTATTCTAGTGTTGAAGATAGAACAGCCTGGGGGTGCTGTCACGCTCAAGGGAGTTTCCTCCTCTCAGGGATGGGTAAAGAAAGACATTGCTACGGTTTCCAGACTTGGGCTTGTTGAAGGCACTGTTTCAGCTCACGTTATTTGATTTTATGTATTTTGTATTTTTATTTATATTTTTGTAATTATTTTTCAGCCCGGTTTTACAATGTTAGCCGTCACGATCCCGTTCGCTATCAGCCGGCCAAAACCAGTGGCACTACCTTTAGCATATCTACAATCGAAATCAAACGTAAATGGCTGCAGATATCATTTGCGACTTCGACGAAATTAAGTTTCACGTGAACGTTTTTACTGGATTAAAACGATGGCAGGAGCGGATACGGAGCGGATGAATGACGTACTCGTACAGCCGGTACGACTGACACTGACACTTCGTATCTTGAGAGATGGTGCAAATCAAAAGCGACCCTGGACCATGAGTGGACTTTGGTTCGCCCTCTGTGAGGTTTGCATCAAGATTGCCCAGTCGAGCATCGTCGGCAGCAGAGCGGGCCTTTGCATGCACCTGCACGAGGGTGCGGTCTTGGACGCTGTAAAGTCCGAAGCTCACATCCGGGATGTGAGCGACGGAGTAGGACCCTGGTTAGCCCCACCATCCATCCTCAAAGCTGCAGGTGACAATGCAAGCCGGAGTCACAGGATAAGTTTTACGGATCAATAGATGCAACCTGCCCGTCTGAAGGATCGAGACCGGTCGCGTTATCAGGACGTTGACCGTCTTCCGTGTTTACTTGGGCAATGATCACGAAGAACCGGTGGCCTTTTGGACTGCCCCGCTCGATGCATCATTTGGCTTTGGACTAAGCCAGTGGAATAGCAGCAATGCTGTTCTCGAAAAAATAAGATTTATGCTAGGAAACAGCGGGGACGGGAGCCAAGGACAATAAGACGTCAAATGGGCGTAACATCCATCCTGCTCCGAAGTCTCCACGAGGAGAGGTCGAGGTACTCCGTACTCCACTAGACCGCGAGGAGCGACAATGGACGATGGAGTCACCCTTGCGAGAAACATTATTATTAATAAGAGGCCGATTCTCCCGGTGCCGACTACGCCCTTTCACCATCAGTAGCCAATCACAGTAGCGGGAATTGGCCGACAACGGACGGCTGCTATCGGTAAAAAAAAGAAAAAAATCTACCCCGGCAGGCGCTACCCATGCACGTCAAATCGAGGCAGTGACCGCCTGAACGCTGAAGGTATTTTGAAACCTAACGAGAAGATGCTTGGACTGAAATCAGTTGCTAGTCAAGCCCTGTGAAACAAAGAACGCTAGTCTGCGAAAGCGGAGAAGCGAAGCGGGAGAGAGCATTGATGTTAAATTAGGAGCCGTCGAGTGGTCTGGGTCTGGGTGGTTGGATTTCGTCACATCCGGCAGGCCCCCCTGGTACAGGCCAAGATGATCTGTCGCCGAGCGCCGTCCGGGCCGGGGTGGTTGCCACGGCCAGCTTCCGATTGATGGTGCAAAGCGACGTTGACGCGATCCCCCTCAGTGGGGGGCTGGTCAAGTCAAGGTGTTGACACTTTGCGTCGGGCCTCATTGCGAAGGGGAGAGGGAAGTATTTACTACGTCGTATTGGTTTCTTTTCGGTTTCTTTATTTTCCTTGGGTTGAGTCACAGCCTGCCTGAGAGACTCAATCAGACTCTTCATGGATGGATGGATGTGCCGTTTCGCCACTCACGTCGTCTGCGCGAATGTGCGTGCCAGAGAGCCCAGATCCTCTCCACTCGAAGCACTCCAGTTGAGGCTAGTGCACAATCGGTCGATGATGTCCTTGGCTTCGTACTTCGTACAATTTTTGGTACTTCTGAGTGGGGTGCAAAATTTCCATTTTAATCACTTCGCTAATCCATCCTGGGCGAATTGTAACTTGGGAACCTTTGCTCTCCCTCAACTTTCTTACTTCTACCTCGAAATTTCCATCTTCCATGTGTTCCGCGCAACTTTCTTGGACCAAGTGAACTTCGAGCTGTGTTCTCTGACTCCCTTTATCTACTAAGAGATAAAACAACTGTTGCTCCCATTCCTCTCGTAAAGGCTTTCTTTCGTGAATAGTCGTATTCCTCTGTCCTCGTCCCGTATCCTGCCCGCCGTCCTCTGCTTGCCTCCCTTAGAGGCACAGCAACTCCCACGATGACGACTTCTTCGTCGCGTCGGGACTCGTCCCCGACGCTGTCAAAGCATCGTTCAAGACGATCCTCGAAACCGAAGCCCAAGTTGCCCAAGCAGCAGCTCTTCATTCTTGGTGAGTGTTGAAGATCACATTGAAACTTCTTCGCCCTATCACCTTGTTTCTTCGACTGCTCCCGCTCCCGCTGCTCCCATTGCTCCCACACTGCATGAGCTTGGCCGAGATGTCGCCTCCCGATTCGCAAGTTTGCCTGCCTGTTATGCCTCTTCCCGCTCTATGGCGCCCATGCTGTTTCGATCTCACTATCACAACATTTCCCAGTCGTGGCAAACAAACTCCTCGACCCCGCCATCCTATGTGCCTGTGCCCTTCCATTTGCTCGAACCACTGCGCCTCGACGAACATGGTCAATGCCTCTCTGATTTAGTTTACTTTTACCTCGATATTTTACTTCGTTTGTTTGTTTCTTAATTTTCTTCTTGTGCCGTTGATAGACTCGTCAACAGGAAATGACATTGCCTGGGGCTCGGTGCAATTGCATCGTCGTCACGGTTTAAGCCGACGCATGTTTCTCATTGAGGTCAAAGCAGCAGGTTCAGAACTTGGCTCGGTTCGGTGAAGCTCATCCGTTGGAACAATGTGGTGGTCGTCAGCTCTACGGGTACCCAAAGCATTCACTCCTCCATATAACCCAATCTAGTTTGCTTGACACGGAGTTGCTAACCGCTTGTCTTCTTTGCCATGTAGCCGTCGCTCGATTCGCGGAGCCCCTCGCTCTACTATCCGTGTTTCCTTACCTCCCGGAGATGATCAAGGGGTTTGGCGTTCCCGACAATGACGTTGCGTACTGGGCTGGAATCACCTCCGCCGTTTTCTCCTTCGCTCAGAGCCTCACCGCTGTGCCGTGGGGAAGGGCATCCGATAATATTGGGCGAAAGCCTACCATCATCATCGGTTTATTCAGCACCATGATTTGCTTCCTAATATGGGGCATCGTCGACAGCCTACCCATGGCCATCTTTGTCCGCGCCATCCAAGGAGGTGGTAACGGAAACGGTGAGCTCCCCCGTCCCTTAACCTGCTCCTCTACTTTCCTTGTAATCTTCAAAGACGGGCATTAACACGCGCGACTCAGTCGGCATTCTAAGAACCATGGTTGCGGAAATGGTCCCCGAGAGAGAACTCCAACCCGTAGCCTTCTCCATCATGCCCCTCGTATGGTCAATAGGCTCCGTCTTCGGCCCCGCTTTCGGAGGCTTCTTCGCCAACCCGGCCAAGCGATTCCCCGCGCTATTCGGTGGCCATTCCTTCTGGGAGAAATATCCCTTCGCCCTGCCAAACTTCCTCGCCGCCATCGTATTCCTGTTCTCCATGACCATCGCCACCCTGTTTCTCAAGGAAACTCTTGAGCATAGACGCCACCACGAGGACTGGGGCCTGAAACTCGGCAAGAGGCTCTCGCGGGCTATTAAGGGACGGCGCCAACGGCGGGCCTCCTTTGTCGACGGGGAGGCCACGGCCCCGCTTGTTCCCGCACATCACCATAAGCACGGTCCTGCCCACGTGGGGAAATTCCGCCCGGGTATGAAGGAGGTGTTTACGACGCAGTCGAGCATCGGATTGCTCTGCTATACGTTTTTAGCTCTGCATTCGGTGGCGTATGATCAGGTCCTGCCCGTGTTCCTCAACTATCCTCCTGTGGAGTACACGCCGGAGAACACGAGGCTGCCTTTCTTCTTCACCGGTGGGTTCGGCATTGAATCCAATACCATCGGAACCATCTTCACGGTCTATGGTGTCGCTTGCGGCTTTATCCAGTTTGTTATCTTCCCTCCTCTTTGCAAGAAGTTTGGTGCTCTGCGGTGTTTCCGTGCTTGCTGTGAGTACTCGTCCCCTTTCCATCTAGCTTTCTTTTTCTTTCCTCCAAAGACGAATGTCTGAATACTAACCCTCTCGCCAGGCCTTCTCTTCCCCGTAGTCTACATCTTCACCCCCTTCACCGTCCTGATCTCCAACCCCCACCTCCGCTACACCGCCCTCCTCACCATCATGTGCTTCAAAGCCTTCGCCGTCATCATCGGCTTCCCCTGCATGACCATCCTCCTCACAAACTCCTGCTCCTCCCTCTCCATCCTCGGCACCCTCAACGGCTTCGCCACGACCTTCAGCGCCATCGGCCGCGCCATCGGTCCCGCCTTCGCCGGCGCCGCCTTCTCCTGGGGCGTTGCTCGCGGATACGTATCTGCTTCGTGGTGGCTGCTCACCGTCATTGCGCTGGTCGGGGCCATTCCCGCTTGGTATCTCGTTGAGGGGGATGGGCCGAGTCGGTCGAGTGAGTGTAGTGATGACGAGGAGGAAGATGAGGATTCCAGTGCCACGGCTACCGAGGTGCTTGGGAGTGATGAGGAGGAGTCGGCTTATGTGGCGGATTATGACGCGGGGGATGTTGGGGAGAATGATGATGTTTTGCCGCTTTTGAAGCATGAGGAGCGTGGTGGTAGTCCCTATCGCTCTACCCACTGAGCCTTGCGGGGGCTGTCGTAGGGTTTGAATCTTGTTCTTTTGGGGCATCTTGCTATCTGGCTTGGGGTACATTGGATCCTTCGGATTTCCTCTTGCGCATCCCCGTTTCTTTCTTCTCTTTTATCGCACAGCGACAAAACGTTTAGCATCCCTTGGGTGCTTTCCGGAGTTTCAAGGTTGGGTCAAACCATAAAAGTTTGCGTTTCTTTTTCTGTTTCTTGGACTTTCACGATCTTTCTTTCTTTTTGGATGATGATGATGACGGGGTTATGGTATGCATATGCATTCATATACAAGCACAGGGATAATAGAGGAAGCATTGAAGGGGGCTTGTGTTTTTGGATATATCAGGTGTTCTTCCTTGTGGGCATCATCACATTGTAGCAAGGCAAGGAGTCGAGAATAAAGAATCTTGAAGTCTTCACATCCAGTTCTTGAACTAGCTTCTTCATAATTGAAAATTTGCGAAATCCCGCCAGAAAAACCGCCAGCATAACTCCTCCCCTTGTTCTTCCATTTTTTTTTTCTACCCTATTTCGCCCTCTTCATTTCCCTTGTTTCCTAAGGGGGGTATCTGGCCCAATCTCTCCCTTACGGGAGATCATTGAAATATCAAAAGGGCCTCGTATAATCTACGAGAAAAAAAAAAAAAAGAAAAGAAATCATGATCTAAGCGCAAAAAACAAAGAACTCCTATTCTTTTCTCTTTTCCATCATCATCAATCCATAAAACTCAATCCTTCCCATTCCCTTTTTTAAAACCCTCCAATATTTTGCGTATGCACCCCTAGTTGCACCATTTATGCGAAAAGCTTCTTCTCGTAGGACTCCATGTTGACGTTGCCCTCGGCCTGGGCGCTCGAGGTTCGGAGCTCGAAGCGGACGAGGCCGGCGGCGACACCCTCATGGAGTTCCTTGAGAGACTGGATACCACAGTCTTGCATGGAGTGCTTGAGACCAGCGGCGAGGTAGGGGACGAACTTCCCAATAGGTCTAGAGAGGGGTCAGTACGAGTCGCAGGACGAAAACAAGTTAGTTGAGAAATAATATGACTTACCCCCTGTGAGCCACAGAGCCAGAGACGCCCTGGGCAACGAGGACACTGTCACCCTCGGAGAAGTACCTGGCGGTACCGGCATTGCTCCTCTGGCTGTCCTTGCCGCCATTGCCGGCCTTCTTGTCCTGCATGGCGTCGATACTGCCCATACCACGGTAAGCCTTGACGAGCTTACCCTCCCTCGAGACGAAGGAGGTGCCAGGGGACTCGGTGGTACCGGCGAGGAGACCACCCATCATGACGGTGGCGGCACCAAGGGCGAGACCCTTGACGATGTGACCGACGTTCTGGACACCACCGTCGGCGATGCAGGGAACACCGTATTGAGCGGCGAAGCTGCTGACGGAGTAGACGGCCGCGGCCTGGGGACGGCCAACGGCCATGACTTCCTGGGTAATACAGGCAGAGCCACTTCCCATGCCAATTCTCAGACCGTCTACACCAGCTTGGATCAGGGAGGCCGCCTGTTCTCGGGTGACGACGTTTCCTCCGATGACCTCAAGCTTGGGGAACTTCTCCTTGATCCACTTGATCATTTCAATCTGGTACATGCTGTTTCCTTGGGAGCTGTCAAGGACGACGATGTCGAGACCAGCGTCGACGAGCTTCTGAAGCCTGACTTTGTCCTCGGGTCGGGTGCCGATAGCGGCGGCAGCGATGAGCTGCTTGCTATCGGGGGCCTTGGAGGAGAGGGGGAAATCTTGGTTCTTGTTCAAGTCGGAGCGGGAGATCATGGAAACAAGGTTGAAGTCCTTGTCCACGATGGGGAGCTTGCCCTTCTTCGAGTCCTTCAGGATCTGGTTGGCCTCGGCCAGGGTGATGCCGGCCTGGGCAGTAATGAGGTCGGTAACCATGACATTTTCAACGGGCTGATCGAGGTCGGTTTCGAATTGGATATCACGGTTAGTGACGATTCCGAGAAGCTTGGAACCAACGCTACCAGTCTCTAAACGTTTTTTAGATTTGTCAGCGTTCGTGCGCTATGCAATTGTGTTGGTCTTGAGGCGTTGCCACACGGCGCTTCCCCAGTTTGACGAAACAAACATGAGCCATCGAGGTCATATACATGGTGTCCTCATGGCAGAGCGTTTAACTCTACCGTTACAGTGGAACGAAAGTTTAAAAAATAGTGGTTGGTAATCATAGATGGCTCAGGGAAAACGCCAAATTGCCCCGGGGAAAAAGCCTAGGACTTAGTGAAAAATTCGTACCTGTGACGGGGAAACCACCGAAACCCCACTTCAACTTGAGGTCGAAAGCCTCGCCGACGGTAGTGGTGCGCTTGATAACGACGGGATCGAGGATGAAGCCGTTTTCGTAACGCTTCACCTTGCGGACCATGTCTGCCTGGGCTTCGGCGGAGCAGTTGTGGTGAATGACACCGAGACCGCCCTGGAGAGCCATGTGAATGGCCATCTCGTGTTCGGTGACGGTATCCATAGGGGAGGAGACAAAGGGCGTCTTGATGCTGATCTTCTTGGTGACGGGAGAGTCGAGGACGACCTCAGAGGCGGGGAACCCAATGTAGCCAGGAAGCAGGAGGAAATCATTGTAGGTGAGACCGCCATGCTTCTTGGTGTCCATCAGCTCCGTGATATCGAGTCCATCCCTGGTCTCGTAGTTGCTGAGGTCATTGATCGCGTTCTTGAAGTCGCGGACCTTGCCTTCTCCGTAAAGGGTAGACATGTTTGCTGATGAAAGAGGAGTTTGTCGGTGAGGTTGAGGAGGGGTTATGCAAAAAGGGTCCCAACACGAAGCTGGAATTTGCAAAAAGTTGACGATGGGGAGGAGAGTTGAGGTTGAAGGGTATTAATCGACGTCAAACGTATGAAGCAGTTGAGAAAACGAAAGTAGAATTGACGAGCGTTTCGGCTGTTCTTCTTGTCTTCTTGCTCCAGTAAACGGCGAGGTACGGCTGATGGTCGACATACACCTTCTTCCCGTAGGAAGGGAAGAAGGCAAAAAGAGAAAAGAAAAAAATTTCCACGGGCCAAAAAATTTTATTTTGGGCCTTCACAAGCTTTCCCCCAATTGCAAAGGCGGTCACACAAAATGGTACATGACTACATTGTGGGCGTGGGTTTTGGTGTGGGTGGTAGCTGCTGCAAGCGGGATTGATGCGGGGCACAGGAATCGAATCTTGGATCTGGACCGTGCGCAGCGACTTCCGTCTTCGGTCTTCGGTTTTCCATAATTGTTCCTTCCCTCTGACGAAGCAGGACCCCAATTCTTTGTAATTCGATTTTCCGTTCGAATTTGTCCCCATTCAGGGCCATTTTCTCACCGTTTCACGAATACCTTGACTTGGCCCCCTACGTATTATTAATCCCATGAGATCACGGTGCAGAATCTTGGAGTTGTTCCCTTATCTTATCGCGTCCGCCCGTGGACGACGGAGGGACCTGGAACTCAGGAATCTATGAAGAACTTCGTAGACAAAACAATGATTTCCGTCATTCTCATCCCTCGATCTTGACTAGGCCAACAAAAGCTGTAAATCATCCCAAAGCCCTCTCAACCTCGTTATAGACCTGCAGAGGAGGGAGGCTTCACTGACTTCTGGGGGAGAAACAAACACAATATTGGAAGACAAAAAAGAGAAAAAAAGAAAAGTAAAAATAAAATAAAGAGAAAACGAACAAGAGGCAAAAAGATAGTTAACAATGGTCAGTATGAGGGTCGAACTCATGACCTTGGCATTTACTTGATAAGCCGGATAGCTTATTAGTACCACGCTCTAACCAACTGAGCTAACCGACCGTCCGAAGGCGACTTTCTTCTTGGTGACAGACTCCCTCGGTTGGGTCAAGATTTCCCAAGATTCCGGCACGAATTTGCAAATCCGGACGATTTCCTGGGTTTGCAGGCAGGGACCTGCGTGCGAATGTACCCCCAACCCACCTCCCCCCTAACCATCAATGAGAATTACATGAGCGGGCGAAGTGGCTAGCAACCTCACGGGTCGGTCCCGGTTTACTTAGGTTCCCGCGGTTCTCCAGTATCAATTCGTAATAGTGATGATCAACAACGTCGGACGTACTGACAGTGCATGTTGGTGCACGAAGTTCCCGTCTTCAATCATCATTCGCTGCTTCCCCTCAGGCCATCCCCAAGTCCCAAGCCTCCCTCATCCAGCAGTGGGTCACCTCACCGTTTCCTCCAACTGCAATTTGTGTTCTTGGATCGATTCGTAACCACATCTGCGAGTAGCACTCAATATGTTAATAGTTTGCATTCAGTACGCCTGATGTACTCCCAAGGAGGGAGGGCGCCTCCTGTAATTGGCTTTCGGGAAGCTTTGCCCAGGCGGTTCCCCATTGTTTAGTGTGGTATCAGATCGAGGCCACCAATATTTTGCTTGGCACTTGGTTTGGGCCCCGTTTAGCCCCTCCAAGTCCAAGTCTGTCCCCGATTCGCCTGAGTGACCGTGTGATGTCACTCTCGGGGTAACTTTGTCCTGGAAGCTCGTGTTGTCTGAGACCATCTCATCTGAGACGGTGAGACCACATCCTTCAAGCAGGCTGTAAGCCCATGCACAACCGCCGCCTCTGCCACACACCCCGCGTTGACTGGTCAGGGTGGTGGTGACCTTGCAGGAACATTTTGAAGTAATACTTCGTACCTTATTTGATCAACCTCCACGCTCGTTTCTCCCCGCTTCACCAAACCAAAACAGGTCTAATTGAGTATTTTAACATTTCTATCCTTTCTATCCGCCCAACGGCGATTGCGAATTGCGATATCGAGCCAAGATGGAAGCATCCGGCGGCCCGTTGGGTCTATTGAGTGAGACCCTCGTCGGTGTTAATTCCATCGCCCATGGCCTGTGGTATTGGTATCACTGCGCTCGCTGCTCTATGCCCTGGATCTCGCTGGCCCTGCTCAGTGCTGCAGCTCTGCTCGTCTCCTTTCACCTAGCTACCTACTTCTCTCGCGCAAAGAAACACCCATACCACCTCGTGATACCCATAACATTCATCTTGACCACTTCCTATATAATCTATATATCGGTTGGCAAGCGACACTGTCACTCCGGCCTGTTCTGCGGTGCCGTCGATCAGGCGACGTTCATTACTCCGTCCGGCGTAAAAGTCCCTCTCAACATCTTCAACGAGGGCCGTGAGGAGGAGTGGGCTTCGACTGCGCTCAACCCTAAGGCTGTTGATCCGCAGACAGCTTGCCATGGCTACACAATCTCCAACGTCAAGGAGTCGAAATACGGATTGACTGCGGATCTGGATCTCCAAGGATGTGGATGCAATGTCTACGGCCACGATGTGTGGGAGTTGAGCCTGGTCGTCGAGCATCAGGCAAAGGACCGTCTGCGTGTTGAGATCCTGCCCCGTTATGTTAGTGCCGAGAATGAGACCTGGTATATCCTTCCCGAGGAGCTAATCCCGAAGCCGAAAGTCGATGATGGCTATAATGGGAAAGACCGGGATTTCGAGTTTATTCTAGCAGAAGGCAACGAGTTCGCCTTTTCTGTCAAGAGGAAGTCTACCGGCGAGACTTTGTTCTCTACGGTTGATTCACACCTGGTATTCGAGGACCAATTTTTCGAGCTTAAGACTCGTATGCCTGAGGATTACAATATTTACGGGCTCGGTGAAGTTATGCATGGATTTAAACTTGGAAACAATCTTACAAGTAAATAAGCCTAACCCATTTCCGTACGCCAACCAGCGAACGTAAGTCTCTAATCCTGGCTTAGGAACCATCTTTGCTGCTGATGCTGGGGATCCCATCGACGAGAACATTTACGGTTCTCACCCAGTGTACCTCGATACACGGTACTACAAGGAAGACTTACGTTCGAAAGAGCTGGTCTATGTCACAAATGCCACTGATCCCAAGGAGAAGTATGTATCGTATACCCACGGCGTGTTCCTAAGAAACTCCCATCCCCTCGAAGTGCTTCTGAGAGACGAAGAGGTCGTCTGGAGAGGCCTCGGCGGTACGCTCGACTTTTATTTCTACTCCGGCCCGACCGCCAAGGATGTCATCCGATCGTACCAAACGAGCACCATTGGCCTCCCTGCCATGCAGCAGTACTGGGCTCTTGGATTTCATCAGTGTCGCTGGGGTTACACTGGATGGAAAGAACTCCAGTATGTCGTCGACGAGATGGCCAAGGCGCGGATCCCGCTCGAGACGATTTGGGGTAAGTGATGGCTTTCTTTTCCTCGTTGTTTTGGGTTTTCTTTATCTGGAGAAATGCCTTGCTGCTGACAACCCCCTTTTTAGCGGATATCGATTATATGAACCTTTTCCGGGACTTTGAAAATGACCAGGAATCCTGGAGCTACGAAGAAGGTGCCGACTTCTTGGACCGTATTCACGCGAATGGACAGCACTTTGTCCCTATCGTTGATTCCGCCATCTATTCTCCGGACCCGTCTGATCCAAAGGGTGTCTATCCTACCTATGACAGGGGTATCGAGGCTGATGCCTTTATGTTGAACCCCGATGGGTCTTTGTATATAGGCCAAGTTTGGCCTGGTTATACCGGTGAGTGGGAGGAATCTACTAAGTAGACTGATTCATGAGTCGGGTCACAAACTGGAGGCTAATCACGGGTTAATAGTATTCCCGGATTGGGTCGGAGCAGCCCTGAACGGGACCGGGACATTCGAATGGTGGACGGGCGAACTGACTCGATACCATGAGCACATCAAGTTTGACGGTATTTGGATCGACATGTCCGAAGTGGCTTCCTTCTGTGAGGGTAGCTGCGGAAGTAATAGGACCATCGGCATAGACTCACCGCCAGACTTCCTCGCCGGTACTGTATCACATCAAATGGGCGCGGAAGAGCAGTTGACACTGCGCGTGCACCCGCGTCATCGAAGCGTCAACCGGCCGCCTTACAAGATCAACAATGTCCACGGCCCAATTTCCATCAAGACCGTAGCCCCGGAGGCCACGCACCATGGTGGAATCCTCGAGTACGACGTGCACAACCTCTTTGGCCACCAGATCCTCAATGCCACTTACCACGCCCTCTTGTCCATCCAGCCTGAGAAGCGACCCTTTATTATTGGACGGTCGACGTTTGCTGGGTCAGGCAAGTACGCCGGCCACTGGGGTGGCGACAACTACTCGCTTTGGGCCTATCTTTATTTCTCCATCTCACAAGCGCTCTCGTTCTCCATTTTCGGCTTCCCAATGTTCGGTATCGACGCCTGCGGATTCGGTTTGGACGCCGACGCCGAGCAGTGCGCTCGCTGGATGGAGCTCGCCGCCTTCTTCCCGTTCTACCGAAATCACAACGCAGTTGGGAGGCCTTCGCAGGAGCCGTACGTTTGGGAGGTGGTGGCCGAGGCGTCTCGCCGCGCCATGAAGATTCGGTATTCGCTGTTGCCTTATTTCTACACGCTCCTGCAGAGGGCGCACGAGCGGGGAGATACCGTCCTTCGTGCGATGGCGTGGGAGTTCCCCGACGAGCCTTGGCTGGCGGATGCCGATAGGCAGTTCCTCGTTGGACCGGCGATCCTTGTTACTCCTGTGCTTGTGAAGGGAGCGACTTCTGTGGACGGTGTCTTCCCGGGCACGGGTAGTGGCACGGTTTGGTACGACTGGTACACGCACGAGAAGGTCCAGACTTCGCGTGGGGAGAATATTACTCTTGCGGCGCCGGTTGAGCACATCCCGCTTCACATTAGAGGCGGACACGTCGTTGCGATCCAGGAGCCCGGTCTTACGACTAAGGAGAGCCGGCAGGGTGCGTGGGAGCTCCTGGTGGCACTTAATGAAGACGGAACGGCGAGGGGAGAGGTGTATATCGATGATGGAGAAAGTCTTGTACAAGACAAGACTCTTGTCGTTGATGTGAGTTATAATATCTTGCCCAAATCCCTCAACGGCACCACATGACGCTAACTGCGTGTTATAGTTCTCCGCGAAGAAGTCGACCCTTACGGTAATGCCCAAAGGCGTTTACAAGGATGCCAATGCGCTCAAGCAAGCGACGATTCTCGGTGTCAAGTCCGTGAAGTCGGTGTCTTTCAACGGCAAAACTTTGACCAAGGGCTGGGAGTTTAACAAGACTATAGGTGTGCTGAAGGTCGACCTTCATCCGTACACTTCTGACGGTGCTTGGAGCGCGGAGTGGACTCTCTCTTGGGGCCAAATTCTTGGGCCTGAGCCACTTCAACTTCTGGTTACTTAGTTCTTTCGGGATTAGCGCATGAGATTAGGATATGATATGAGACAAAGCGTCATGACTTCGTTATTAGCTGCGGTATAGAACATAGGCTAGTATATGAGAAGGGCCGGAGAGACGAAAGAATAGCCCCCTTATCCTACACAGCCTTCATGGGTAGAATCACTCTTTGACACGTTAATTGTACAGAGTACGTATACTCCTCCTTTGGTAGAGAAAAACCTCTACCTCTGTTCTGTTGTACTGTTACAACCCAACATTCTCTATCCCTTCCATCGGGGTTACCCATCCTCTAGGGTACGGGCCTCTTACACGCGAGAACGCTAGTAATTCGGCCGATCCCGCGCCAGACGGTCCTGCCTCTGCATCTCTTCCCTAAAGACATTCCTCCCCTCGCCATCCCTCGGCGCAGGCGAAGAAGGGAACCTGTCATTGACGGGCGTACCGGCGAGACTACCCAAGACATCGCTGTCACGCCTGGGCGCGGGGACATCCTTGTACCGCTCACCTCCGTGGCTCAAATCCTCGCGGGAGATATCGTCCCACTGCTCGAGCATGATGCCCCTCTCCTCCTTCCTCCTCAAGCTCTTCCTGACGTTCCCGGCGAGCCTCTTCGCGCGGGCCTTTCCGACGCCGTAGCCGTGTCGGGACCTGCTCATGATATTTCCGATACCGACGTGTCGAACCTTCTTATTCCACCAACACGTACCGAACAGCATAATGAGAATGAACGCAGCCACAGACGGTAGGGCAATATATAGTTCAGCACCCTTGGGCAACCTAGGGCCCTGCGTCTTGAAAGCAGGCGCATACGTAACGTAGACAGTAGGCCCCTTATGCTCGACGGTCTCGGCTTGCCCTTCGCGCGACGCGACGATGGAGAGGGTGAGGTTGGTGGGCTGCTTGGACTCGAGGACGGAGGAGGTGACTTTCCAGGGATAGACGCCCCAAGCGGCGGGGAGGGTGTCTGTGGTTTCGAAGGCCTTGATGGTGTCGGAGTCGTTTGTGGAGGAGATGCGGTTGGCTACGATGGAGATGCGCCACTTTGCTGTGGTGTTGGTAGAGGTCTTGAGGGTGTCGTTGAAGAAGTCGGGGTTCCAGGTTACTGATCGTGACCGTGTTAGTATAATCCTCATGTTGGAGTGCGTGTGCGAATGGGAGAAGAAAAGGAGAGAGCATACCATAGTATAGGCGATCGACGTAGAGCTGCGAGTCCTTCGCAGGATCGCAAAACGGCGCAAACTCCTCATCATCCCCCTTAAAGCATCGCGCGAACGCCCCCGAGGGATTCTTCCCATCCGTCCCCGTCGGAGCCGGCACGCGCGACCCCGTGCTCGTGGTGATCTGGACGTTCTCGGTGAGAGTGAATACCGTCCCGGTGACCTCGTTCGGGGCCGCGTCGGCGAGGGTGGGCGTGCCTTCGATGGTGGTCTCGTGGGGGGTTACGGTTGTGACGGGTGTGCCGCTTGCGTCGACGGAGACCCAGATTGCGGTTGCGGGGGCTTGGCGGGCGCGGAGCGGGATGTCGAGGTTGGGGTTGGGGTTGGGGAGGGCGGAGGTTAGGAGGGGGAGGAGGGAGAGGGAGAGGAGTGACGCGAGCATTTTGAACGCGTTTCTGAGGGGAAGAATAGGGGAAAAGGCGTCAATTTGCTCGGTCGGAGAAAGGAATGAGAGGAGGGAGAGGAGAATTGAGGATGGAGGAAGGGATGGAATGAAGATAAGAGAGGATGGCAGGCGGAGATTAACATGCGCGAAAAAAAGACATCGGGATCTCGAGAGAGAGAGAAAAAAGTTTGTTTCGCAAGGTCCGGGAGACCCAGTTTATTCTAGATGGAAGGCTTCGGTGGCGGACCAGTTAAAGCTCGATTGTTTCATTGAGGGTTTTTACTCTGCTAGCTACTTTGTATCTCATGTCGTGGAACTGAACCGGTTGGCATTGACTGATTGCTACAGAGTCTGGATCGTGATCTTTTTTTGGTTGATGCATTGTCATGGCTAATGAGGGAATCCACTTCAGTCGGGATCACGGCATGCAGAGACAACTGGCTGCTGCTACGGCTCTATCCAGACTCCAAAAGAGTTAGTTCACAAACGTGTTTGATTGTTTTGGATCCTCCGAGGCCAATTGAACTCTCGGGAATTGAGAATCAATGTTTCTTCGGAATGCTGAACTCTTTCCCCACGTACCCGCATCTGTACAACTCTTCAAGATGCAGAGGTTCCGGCGAGACCGTGTCTTGGTCGCGTCCGTGATATCCGAGTCCAATTCTGCTTTCAGGGCGCTCCTGCCTTCTATTTGCCACTTGCTGGGATACCCTTGCTTAGCGCGGGAGAGCAGCTTACCTAATCGCCTTGTCCCTGAAAACAGACAGCTGGCAGCGGGTGGTGCTAAGCCCCCTTCTCCACAGGCTTCAACGTTGAACATTGTTAGTGCAGATCCAACCCCGTTTCCTTCCAGACACTGCCAAAAGAGGCAGAGATTTGACTGCGAGGAGGTTGTCCACTGCAGACAATTGCTCCTCTCGTTCAAGATATCCAGTCTTTCCTGGCCAGTCCATTCGGTAGGCATACCTAAGCCATGTTAAATGATAATCTATAATCGAATAAGATATTGTTGTAACGAGAAAATTTTGCTTACACGTGGCCGTCTTTTTAACCGGGGCCACACCGTTCCAATTGCTAAATAGGAAATAGGAGGTACGTACTTTTTACAAGGGGTTGATTACTTTTACTTGACAGAATCCAAAAGTGCAACACTTGCAGCAAGTCAATGCAGTTGGACACTTGATCTGAACAGATTTGGTTCTTCCCGCATTCCTTAGAGCACTAGCCCTCCTCGAAGAACCATTCGACTGAGCCGAGGAACCTTGACCTAGGTGTCACCACCCAACGATTGCTAACTCGCTCTCATCGACCTAGCAGACAAACTGCGACCTCGCTGTCCCGGGTGCAGACATAATTGAGACTCGGTCCTTGTCCACTTTGTATGCGCCTGGCCGATTTACACGATCAACCCTCAGAAGTCGACACTCTCCACCGGGAGAATAGGAGAAATTGGACGAACAGGGCGTCGCCGCTTCTACTCCGCGGCACGGATGGCTGCCCCGCCATGTCGCCACCATACAGTAACAACTTCAAGGCCCGCCGAAACCCCTTTGACAACGACCGAGGATCCGCGTTGAATCATGTGCTACGCTCCGTGAAGCGGCTCGTCTCGCGCGCCGTGTCTTCGGCGTATACCTTTTCCCGCGGCAACGGCGCGAAGATGGCAGCCGGCTTCGTCACCAGGACGGTGTGGCATGTGCGGAGGAACCTAACGAGGAGGAGGCTGCTGAGCTTCCCCCATTTAATCGTGCTCCTATGGCTGCTTGTACTACTGCGAGGTGAGAGGTGGCTGTTTCACTGGAAGGTGGAGCAATGTAAATGGCACAAGTGGGAAGACTGGGTATGCGCTTTCTTGTCCCTGGGTTGTCCATGTTTAGACTTTGGGAACTAACTGTGGTGCATGCTCTTAGCCCAAAGATGCGAATCCTCACCACCTCATCTTCGTCGCCGACCCCCAGCTCATCGACCCCAAATCCTACCCCAGCCGCCCCTGGCCCATCTCCGACCTCACCCCCCTCGTCGTCGACAACTATATCCGCCGATCCTACAACGAGCTCCAAGGCCAACTACGCCCCGACTCCCTATTCTTCCTCGGCGACCTGTTCGACGGCGGCCGCGAGTGGAAGACGGCAAACGGCGACTTCAACGAAGCGAGCTGGGCCCGGCCTTACCCGGCGAACGAGAAAAAGTACGCCAAGATGTGGAAGAAGAAGTACGGGCATGACTACTGGCTGGAGGAATATAAGCGGTTTAGCAACATCTTTTTTAAGCCCTACCACGAAGAGGGAGGCCAACATGGGGCGGGAAAGAAGGGGAGGAAACTTGTGGCGAGCTTGCCGGGGAACCATGATTTGGGATTCGGTTCAATGATCAAGGTGCCTGTGAGGGATCGGTTTAGCGCCTTTTTTGGCGAGCCGAACCGCGTCGATGTCGTGGGGAACCACACCATTGTCTCGGTGGATACTGTGTCTCTGAGTGCGGGCACCTCGGAGCAAGCCCGGACGGAGAATCTTAAGCACATCTACGGCCCCGCCGACGAGTTCCTCAAGGAGGTCCAGAGCCTCAAGAGGAAAGCCGTGCTCGACCAGTTGAGATTCCTACGCGGTGACAACGTCGAGTCGCAACTGAACAACAACGTACTCGACGCCTCGAAGCTCACCGACGCGGACTTTGCTGACCCCAAGGAAGACAAGAATGCCAACGTCGCCGACTTCCCTACGATCCTTCTAACCCACGTGCCTCTCTACCGCGATCCGGGAACGCCCTGCGGACCGATGAGGGAGCGCTGGCCGCCCAGCAAGCCCGTGCCCACGGATGCAGCTGGCCGCGTGGTCGACCACCGGAACGCCATCTCCGTGTCGGCTGGCTACCAGTACCAGAACGTGCTTAGTGAGGAGGACTCGGTGAAGATCGTCAGCAGCGTCGGGAACGTGAAGCGCGTGTTCTCGGGCGATGATCATGACTACTGCGAGCTGACGCACTCCGGCGCCAAGAACAACGCTGTTGAAATCACCGTCAAGAGCATCAGCATGGCCATGGGCATCCCCACCCCCGGCTTCGTCATGGTCAGTATGTGGAACCCCATCGACGAGAGCGGCAAATCTCTGCGTGGCGGTGAGCCCACGATGCAGACTCATCTCTGCCTCCTGCCGAACCAATTCCGGACGTTTGTCGGGTACGGCTTCTTCGTCATCGTTTCTCTATCTCTCATCAGCATCCGGGCCTTCCTCGTTTCCTTCCTCGGTCTCCCGGCCTTTGCTCACTCACTCAACCCCTCTTCCGGTCCGTCACCATCATCATCTTCCTCTTCTTATCTTCCGGTCTACAAAGAAAAACGCCACGACGAAGACCCCCCAACCTACTCCTCCTCATCCAACTCCTCCTACCCCAACCGCCTCTCCTCCCTCTCAGCCTCGCGCACCCGCAACCCCGTCTCCTCAGCCGACCTCGCCCGCGATCCCACAACCACAACCTCCTCCTCATCCACTTCATCCACATCGTCATCCACCCCCTCCGCATGGAAATCCAAGCGCAAATCCTCCAAATTCGCCTCGTCCTCTTCCTCCCGCTGGGGCTGGGGCGGAGGCGGCCACAAACAGCTCCGCATCCAGATCAACAACGACTTTTACGACAGCGGCAAGTCGAGGAGTCTGTGGCGCGCGGCGTCGGGGAGGAGGAGGAGTGTGGAGTTGAAGGTCGTGGTGAGGGAGTTTGTGGCCATGGCTTGGAGGGTTGTTTGGATGGCCGGGTTGATTTGGGCGTATCTTAATTGGCGGGGGTGAGACGAAGCATTTCTTATTTTTCTCTCTATTTTTTATATCTTTTTTTTATATCTTGTTTACCGCTCACTCACTTTGGATTATCATCGATCGTTTTGGGGGTTTTAGATTTTCTTTTATCCTTTTTTTGTACTTTCTTCAGCATATTTACTTTTTGTTTTGCGTGTTCTTGGTTCTACTTTTCGTTTGGAAAAAGGAAGCATCGTTATCATCAATTGCCATCTTGCCAGAGCTTATTTTCCTTTATCATGTCAAAAGAATCGGCCCAGGGGTAGGAAACAAAGGCTCTTACGCGGCCTCGACGGAGTGTACAAGTAGTAATATTATGTATAATACAATACTCACGCACAAAGAAGTGTATATGATCGACTTCAATGGGGATGTTCCGTTCTCGATCTAGAAGACGGGCTCGAGCTGAAGCTACCTTGGGAGAGTTTTGTTGGGCGGGGGGCATCACCAGCTCGTCCGTAGAGATCCAATATCATTTCGAAACTTGGTCACACGTCAAAGACATTCGAAAATCTCCCATCGCCTCCAGAAAAATGTGTTTCCTCGAGTGGAAAACCATCATTAGAGCTAAACCTCGCCCTTATTTAGCCACCTAGCATACATCCCATCTCCGCTCCCTTCTTCCCAAACAACTCCACAACCGAACCCTTTCAATGCCAACGACTTAAGCCAAAGAAAAAGAAGTTGAAGAAAAACACCGGCCGGTATTATTCTTCCTCGGCCCTTTTGCACTCTGAATCATTCTTACAAGTAGCCATTTTGTAGGGGGAAAAAGAGGAAGAAAGAGAGAGAAGAAAAAAAAAAAAGGAGCAGTCGGAAACGAAAGAGAAGAAGAGAAAGAAGAAAACGTTTTGTGTCTAGTAATACCAACGCCGTGCGGTCATTACCATTACCACCCATGCTCGACGAGAAACATATTTCGAAAGAAGAACAAAGAAAAGATGTAAACAATGAAAGATCGCTGTAATCATCAAGAAACCAAGAAAAAAAAAGAAGGGACCACAATACTAAACGTTCTGGTCCCATGTTCGTGTTCGTCTTCCACCACACCGTGTTTCTCTTTCACGTCGTCGGGTCCTTCTTCGTCTTAAGCTTCAGCATAATCTTCGGACGAGCCGGAGCCGGTGCTGGAGCGGAAGCAGGCTTGTCTCTCCCACCCGGCAACGGCACTCTCGCACCCCCATTCGTCGTAGCATGACCATGACCACGATCACGATCACGATCATGCGAGTGCCCGTGCCCGTGCCCGTGAGAAGATGAAGAAGAAGATACCCCCGCCGGACCGGAAGGCAACGGTTTCCTCGCCGGCTTAGCCTGAATAGACCCCATCGCCGGCGGCGAAGGCACCGCTCCACCAGCAGAACTACCCCGACTACTATTACCGCCCGACGAGCCTATCCTAATGCTCGAAGGGCCCATGACCTTCCTCAGGATCCCCCGGAGCGATGGGTGCTTAAGAGTCACGATACGCGAGCGCTTGGACGGCGTACCGCTCGTCACGCCAACGGAAGGCCTGTGCGGCTTTTCCACCTTGGGTCGTTTCGGGGCGGGCGTTCCCGTGGGCCCTCCTGCTGCATCCTGGAGCTTATCGCGGGGGCGCTTGGCCGGTTTGTGGGACGAGGAAGTGGATAGTGAGAGCGTGTTTTTGCGCTCGATTTGCGGTCGGGGTGTCGTGATGGCGACGGGGGAGGCTACGATAGAATCTGCGTGGCTGGGCACGGGGACGGAGATGCTGGGACGTTCGGACGAGGTGCTGGGGATTTTGGGTGGAGCGGCGGCGGCGGCGGCAGCGGCGCCTCCTCCGGTTGACGGGGCGGAGATGGACGGTCGGCTGACCTTGATAGAGGAGGCGCGCGCGACGATCATCGGCCGCTTAGGCTCGGGCGGTGCCGCCGCTGGTGGAGGTGGTGCTTGCACTGGAGGTGGCGGCACAGGAAGAATTTCAGGATGCTGTGGTTTTGTGCGGTAGTACGACTTGAAATTGACGAGAAGCTGAAAGAATGAAATGTTAGACCCGAGATTTTAAAGAGAAAAAGGGGAAAAGAAACTCACGCTCGAAGGTTTATGCCGGTAGATGTTCCGCGTAACCTTCCACCTCTTCGGATAATTCAACGTAATAATCCACCGATCCGCCTCATCAAACATTGTCGCGCACAGCTCAAGCAGGGTAATCCTCTCAGCGCGACCGAGGACCGGCGAATCTATGGCCTTCCACACGGCGCGCTGGAGCTCCCTCTCGACGTCCCCGTACGTCGTCTCCATCTCCTTCTTCAGCGCCTCCAGCGCCAGCGGCAACTCCTTCTTGCGCTGCGCTAGCTTGCGGGCCTCCTCGAGGGCGCGCTCGGTGGCTTCGATGTTAACGACCACCAGGCCGTCGTCCTCGCCGTCGGCCATGTCCAGGTCCTCATCCTTAATGGTAGGACCTGTCGTTCCGTTGGGCGCAGCCGTAGCCGCCGTCGCCGCCGGTTGTGGTTTCGGCTTCGCGTACTCTCCGAATGCGATAGATGCTAGGCCTTCGCAAAATATCTTCATGAGGCGGTCCCGGACGTAGGGTGACCTGTCCGTGCTGAGGCAACACATGAAAAGCTTAAAGATGACGGGTTCGATCATGAAGCCCAGATCCACGAGGGCGGCCCAGCACTTGATCCTCACATCGTCATACGTCGCATCCTGCAGGTACTTGACAAAATCAAGCCCGTCGACCGGAATCACGCCAGCCTTCATCAAACGCTGTTTAGCATCCAACCCCGCAATCGTCCAAACGTTCTGGTAAGAGTGAGACCACTCGTCCCTTCTAAGGTAACGGTTAATTTCCTCGAGGCACTCTTCCTTGATCTTTTGCTCTTCGCGCTCCTGTTCCTCCGCTTCCTCCTCGTCCTCAAAGCTGAGCGCCATTGTGTTCTGAACTTTGTTGGGAATGAGCGTGTTCGCAACAGACGTAATCAGCTTAGCAACGTAGATGTCATCGTTGAACTCGTTTTCGCTATTGTTATTAAGACGAAGAAGGTCCAAGATGAAGCGCTTGATCCTGAGGGGACACTTCCCGTTCTTATCGCGGACTTGAGACAGAGCCTCAGGGATGGCGCATTGCACGAGGTACTGGCGCTTGTCCGAGAAGTCGTTTGGCCTAGGAGTGTTCGTACCCGGAAGGCAGAACATGTCACGGAACGCCATCTCAAGCTGAATCATGCCCCTCATTCCCATCGCCTCGTTGCACTGGCTCTTGAGCAGGTGGGCTGCCATGGTGCGGATCCCGTGGAAATACTTAATATCCATCAGGGTCCGCGCAAGCACCGTGGAGGCAACCGGATGCGGCGTCTCCCTCTGGATGTAAAGCAGGGTGTCCTCCTGGGCGACGATATCGCGATCCTGCTGAAGCTGAGACACGAACATGTAGTGCGCCATGCCGACCTTCATAGAGCAGAGCCACTCAAAGTCGGTATCGACACGCAGCCACTCGTACGACTCAGCATCCATCTGCTTCTCGGTCGCCTCGTTGTACTCTTCGGCTGCGAATCGTTCCATGTCCGCAGGCGTGTTGATAGTGTCTCCCAGGCAATACAAGAAGCCCTCATCAGTGCCGGCAGCGGCGGCCGCTTCAGCCGCCGCACCGGCGCTCGCCTGCTTCTTCTCTCGGCGGCGCTTTAACCGCTTATACTTTGTATTGTAGGGAATGTCGAATTTGACCGTCCGCTTCTGTGCGGTGTCCTCGCGGATTTCAACAATGTGTTCATAAGGAGTACCGTCAGCCTCATGAATACGGATTGTGATGGGCCCCGTGAACAATGGCTGGATAGGACCGCCGACGACGCCATATTGCTTCTCTTTGATGGCTTGCAGAAAGTCCGACGGTTTCATCTCTTTCCTCTCAATGTCTTCGGGCCCTTGGACCTGACCGATAGTCATCTCGACACACAAACGCTTTTTGTTAAACCGATGTGTGACTTGGATGCGAGGGCAGCCGGACCCGTAGACCCATTGGTCCCAGAAAGTATCGAGGCTGTACTTAGAAGTCTTCTCGCAGAGTTTCCGGAAGCTCTTCGTCGTGATGACGTTGTCGCCTTCGATCTTAGCCTTTGTAAAGAGGCGAGAGAGGATTTGGGTGAGATTGTGCGAGCCACTCGTGGCTTTCGCTATTCGTTTGTCCAGGATGAACAGGACGAGCGGTGCCTTCAGATCCATAAACTCCCTTTCAAAGTCGCCGACGTGTAGGTACCTTCCAAGCTCGTAAAGGGAGGGGCGGTTAACATCCATCTCCACAAGCTTGTCGGCAGCGAGTTTTATGCGGAACCGGTACTCATTGTTACCGCAGAGCTTCTTCATGAAGAGGTCGGTCATGTAATACGCGATGCCCGTGGTAACCCAACGATCGCGGCGTGTGTTCGGTATAACACAGATGCCGCTCCACTGGGTCGCCAGGCTATGCACTAGCTTTCGGGTAACATCAACCTCGGTATCCATGATCTTATACGGATACAAAAGACGCGTTGAGATGAACGAAAACGAATAAAGCGGCAATGTATCCTCGACCATGTCCTCAACGAAGCATAGCTTGTAGCTGTCATAAGGATACCCCGAAAAGGTGAGCGAAAGGTAGTCGGCGGCAGTCGCTAGAGCTACGCAGGTATTCCTGACCCAGTCTGCTTTCCTGGGTAGGCAATAGCCGTGGATCTTTAACGCACTCGCACCGAGTTTCTCGTCATCCTCTTCAGTGCGAAAATCGGAGAAGAGATCGACATGCTCGAATGGGCCAACAGCGAAGCCGACCTTATGAACTGATGTTGCCTTTTCGGATTCGAATGTCATCACTTTCTTGCGATCGTCGTTGGGATCGATGATTTCGTCAGTCAGAAGCCCCGAGCACACGACCGTCACTTCTAGCAACTTGTCTTCCTCGCTGAGTACGGGTTCACTCCCGCCGATAACCTGGGTAGAATTGTCGTGATGATTTGAGTTGTTTCCGTTGGCTTGGCGTTTGGTGACAAGAGCTTGGCCAAGCAGATCGCCTAGAGTCCGTGGGCACTTTATGGAGATCTTCCAGTCCCCGATGGAACCAAGGTCGTCGAGGCAGGGGAACAAGCAACAGGCAGTGCCCGGCTCGTAAGAATGACGCGTGTAGGCGTGGGGATATCTCATGTCGCCAGGATCAAGGCCGACAAACTGCAAACCGTCACGTATATCCCTCGTCTCGAATGGAATCGAAATGACGTACGACATTTCATCATCCGTCCGCCCATCAAGAAACGCATTCGGCCCCGTGGCTGACGGTTTCCTCACAATGATCCTATGGCTGGAGGAGGGCTCCTCATTCTTAATTTTCACTCGCAACGAGCCATCGACAGGAGTACAACCCGCGAATCTTCTATCTTCCGCGGGAAGGTCCGTCGCTCGAGTCCTAGTCAAGGGTCGTACCCGTATCTTGCGAATGCCAGCGTGTCGGGCGTTCCATCGATAGAGTTGGGGGTATTCGAGAAGGTTGTAGGGATCCACGTAGGTGGCGGGCGCTGGGCTCGGTTGGCCGAGGGGCTGGCCATTCCGCATCTTTTGCACAGTGATGTTCTCGGTATCGATCTTGCATTGCCGGGCATCGATGGCGATTTCCTGGAGTGTCGAACTGTCGAGCGCGTGAATCATAATCTCAGTCTTGCCCTTAAGACTTCGCTCGAGGAAATTAATCTCCAGATCGACATCCTGACGGATCAGGATGTATTTGAAGGGAGGTAAGTCCTTGATGGGCTTGGGCTCTTCGTCGCTAAGCATCTCCACGTCATGGTCTTCGGCATCGCTGACATCTTGAAATCCTCCTATTGTTTGCGCCATCGTGTCTGGTTATCTGGAGAAGGCACTGCTTGCTGTTCAGTGCCGGAAAATGTGTACGTGTAAGGTGGCGAGATGGGCGACAGGGCGTTGGGGGGGCTTGCGGGGGATGGTTCGGTCGTCGGAGAGAAGAACCCTCTTTCCCGTCCCGCGGGTTTTTTCCTATCGGTATGGCGCCTCCCTCTCGATACGCACCCCGCTTGATGTGCGCGGGCTCGGTGTTTAGCTAAGGTGATGCATGAAGGTACGCTTTGCGTGGCGAGTCGATGGCTAAACTTCGACGGACTCGACAGACAATCGATGGGGAGCGCGGAGAGGAGTAAGGATGGATGATGAATGGGAGCGGAGGCGGTCTCTGCGCCGAAGGATTAGCACGTCAGATCCTTGACGATAAGCGAAGATGCTAGTTCCAGCTAGCGAGTCGTGGGTAGAATATGCGCGAGTTCGAGAGTTGGGCTGAGTTGGTTGTGGGAGCGCGAGTGAGGAGGAAAAAATACCTGTCGCTGGGCAAGTCGTCCTGCGTCAGAAACCAGTCGAGTCCAGGGCTTTTTTTCAGCTCGAATACAATCGATCGATAAAGGGCCAATCAGTATTGCGTATTTGGCGACCCCAAGTTGGACATTAAGGAATGTGGGAGCTGTGAAAGAATGGGTATCTTTGGGTTAAGAGATGAGATGAGGTTGATGATGGGAGGTGGGACAAGGTGTGAAGTCAAGCTCAGGAAGCTGTGGAGTTTGGCAGCCTTGCTTGGCAGTGACGCGACTTTCGGGTGACTTGGGCCAGTATGCGCTTCTGGGACGATTGGCAAGTACACAGGTACCGAGGTACCTTCCATCAAGGATGCAATCAAGTCCCAAAAAGTACAAAGTATCTTCTGAGACGGGAACTTCCAAAGTCCAAACCTCAAGTTCTCACTTCTTGGCTTTGACATTAAATAGATCTTTAGGACATGAGTACACTATGAATCTAGTAAATTTTGTTCAATTTCATTTCCTGTTGAAGCTATTCACTGTCAATGGAGCGTGTGTCAAGTCCATAACTGATTACCTAAGAACAGCGTCCGATTCGGGGCAAACAAGAGCCGCAGCCAATGCTCCTTCCTCGTCCAAGCCCTCTCCAACATCTCGAGTCCCTCACGAGAAACATCGGCAAGCTCAGTTAATAGAACAGCAAGTAGGGGGCTTCTCCAATCATCCTATAACTACTAGAACGCCGCCGGAGGCCATGGGGATCTCGTTACTAGTTCAGTTACTTGAAGCCTCTGCACAAAAGATAGCCACTCTACGGAGTACAAGACACACATCCTTTCCCACGGTCGAGGAATTAAAATTCCAATAAAAACCAGCTTAATGCGCGCGTGCCTATGAAGTTACCCTTTCCTTTCCATACCTTGAAGCAAACACGGCTTCATCATGACCATCATGCTAAATCCCCCTTCCTTAAAACGCCGAAATGTGCATGAAAGAACTATTAAAAGTAATTGGCCAGCAAGTGGGAAAAAAAAAATCGAAATGAAAAAGAAGAAAAGAAGAAAAATAACAAAGTTCGCTTGATGTGGGAATGGCGACTTCGTCGTGACTCGTCAGGTTGGTGCTGACTTGCTCGATGGCTTCCAAGAAACAGAACGAAGAAAACAAAGTTCGTTTGATTCGGAAATGGAGACTTTGTTGTGACTCGTCAGATTGAGTTGGCACAGACTTGCTCGATGAACTCGGAAGAAACAGAAAAAAAGAAGAAAAAGAAATGATTCAAGCCTTTCCGGCACGTCGATCGCGCCTCCTCTTTCTCGCGAGAGCCGCGATGATCTCAGGATCCTTGAGCTCCTCAGGCAGCTCAAAGTCGCGCTCGGGCATCTCAGGAATCGGGCGACCCCAGGCAAGAACCTTGCGGCTGGGCCTGCGTCCCCTGCTAAGGGCTGCGTCGCGCTCGTGTTTCTTCTCGAAGAAAGATGTAAACCCCTTGACGAGTTCGGTCTTGGTGGATGTAGCCTTGGTGGGTTTGGCCTTGGCAACGGGTTTCTTAGTAGAAGCGGATTTGGTGATGGAAGCGGGTTTGGCGGCGGAAGTTGTGGTGTGGCTGCGCTTGGTGGTTTTCTTGGTAATCTTGGCGATGTCGCCCTTGCGCTTTGCAGTAGCCTTCGCGCCATTGCCATTGGTGGTAGGAGGAGCAGTAGTAGTGGGAGCAGTGGTCTCGGAAGCGACTCGAGCCCTAGCGAGCACCTCTTCTTGGAGCTGCTTGGCGATTGAAGCGTCCACATCGCTAGTGGGATCGCTCACAACGGATGCATCGTCTCCAACAGTCGCACCATCTTCGATGTGTGTCGCCGTGGCGGTATCAGTAGAGTCCTTCTGGGACTTGGAGGAGGAGGCGGCCGGAGCTCGCTCATTCTGCGCATGCTCTTGGGCAATGCGCTCTCGCTCTTGCTTGCGACGCTTTTCGAACAGGGTCCAACGACGGAACTTATCTAGAATTGACTGGCATCCCTTGACGAAGTGGTCTCGTGCGGGCTCGAACGATTTCTTGCGGCTCTCGGTAATGCCGCTGACGCCCATGATTCGGAGCCAGTCGTGACCTTGGAGGCCGTCGAGGAGGCGGATGACGCGGTCGCGTTCATGCTGGGCTCTGCCTCGTTCTGTGTTTCTGATAGATTTCTCCAGTCTCTCAGCCTTTTTGTGGGCCGGCTCAAAGTAGGTATCGGGCAGCGGATCTTCGAGTGCCTTGTTCTTATCTCGAGCTTCGAGGAAGCCGAAGTCGATTAGCTGCGAGTCATGAAGGTTATTGAACGACGCGTCGCCGTAATGTCGGACGGAGAAGAGGGGTTCGTTCGAGGGAGAGTCTAGGAAGGCCTTTTGTTGCGCAAGTAGGTTGTTCGCATTACCGTGTTCGGTGGCCAGACTTGTCTCGATGATGATAATGGGGGTCTCGAGGTTAAGAAGATCTGGGGAGGACAATTGAGTTAGCAAAGGGCTCTGCATGGAGCGCGTAAAGTGCAAAACATGCGCTGCACAATTGAAGCAAGGGGATGAGAGATTTGGGAAGCACTCACGATGTTCCTTGGGATCATTGCCGATGATCTCATCGTATTCGGGGAAATAAGTTGAGAGCTCGCTCTTGAAGCGAATGGTCTCCTGCGACCTCAGCTTGCGGCCCTCGGGTTTGGTATCAGCAGGCGCGGGTTGCAACTTGTCGAGTTCGTGCTGGATGCCATTTCGGACTTTCTCTTGGTGCTTGGTGGGTTTCGCTCCATGGTTATGTGACTGCTGATGCTGATGCTGATGCTGCGAGTCGTGGACTTTCTGCTTCTTGTTCGCGTGCTTCGTCGCGGTCTCGTCGTCCTCGTCGTCAGGGGCTCTCGCATGGCAATTGGCGCTGTTGTTGTTATCGTTAGTGGTCGTAGTAGTGGGTGCAGCCCGCTGAGCCTCCTGCTGGGCTTGCTGTGTCTGGTGGTGAGAGCGCTTGGTACCCCGCTGAGTGGCGCGTGCGGAGCCAGCTCCCGCACTGTTAGCGGTCCTCGAGTGACTCGTATCCACCGATCGCGCCGCAGGAATGTCGACCGAAATCCTCGATCGCTTCACGTTCGCCTTGCCATCGATTTCTTCCTCGATGGCATCGAGGCCTCGCTTCGCGCGTCCGCCCGCGCCCGCCGCGCCCCGAGACAAGTTGTTGGCCTTGCCCTGAGGCAAAGCGCCAGCGGCACCGGTGTTGGCGCGTGCCGCCGAGGTCGCCATCAGGTGTGGCTCGTTGTTCGCATTCGACCCGCGATGCGGAGAGGGAGGCAGGTTCTTGAGGGGACGGCCAGATCTAGTCGCGTTGGCCATGGGAGGTTGTCGGTCGGATTGTCATTCTTTGATGAAAGGATGATTCTTGGAAGAGAGCAATTGATTTCGTAGGTAATGGAGCGACGATAAATTTTTTTCGGCCCTTTGCCTCTGGGATTGATTTTTTTTTTTAACCCTCGAAAGCTGGTTGCTCTTTCCCCTCGTGTCTTTCTTCCCCTTTCTGGGGTACCGGCTTTTTTTTTGGTGGAGAATGACTTCGTGGTTTGATTCAGCGTTCTATTGATGAATTGTATTGTACCTGGAAGCGCTCAATCGAGGTGGTCTGGGCGCAAGAACACACTGATTCAGGGGGTAAATGCCACTATTCAGCGCGTCGTTTCAGTGATTGAATCTGGAGCTGCTGGCGACAATCGGGCGTGACAATGAGCTGAGCTGGTTGCCAATTGTAGGTACTCAAGATTCAGCCCCAGAAATGTATCTTTGCATACAATTTGTGCATATGGATACATTATTAAACGCGACTAGCAAGTACTCCTTCCCCGGATTACCTTCAATTGACCCATCAATCAATTGCTGATTTCAATTTTTGGCGCTCTGGGGAAACTGCAACCCATCCTCATTGATGCCTTTTCGATGTAGATCAAGGAAACAGCAAACCACCAAGACTTCGCGGGAAGGAAGTTACTCCCCAACCGCCAACTGAGCACCTGCCTTTGAGACTGAGGTAGGCAAAGCAAAGATCCAGATGCAGATGCCCTCAACTTCCTCTACTTTGTTAGCCGCGATCCTGTCCCTTCGAGGCTAGGAAATCATTACGTCAATGGTAGTCAGACTCATGCACCATCCAGCCCAGAAAGTTTCTAGAACAACCCAACCCTCCACCATCCCATCTTTTTCGACGCCCATTCCCATAACCTTATTCGACGGCTATGTGGGCAGAAGAAATCCCCCCTTGCTTCTGAGATCTCCCCTTTCACACATGATGTATCGCTGACATACTCGTAGAGTATGAGAAGAAAAGTAATCTGCCCACTCGTATCCATTCCTCTCGGCAGCGGGCAGCTGCCTTGCATGTGGAAGCATGGACATCTCCATGCACACTGGCCTCACCACCTGTCGTAAGACGCATTTTTGAGATGCAGCGCAAACATGACGGACCCGTTTCTGACCTGGCCAACTTTTATTCCCGATCGGTGTCCAATGTATCAGTTACCGTTCTCCTCGGTGCCGAGATTCATTCATTCTACAGCATTACCTAGTACAGTAATTGACAGGCTCTTTCGATCCTCGCGCGTCTTATGAACTGAGCGATCTCTCCTCTCGGCGGTTTCTCAGGACAATTGTTTTTTTTTTTTTTTTTTTTTTTTTTTTTTTCCCTTACAGGACCCTGAACTCGGTGTCCCTTTGTATGCTGACCTAGATACTGTCGACCCGGCATGTTGCACCTTGCACCTCGCGCGGGCGTTGCGGGAGGCGTTGGGGGATGCGGAGAGGGACGGGGGAGGTGGTGTACTGGCCCCAAGATCAAGCAATCAGAATCCTTCCCCACGATGGTCCCCTGGGGAAACACGGAGGCCATCCACAAGCTCCCGTGTGTATTAGTACAGCATTTGAGCCTTGTGTCAAGCCAAAAAAGAAAAGGAAAACCTATCCACCTTTTCGGAAATTCAGAAAGTAGGCATCAAGATCATGGTTCAGTGCAATATTCGTTATTGGCATCCTCCTATCTCATGGCTAGGATGTTCTCGAGAATGTCGACTCCATCGCGAAGCCAAGGACGATGCACAAATATACTCCCAAAAACCATAGTGGGTCGATCGATGCCTCTCCGAAAACAAAGATTGTTACATATCGGCTTCGATGCTTCCATCGTTGCCTTCCTCCTTGATTTGAATGCCCGGCGTCTTCGCCTCCCTGTGGTTTCTCAAAGGGCTTCTTCAAACAACGCCAATTTCAATATTCATAGGCACTCGGAGCCAGACTCACTTTGCATTCGAGTGTTCCGGTCGTTGATGTGCCGTCACTATAAAACACGCATCGCCTTAAACCAAGTACTGCTGTATTAAAACTAAATACATAGCTTTGAGGACTGCCTCAGCAGATGAAGACTCGAGAAAAAAATTCAAACAAATAAAAAGACGAATTCCCACGAGACGATTATCCCGCATGATCTTCAATTTCAGATTCAACCTAGATACGTTAGCAAGCCGCAAAAATCGACGAGAGGGATAGAATGGCGGTCCTACTTTGATAGGTTGGTTGTCGTCATCTATGGCAAGACCACTCCCTGGGGAGACGGCAAATTCGAGGTCTCCGGACTTCCCAACAGTTAAACTCAGGCGATACTGACAGATGTAGTGCTTCTTCCTGAAGATTGGTCTCGTCTTTCTGAGACTCCCACTCTCTGCGAGGGACACAGGAATCTCCCTTAGCAAGTATACGCCGGCTAGGAAACACCAGTCAGTAGGTCACCAAGTCAAAAAGCTAAGACTCTGTCACAAATGCGAACGACACCGAATGTTGAGTACTCACGTTGTGTCAGGTTCTCAGGTAAGTATTTCTCGTGGTTCTCTGACTAAACGATTTTCTCTGACCAACCCTCTTGGTCCACGTCATCAGAACCCAAGCGTTTTTCGATGGTATGACTGAATTCGTCACCAACAGTCAACCTTGTGCCCTTCTTGATGAGCCATTGAATCTGATCTGTGACATATTCTTTCCCATTGAAGGGGTCCCCCTCCTCCTACACTGGTTAAAGTGCGATTTCTTGGAGTATAACTGCTCAACGGCAATGCCATAGCTGAGCCGTGAGGTTCGAGTTCTCAGGATGTCGTGCTGCCAGTCTAGGAGGAGGCCCCTCACCACAGCTAATTGCGGTTGATGACATGAGAGGACCGTTGTGTTACGGACACATTCTCTCTTCTCCCCTTCCTTCGCAAAGAACTCCTCAAAGTTCCTGAGAACATAGGCAGATCCCCCAAGGCCTCCTGATAGGACAACATATTTCTGATGGCCATGGTTAGTTAAACAGGCAACTGACAGGCATACAGAGGATAAGTGTGAAGTTTGGGCTTCTACTGACTACATTGTCCGGGTAGCTTCCCCCGAACATTTCCAGTGCGTCCGTCCTCTTCGGTGCAATGCGCATCAAGATGTCATCAAAAATATCCTGCATAACCTCACTATGAAGCGGTTAGAATATATTCTGTCTTCTGTACATGTCGGCAATAAAGAAGGAAAGCACTTACTGTTTAAAGAACAGATGACCGCCTTTCAGAGTAAACATGCCGAAGGAGGAATCGCCCATGTCTTTGCTCACCGCAAGACTGTACTCTTCTGCTCGATGGTCCCTTTGTCCGAAATTATGCTTCACCGTACGGAAACCGTCGCTTTCGGTCACTTTCTGCGCAGCATTTCCCGGCAGGTTCCTGCCAAGGAGCCGTTCGAACTCGGTATCGATTGTCAAAGAGCCCCTCGCAACACCCTTTTCCGCCTCGAGGGACTCAAACGTAAGTGGTTTGGCGGCTGCAACCTTAGCAAAGGCGAAGTCAGTTGTTCCTCCGCCGGCATCTACCGTCAAGAGGACATCGCCCTTCTGGATAGGAAGGTCCAAATCGCCGGCGGCGACAGCTGCGGCCTCGGCCTCTGTCAATCCTAGCACCACCTTGTGTTGATCCACCTGGTCAAATCCAGCGTTCCGAACGAGCTGCCGGAAGTGATTGGTCTGTTCTGGATGCCAGGTCGTCGGGACGCTGAAGATGAAGCAGACTTTCCAGTCTTTCCACCCTTCTCCAGGAAGGGATGCGCGAGTAGCATCATCCGGGATTCTGACACTGATATGGCGATAAACGTGCCTCAGATACTCTGTGACAATTCGATCAACTTCGCTCGAATCTTTTGGCGCGTGATAAGAGCCACTCCTGTGGCCCATCGTGAGCTCATTAGGATCCAAGAATATCTTAAAACCTCTCCACTTCTCGATTGCGGCATGTTTGCACGGGAACCCCCAATCTGTCCCCTTCCCAGTTTGCTCCTTGGCCAAGAGAGTCGGAACCTTTGGCTCTCGTGGGTCTGCCTCGGGCCAGTCTCTAAAGATGTGGATATCTTCGTCTTCAAGTTTTGACGACATCCACGCGACTCCTTTTTTTGGGTGTTTCCGTTTGTTATGGTTAGTTAGAAAATCCAGTGGGACAAGAAGGTGCACACTCCACGTACCAGTATGGGTTGCACCAAAATCGACCGCGATACATAGGTCGAGTTGGTCGGGTGTACTAGATTCGCCCATGCTGAAGAGAAGTGTTGGAAAAACAAGTGTCGAAGAATGAGGTGCTACTGAGCTATTTCTCAGGAATCGATGGTTATACGAAGTACGAAGTAACCCGAGTCTAGAGCCGGTCGATGGCGCATTTATACCCTTGACTGTTGTCGCGGACCAACTCGATCAGAGCAAAGAAAGAAAAAGCCCGATCAGGCTGTGCCCCAACAGGCTATCCTGTGATACTTTGCGGTTCCACCCTGTTCGTTTCTTCAGTATTCATTTCTTTGGTATCTGTTTCTTGAGTGTGAATTTCTTTAGTGTTTCCGTCGGTCATCACTCTTGCTGCCCTTCGTTTCGGCGCATGCGAAGTCCAAAGTTGATGGACAAAGCATCGTCAGGCACTGGTCAGTTCTCTCCTTCATCGTACCCTCCGTCCTGGCCTGCGGCTTTATTTTTTTCTTTATTTCTTTCTATTTATTCTTTTTTTTTTCTCTCTCTTTCCCTATTTCCTGCTGGAGTCTCCGAGAGAGTTCCTGATGCAGGACCAACCAGAGGACGTGATGAGGAGGTTGGAACTTCCCTGGCAGAGAGCTTTCGTTGATGAGGAGATAGGATCGAGGTCAGGCCGAATTTAAAGACACACAGAGCACCATCAATATCGCCGTCCAGGCAGTTCCCTTCCCAAAACATACCTCTGTAGATTATTACTTCGCCGACTCCAAGAAGGAAGTTGCTAATTGACGTCTGATGTTGTCTGCGGTGAATCCCAAACGTACCTTGATTGCTATCGGCGTCAGCGTCTTCAAGGCCATCATGTCCGCGGTGACCATCTTCGGTGTAGGCGTCTCAGTCGGATAGGCACCCCTCTCCCACGTCGTGACCGCCGAAATCCTGACCACGCGCCCCCGAGACCTGACCCACGCTCTCGGCCCCCTGTTCATTATGTTGTAATCCGATCCGCTGTCTCTTTTAGCGTCCTAATTGCTGAATTCCCTACGCCAACCACTGTTCAAAGGTCGCGTTTACTTTTGGATCCATGGTTTCCTGGGCTGTCGTTTCCTCACGGGATTGTATTTCTGAGCGTAGTGGGAAGACGTTGGAGGAGGTTGATGACCTATTCCTCAAGGGCGTTCCCGTCAAGGATTTTGGTAAGCGTGTTCGGAGGAGAGGGTGTTTGAGCGTTGGAGGATGAGCGGAAATGATGCTATTCCGCATTGAGATATTCCCTGTCTGGGCGGTCCACGCCAAGCTCCGGAAGCCCGCGTCTGATTCAATTTACTTCGAAAATGCGGGAAAGTGGGACCCGGTACTCCTTTAAAGCATCGTAGGAGATATCGGCGTAAAGCACTTTTCTTTGGTCTCGGCTAACGGACCACAGCAAAACCACGTCCGCCCCGTCCGTGGACCCTCAGTTCATCCAACTCGAGAAACCATAGTTATCTTATGTCCTATATTATTATCATGATTCCCTGGTCTATATGCCTGGAGCTTTTTCAGCAAGACGCCTTGTACTGTCTGGTAACTCATCTCAACAATGGAGTGTACTCAGACGCGTAGGCCAGTATTACAGGAGCAGCAAGCAAGACTCGAGAGCACAACGGCAACAAGACCTCAAGGATTATGGACCGGATAGAGTCAAGAAGGGCGTGCCGTTATGGGACAGACAGGGCTAAGAGTCGGTGATATTTCTTCTGAACCTAACGCGAGAATTGCCTGCTGAGACCGCGGGGACCAGCCTACCAAGTAAGTGGAAACAACCAAATTTCCAATTGTCAAGAGGAAAAGAAGGAAGTGGGGAATCCAATGTTAACTATGCATCCTACACGTTGGCCGAGTTCAAGCTTGCCGTGGAGTTCACGATGCCGCGTCCGAGGGTGCTTCCGAGATCCTCCCCTCTCCATGTTTTCTCGAAAGTAGCTTTGCGCACTTCAAAAATTTGTTCCCTCCCCTCATCACTCTGGAGATACTTTTGGGCAAGACTGTCAATCACCTCCAGCTTCTTCCAGTCGGCAAGGTCGATTTTGCCTAGGTCAGTCTCTTCCTGCAGACGGGAGTACTCAACCCTCAGCTTATCATTGCCCTCCACGAACCAGCAGTGCTCACCCTCCGTGTCCGTTACGTCGCTCAAGTTGGACCGAAGCAGGGAAACAAGGCCGCCTCTAGGCGATGTTTTATCACCACGCCCAGCGCCGATGCTGATGATGCACGAGATGGACCCAAATTGCTGGGCCTCGTTGACAGCCTCCCTGATCGGATTGTTACTTCCCATACCGCCATCGACATAGTCAATACCGTTGATTTTCATGGGTGGGAAGTAGAAAGGCGCAGCTGAGGTCGCTCGCGCGGCTTCCCAAATCTTGCATCCCGAGCTAGGCTCGCTTAAAGGGGACGAATACGTCCGAAGGCGGTCAGGACGGGGATCTTTGTTGTCGCCTCTATCTTCGGCAACCGGACGAGCACACACGAAAGTGGGACAGCCCGTCTGGGTGTGCGGTTGTAGGGGTGCATCTTCAACCTTGATACCCTGTCTCTTGAGATGTTCCTTCTCTACTGTTGGTAAGTAGTCGGTTACAAGACCCTTGGTTATGCTCTCCAGTGTCTCTCCTGGGAACCATGGCTTGCGTATGATGGATTTCGAGAACTTTTGAGGATCATTTGGCGAGTTCTTAAAGATCTCACCCGCGAGAGCGCGGTATTCTCTGATACAGGCAACAACATCCATCCGTAGACGACCAAGCATTATTGCAAGAAGCCCGCCAGAACTCGTTCCGCACATGAGATCAAAGTAGTCACATGGCTTGGGTATATCCGGAAACTCCGGAGTGTCAATATCTCGGACGGCCTCCATGATAGCCCGAAGCACCAAGGCGGAGAAAAGCCCCCGTACGCCGCCGCCGTCTATAGAGAGAATCTTGAGGCCTTGATCGAGTACCTTGGAGACCAGTCCCCTTAGGGAACGCATTACGTTCTTCAAGGAGGCGTCCGAACCATCCTTGAATTTGGTTATGTGAATATGGTCGGAAGGGATGACTCGATTGTCTTTGCCCCTCAGTGTTGACTGGCTTTCCGGGACCAATATGATCTTCTTTTGGGGGGTGGGGGTGGGGGTTGGAAGTTGAGAGTCAGTGAGATGTTTAACGACGCACACTGATCAAGGGACATACATACCTTAGATTCATCTACTTGGCTGATAGGTTCCGTCTCATAGAAGCATGCTATGGGCAACTCCAAGCCGCCCAAGGCCTCAAACTCTTGGTTGACGAAATTGACTTGATTAAAGAAAGAATCCAATTCAGAGCAATCAGAGAATGATCTCCGAATCACCTGGCGCGTGTCCTCGGATGGACCACCCTGATGGATGGTGCTAAAAAACATGAACCCGCGGATGTACGAGTGTAGTAGCCGTACCTCTGGCAATGTATCATTGTTTGATTTGATGAACAGCTGTTTAGCAAACGTACCACCGAAACTCTTGGCGATGATCACAAGCGGCACTTTGGTTCGACCATGGGTTTCACGGTCGTCAATGAGATTAAAGATGAGGTTGTCGATAGCGTGTTGATCGAGGCTGCGGATCTCGCAGGAAATGACGCGGGCCTCGGGGCAGGTCTCTGGGATAGCTTCTGCGAGCCAGAAGTACGAAGCACCAGTGCCTTTGGGAGTCCAAGTCTCCTTCCAGTGGCCAGTGAGGCCATGAATGGCAACTATGCTAGGAAGGATTAGCGTTTGCTTTTCTTCGTCTTCTTGCTCTGCTTTTCTGTCGATGGGAAAGAAAGGTGGTCAAATACTCGATTGTCGATCCCTGTCCAGGATCGTGGACGACGTGAATATCACTGCCGTTCTTCGTATTCTTCCTCATCGTTATGATCTGTAATGACTCTGACGGCGTTTAAACGAAGAAAGAGGGAAGGGGCAGGTGAATGACTATGAAATAGGCGAGTGCGGAAATGTCAGGGCGAGGACAGCTCGCTCTGCCGGGGCAGGTTGAGAGATGAAAAAGGTTTCCTACAACAACCCAATGTCGGAGGAAGTGTAATGGAAGAGAGGTACAAACGCTTAAACCCGCGCCACTTGAGAACGGCTCAGGGCGGGAAATGTCTGTCCATATGAGGCTTCGTTCGATATGGATGGGGCTGAGACAGCCTCCCTCCTCTCTTCGTCCGTTTCCACGTCCAGGTACCTCGCAAAGCAGGCATGGGCCGGACCACTTGACAGATCCCCGCTGGAGGAATAGGACGCAAAATTTACGTACCACCCGACGAATTCGATTTGTACGATTTCGGGCAGCGGCGGAACCAACGAACAAAACGCCTGCAGAAAGCCGGACGTCAGGATATGCGTACCCCCGGCCTTTCCCCCCCTTTCTCATTGCATTGGAGCCTAGGCCCTATGACTCCTATCAAAGCAATTGAAACCTCCACGGCTCATGTCCTGACCATAGTGTTAAGCCTGCCTTGATTTGGGGATGGGTCGATGGTGCTAGTTCTCCAGTCTCCCCTCTCTGTTGCGCCTCGGCACTACTGTCTGGTCCCAATACTCCAGCCAGAATAGCTAGTGGATGTGATGTATTGCAAAAGAAAGCGTATTTTCTTTTTGGACGTAATAGAATAGACTTTCCCGTGTCTTCTATTTCATGCCTTCTATTTCGTGCCTTCCTACGCGCCGGCCTTCTTCACTGATTCGAGACGTATGCAGTCGACACATTGATGGACCATGATGGTGGCGTCTGGCCTAGGATTCCGCAGTCAAGAAGAGGGTGCTAGAACGAAATGCGACTAAAAAGGACTCTTCTCCTACTATCTCCTAAAGCAGACTATATCTAGGCAATGTAACAGGGCAGAGCCTGTACGAAGTATTAATACCACAGACGAGAGCCTACTTGTCCGCCGCAAAGTCTCTCAAAAAAGTAGTCTGATGAGAACAATCATCTTCATTTCACAACCTTCTCCTCTCTATTCGTCCTTCTTTGAAGAACTTTCAAGGTGAACACGTTTCAGCTGTCCAGCTCCGACCTCTTGACTACAGCACAAACGATCTCCTGCGGCCTCTAGCGTCCAACATGGCCCCGGCGCCCCAAACAACCGACGCCGCTGTTAGTTTCCGAGGCAAAATCCCCGACATCGAATCCGCCAAAACGGAGCTTCTGGTATTCGAAGGAAACTTGGGGAAGTTGACAGCTCTATACAGCGTGAGGCCCAAAGGCGTTCGTGACGAAGACATTGAGAGCGCGGATAAAACAGTATCCAAAGCTCACCGGGCCCTCAAAAAAGCCCAACAGACGCTAGAGAGCGCAAGTGCAAGCCCGTGCGTGAGGCTTACGTGGAATCTCATCTACCAGAAAAAATATAAGAGGGAAGCGGATGAGGTGCAGAGGATAGGTATTGAAGTGGAACTGCAAATCAACAAAATGGAGCAAGCATCCGAGAACGCTCGAAACAGGCTTGTCCTGGAGCCCATCAGGAGGGAAAGGGAAGAGGCGCGGGAAGCTCTCCCCAAGGTCTATCCTGATCTCGAAATACTGAATGAGGCTACTGAGAACGGCGCAGACAGGCCGGCAAACGAGATACCGAACCCGTCGATGGGAAGCGACGCAGACACACCGGCAAGCGAGTGCAAGAGGAGCAAGTGTGGATCCATCGTGGCCACGACACTTGACTGCTAATTTTGGTGAGGAAGAGAGACACGTGCGGTCGTTTCTCTACACATGCTGTAGTGCCGTCGGGTTTAAGTGAGGAGGATGAGGGACATGGGTACAGAGAGTTTCGCAAGGACAGCTTTAGTTTTAACGTTTGGCATTGTGATGCCAGTATCTGCCTGCCTGTGTATTCTGTATTCCATAGCCATTCATTCCCATTTAACTAATCTAGATCTCCCCCCCCCCCCCCCCCCCCCCCAAAAAAAAAGGCACACCTCCACTCATGCCGCAAGTAAATACAGTTGCTTCATGTCTCCGCATTGTCGACTATCTCCATCTCCGGCTCCATAACCACTCGAGGATTTTTATACAGTTCACCTTCATGGTTGCTAAGCAGCAGCAGACCTGGCTTCACGACTAAACTTTGTTGTTGGGGTTGGCCTGAGTCGTCGAACACAAACCGCCAAGCACACGGTTCAGAGAAAACTCTGTAACCGAACTTGGCACCCTCGCCAATCACAGCTTCCAGATGGGTCCTTTGTGTGTGCAGAGTGATCGGATCTACGTCTGTGTTGGCGAACTGTCCCAGAAAACCGTTCAGGATGGCTGCGAGTGTCTCGATTTGAGTCTTGATGCTTGGCGGTGGTTTTAAGGGGGTTCGATGCGGGGGCCTTTCGTGCAGTAGATAGGCAGAGTGGCGTCTCCAAAGCATTAACGCCTTTACGATATTGACATTCCCTTCCTTTCCGTCAGCACAACTCTTCTTAAAGTTCCCCACGTTTAGCGGGGGGGAAGAGGGGAGGGGGGGGTTGTTCGGGACGCAGTTATTACCAGTCGTTGTGTGTCCGTCCAAGATGTTAGATTTGGGGAGCGACAAAATAAAAGAGTTAACGACTGGAGGAAGAAGAGAAAGCGGGCCGATGGTGTAAATGTCTATATTTCGGAATATCACAATGACCAACAAATGACGGATTGCAATGTGGCGAGTCGTTGGACTGACGGCCAATTCTCGGATCCGGTTGCAAGTTTCCTCGCTGAGTCCAAGATGGGCAAGAGATGAGCCGTCGACTTGCGGAACTGGCGAGAGATGATATTTTCTCCAGGTATGTTGTTCGATCAAATAACAGACGGAGCCAAGCTCTTCCTTGATCTCGCGATCGCTGCTGCAATCTATAAGATAGCTGTTGAACGACTGTGTGAGGAGAAGACCTGGCTCGGACTCATACGTGGTCGGCTTCGGTGTACGCCCAATGGCCAAGTTGCGGCAAAGACGGTTGCGTCTTTGGAAGCATGAGGCTAACAGAAGTCCTAGAATGATACCTAGAAGAGTTCCTGCTCCTGCGCCGATTCCACCAGCAGACCAGGTCGAAATCTGGTTACCGGGATGACCAGTTGGTGTCGGCGTTACATGTATTGTAGATGTTGCTGCTAACGTTATTGTTGTTCTCGAGTCCGCGTACGAAATGGGCCCGGAGAGCGGAGCAGATGGTGATGCTGACACTACACCCTCAACAGCCTAGATGATTGAAGTCCCAAATCAGCATCACTATGCCATTGTCATGGATCCAGCATAACGATAGTCGCGGGCAGTGTGCGGGCGGACGGAATGCGTGACGTTTGGAGCACTTACAGACGTTTCCTCTGAGAGAGCATCTCGCGAAAACCCACTGGTCGCCGCCATCCTAGAGAGCAGACTGCTGAGAGGAAGCAGCACAGGCAAGAATCGTCACGAGAAGTTGAACAAAATGGTTTAGATTGAAGGATTGATGATCGATGATACGGGAAAGCAATCAGGTCCCAGTGTCTGAACACGTACGATGGAAGGCCAAAACCACCAAACGCCAGGAAGGCTCTGTCTTATGCTTGTTTCTAGCCTCTGCTTGGCAAGTTCAGCAATGGAGAAGTGCAGCCACCCGGTCTATGTGCAACTTAATTTCGGGCTGGATTGATTAAATTCCAAAGCAATCGCGATTTCCTCCCCCATTCCCATCCTCCCTTACAAGTACACATCCGCCGCTGGAAGGACACGATTGATACAATCACACAAAGTAGAGACAGAGGAAGCAACTATGACGGGGCCATCTATAAATAGAATGAAAAATGGAAACTTATGGGTCTACGAAAAAGATATATGTCACTCCTAATGTCGAATTAGTGCAACTGAGGGCAACAACATATACTAAGGAGACCAGCATTCCCCAAGCAACTTGCGTCGAATAGACCCTATTTCACGACCCTAACAGAATGGCGAGTTGGACAGAGAGAGAAAAAGAGAGAGAGAGAGAGAGAGAGATGTGCGAGCGAGTGATAAGCGCCCTCGGTCTCATGAGAAACGCCATCAACATTGATTCATCCCAAGTACAAGTACAAGTAAGTCTGCAAACCCCCGGCTAGCTACCTCGTAGTATGAAGTAGCAATCAACTCACCGAGCTCTACATTCCTTGCGTTTGACGCTGCAGTTTTTATTCATTCTAATCGGTGACAACAACTACTTTGTACGAAAACAAGATCGGCCGGTTACCTGCCATGAACGGACGCAATAAGTACATCTGTTCAGCCGGTGCCAGCCAAAATCTCGGGAAGGATTCGTAGGACGGCCCTAAGAATAATCATGACTTCTCAGGTTGGGCAAGCTAAAAGTCGTAAATCTCTGACCGGCGAAATGCGGATGGAGACTGACGGAGCCGGCCCTGTTTCGCGTGGTAAAAAAAGAAAAAAATAACCGGAAAGAACGGACTTTTCTCCGTGTTTCCACGTGTGGTGAGGTGCAGGGACAGGGCTTGGGGACTCGGACGGGACCCCGGTGTAACGGCACCTCCGTTAACTAACCCCCACACATCTTAGATAGTAGATTGCTCATCCAGATGCTCGAAAAACTGGAATGGGAGCTGGAATGGGAGCTGGAATGAGAATGGGAAAGGTAACGGGAATGGTAACGGGAATAACAGAAACGAAAAACTTGGGAAGGCTTGGGAGGAGAATCAGTCGTACTACGAGACAACTGGGCGCGTCCCGGCTCAGGCTGTTCTCTCGTATGTTCCCCCCCTTCCAGGCTTTCTTCATGTTCAAGCAGAAGCCATCTTGTGAGGTGGGTGTCTCTGATTGCTGGCCTGACGTGATTCGCGGCCTGCTTCGGGCTTCGAGCTTCGATCCCGGGACCAGCAGTTTGAGAACACCGGTGGGGAGCACCCGCCTCTGTCGTTGGCGATACAGCTCGCTACGAATGAGGAGAAAATGACCCTCTAAATGCGTAGCTGTCGGGTCGGCCCATGGCGTTTTTGATCCATTCACCCACACCTGCATCGATAACCTGGAGGATGTCTGTATTGTCATATCCCCAACCTTTGACTTTGGGGTTTTCCATATCGCTTGGCGTACTTCCGAGAGCCAGAGACCAGGGTTTTCGGTAGGGATTGAATCTGAGGTTACATTTCAGAAGCGTTGGAGAAGCGGCGTATTTCGGGGCTTTGGTTTGCGGAGTCTTTACAATTTCATACTTGTAGTGTATTATTAGTGGTATTATTCCCGCTACGTTGCTAACCTGGAGAGGCTAGCCCGCAAAGCTTCTTTGGACTGCTTGTAAGTTTATTTTAGAGGCTTTGTTTATACCGATTCCCGTTCGGATCCCTCAGTATAAAAGATGCCCGACCCGAGATCCCACCACAGATCTCTCGAAATCTCCCGAGGGCCGAGGATACCAAAAGCATCCCGCCATGCAGCCACCATTTCGCGACTCAGCACTTTTTCGTAAAACCGCTGAATCCTGATCTAGGGAACCCTTTGATCTTTGGACGAATCCAAGACGCCCTGCTGACCACTCCGCTCCAACCTCGCCGTCCCATTGGTCACGTCAGCAATAAAGTGAGCTTGAAACGAGGCATGCCCAGCAACGTCGTGTAACACAAGATGCACCACGGGCTGTACGGGATGTGACACGTCAGCCTGAGGTTCTTGCTCATCGGGACGGGACCAACAGATGGAGGAGAACCAACAGGACTCACTGGTTTTAAAGCGTTGATAAAGGGAGCAAAAATTCCGGCTCCTGGGGACAGGAGCTGCGGACATTTTTGTAGCACGTATTTACCTCCACGAGGAATTCGCCAATAACTTTTCACCGAAACGTCATGGACCAAAGGAATAGAACGAACAAGTCTCTCCTTCCATGGCTCTAAGATCACCGTGAAGACAGTCATTTTTCTCGTCGCGGCAGCTGTCCCTCCTTCGTTTTTTTTCATTCCTTCTCTTTTCCTAGACGTGTTTTCCGTCTGGCATTCCTTTCCGCCTACTCCCTTCGGAAATAAACAGCCCAGAGCTCTCTAGCTCCTCTTCATCCCAATCGACTCTCATCTCACACCGACAAGATGAGTGCTACCACGGCAGCCCCGGTCGGCGGCTCCAAGCTCGACGCCGAGCCCAAGAAGCTCTCCGGCCTCAACCTCTACTCGCGCTACGCCTTTTCCGGCGCCGTGTGCTGCTCCGTCACCCACGGATCTCTGACCCCCGTCGACGTGTAAGTGCACTCCCCAATTCAATCGAAGGAAGAGCTCTCCAAGCTCTATTCGCGATGGAAACAATCCGCCGTCCATTTCTTTCATCCACCCTCACGACCGGACCCCAATAACTAACACCCTGCCCCCTCCAAACCCAGCGTCAAAACCCGCATCCAACTCGACCCCAAAACCTACAACCGCGGCATCTTCGGAACCTTCCGCCAAATCATCCGCGCCGAAGGAGCAGGCGCCCTCCTCACCGGCGTCGGCCCAACCTTCGCGGGATACTTCCTCCAAGGCGCCTTCAAGTTCGGCGGCTACGAATTCTTCAAGCAGCAATCCATCAACGTCATCGGCTACGAGAACGCCCGCCAGAATCGCATCGCAGTCTACTGCGTGTCGTCCGCCTGTGCCGAGTTCTTCGCCGACATCGCGCTGTGTCCGCTCGAGGCTACGAGGATTCGGTTGGTGAGTGAGCCGGGGTTCGCGAGTGGCTTGGTTTCGGGGTTTGGTAGGATTTTGAGGCAGGAGGGTGTGGGCGCTTTTTATTCCGGGTTTGGGCCTATTCTGTTCAAGCAGTACGTTTTGGCACCTCATGCCGTTTCTTTTCCCCCTCTCTTCTTTCTTCTTCTCTTTTTTTTTTCTTGGTGTTGTTACTCACATAGAGTTTAGAGTTCCCTACACAATGGCCAAATTCGCCGTCTACGAAAAAGTAGCCGAGCTCGCCTACACCAAATTCTTCGACAAGTCCAAGACCAGCGACGCCATGCAGACGGCCGTCAACCTCGGCTCCGGCCTCATCGCGGGCTTCGCCGCCGCCATCATCTCCCAGCCCGCCGACACCATGCTCTCCAAGATCAACAAGACCAAGGGCGAACCCGGCGAGAGCAACACCTCGAGGCTCATCAAGATTGGCAAGGAGCTTGGGGTTCGTGGGTCGTTTAGCGGGTTGGGCGCGAGGTTGGTTATGGTTGGAGCTTTGACGGCTGGGCAGTTTGCTATTTACGGTATGTCATCGAAGAGAAAGAAGGAACAGTATTCGGGAAATGATAGCTAGCTAACACACGTCTCTCTTCTGCAGGTGATCTCAAGAAGGCGTTAGGAGCTGTGAGTCATGTCCCCTTACCCCTTATCCCTTATCCCCTCTCTGCATTGAACAGCACCGCTGACCATTCCCGATAGGTTGGAGGTGTTGAAATTGCAAAATAGACAGGCGCGAAAGATGTAGTGTAAAAATGATGATATCAATAGAGAAATAGAGGTTCTCGGGAGGGTCCCCAAGGCAGTTAGTGAGTTTCCTGGCTGCAACCGTGCTGCGGCCCTCTTGGCTTTAGTTGCGTCGCTCGTTACAGTCCCCAAAATGCGATGGCAATACAGTCCAGTGTAAATTTCTATTTTGATCTCACCAAAACGTGTACAAAATAACTGGCTCGGTATCCCCTTTGTCCACAATCATCCGCACCGCATCCAAATGTCATAATATGGGAAAGCCATGTTACTCCAAGATAATGTGTTTACCAGCCGACCTTTGGCCCTGAATCCCATTTTCTATCAGTCATGATATGCGTGTTTGTTTCAATGATCCTGAAAACACAAAAGAAATATATCTTGAAGCGAATGCATAAATGGTCCACGACTTTTTCGTGGCCTTTTCCATAGACAAAAAAAAAAAAAAAAGAAAACTCCTCTTTGCTTCTTCTTCTAATGCAGCTTTTCCTTGAGATGGACGGATGTTAAGAACCCCGAGCAGCACTTGATGCCCATCTCATGTCTACACCAGGGACACCTCACCGCGGCGGACCCTCGCTTTTCGGGCGCTTTGAGCGTATAGGCGGGTATGGTCGGCGTGCTGCTTCTGGTGTCGCCGTGGAGTTTCATTCGCTCGTACACTCGAGTCGGCATGTCGTGGAAATACCGGCAGCTGCAGCACTGCACTAGTACCTTGGACAGGGTCTCCCCAACATGCGCCTCAGAGACGAGGGTCCGTCCTCGAGGCGGATTTGACAAGGGCGAAGCCCCGCTAGGACGAGGGCTACCCTTTGGGGTCGCCGAGCCGCCAACCCTCCTCACATGGTCGAGATAGGACGCTAATGGAGGTGTCTTGGTTTCGCGCGAGACAACGCTAGTCTTCGAGTCCGTGTTCAGAGACACTCCGTCATCGTTGTACACCTTATCGCGCCGATTAGGCCTAATTTGCGGAGATGATGCCCCGCTGCCTCTGGTGAGCGTGTCGGGGTTGGAGATGTTGCTGTCGATGGAACCCGTTTGGTTGTGCAGAACAAGGGGTGGTGGGATCAAAGAGACGTCGAGAAGCTGTCGGCCGCTCTTCATTTTGAAGGGCGCCGTGACGTGGACCCATTCGGCATCAATTTCCACCTTCAGGGGCCACGTATTTGGTTCCGTCTTCGGCTGGCTCGTAACTGGAGCTACAAGTGTCTCGGTACCACCGCTCATTCGAAAGGCCCGCCGCGCGTTCTTTGGACCCGGCGGCGGTGTAGATACGTTTCTAACGCCTCCTAGCGTCGGCCGTGTACCGGATGGCAAACCTGATTTGCCGTCGTCGTCATCGTCGGGGAGAACCTTTTGGCCGTCATCAGCATCGGCAGTACTCACAAGGCCCCTTTCGGACTGGGGGCGTGAGGTGTCTGGAGTTACCGTAGAGAGATATTGAGAGTGTGCCGTGTCATAGGAAGAGATGGATGAGTGATCCGAGGGACGCACCGCGTTGTTCTGGTGTGTGAGTGGCGGACGACCCCTAGTCTCCGCAGTATCCCTAATCTCTGGAACAGTTTCTTTGCGTGACCACGGTGCTGCAGTGTCTGTTGCCTCGGGCGTTGGAATCGCTGGTGGCGTCGTGATAGCCGCAATGTCGGGGAACGGGCTTGTCCGTCCGCTTCCAATAGCCGTGCCAGCAGGCGACACTTGACCGGAGACTAAGCTATTCCTCCTTCCTCGTACTGCGGAGGGCGACCTGATGTGGAAAGCAGCTTTGGCTGCATCCCTGAATTGCCGGATGGCGCTTGCTCTCCGTGGTCGCTCTGCTTGGTGAGGTTTCGCATCTTGATTCGGCTCAGGAGGCGCGGGTTCGGGTTGTTCCGTTCGTTGATTTCGAGGCTTCATTGGTGACAACAGGTTCGTGCGCTTCATGCCGAGGAAGGAACTCCCCCGGCGCCTGTGTTGGGGCCGTTCTGGGTCTGTGGCGGTAGCTGGATGAGCGGGAGCAGAGGATGAAGACGGATTCTGCTTCTCCGGCTTAATGGGGCGCGTTTCTTTATTACCCTCCAACATAGGGTTCTTCAACCGTTTAGGACTAGGAAGAACCACGTCCTTCTCTGATGGCACTGGCGCGCCTTCATTCCGACGAGGTCCACTGTCACTAAGATCAACACTGTTAAGTACGGCGCTAAGAGCGGCTACATCGCTGAGACCTTGGTTCCCGAGACTCTCGCTTGTTTGTGGCCTACTCCGATTGGGCCCTTCGCCAGTCCATGGTCGGGAAGCGGAAGGCAAGCTGTCGAGTGCGGCACGAGAGCCATTCTGCGAGCTGTAAGGATCTCCAAGGCCCTCTCTGCTTGCGGGTGGTTGTAAATCCGCATCCGTACTGACTTCTGGACGGACGATGGGCGACCGGGATGACGACCGGGATCGAGAGATAGGTGCTGGTTTTCTGAGAGCGGTGGGCGGGCCGCGGTGTCGGTGCTGCGGGGGAAATGTGAGAGCCTGAGGATTTGCGATGATGTGGGGAGCCATGCTTGAGATCGACGCTGCACTGCAGGTTGATGAGCGCGAGTGAGATCGCCCCACGCTGGAACCTCCGGGTTGTCTATACATGTAGCGTGCAGGGATATTGTAAGATTCTCCGCCAGGACCCACCTGACGATTCGCCCACTCAGCTTCAGCCTCCCGCTCCTTCTGTAGCTTAATCCCCCCCATGAAGCTTGACGACCGCTCACCACGCGGGGTAGTGCTCCGGCCTCGAGGCAGTTCGAAAGACGCCTTGATTTTGGATGCGATGGAAGAGACCGACGTGATCGAGTTCATAGAGTCGGACCGGCGACGTGACTGCCTCGTTCCAGAGTCGATAATGCTGCTTGGATCTCCGTACGAGTTGGAACGTTGGTGGCTCTGAACGTCATATCCAGGTGCAGTCGATGGGACAGGGACTGAATGGCGAGCGAAAAGCTGAGGTGTCCTCGATGCAGATGGTGGCGGTTTCTGCAGCCTTGGGGTCTTGGCAGCACGCTTCGCCTTTTTATCCTGTTTCCGCTTCTCGCGTGGTGATTGGGTGCTGGGGGAGGCAACGTCGACATCGACCTCACTGCTCTGCGCGGCGTTGGCGAGAGTCATGCCCATCCGGGTCGCTGCGGCAGTACCTAAGGATTCTCGAGCCCTAGCAGAGTAGGATCCATTTTGAAACAGGTCGGATTGGCTACCAGCTCGTACCGTTCCAGGGTCTTCAATTGTGATTCTGCTGTTACTGGCCCAAGTTTGGGTTGGAAGGTTTACCGATGAGTGCTGCGGAGTAGAGTTTAAGGAGGTGCTTTGCCTGTTGGTCCGGCTGGGAGAATCCGTGAGCAAGCCAGGAGCAGGTTTGCGATCTCGAGGTGCAGCTTTTAACCTCTCCACCTAAAATCACAAACAAGTTAGTCTGTGTTTCAGGCCATATAAATCTTGAAGAATTTGGATGAAAATATCAGACCCGCCGTGGATATGGGTATGAGTACGTCGCCATTGGGGGTTTGTATGGTCTGGCGACGGCCATCTCGAGTAACAGTGTGGCGATGATTGTGGATGAGGTGAGGTGAGGTGAGGTGAGGTGAGAGTGACCGATGGGGAGGGGGTTGGCTATTTAGACGCATGAGAGTTGATGATTCTTACCCGGATCTTTTTCTCTAAATCTAACATCCGCTGTACGCTACTCGACCTTGACCGTCGCCGTTTTACCGGCGGTTGCTCTTGGGCGGCCATCATAGTGGGCGGAGCATAAAGACGTCGTTAGGCAGTATGGTGTGGCATGCGGAACGGACTTCCGGGGTAGGTGCAGAACCTGGTGTACTCTCCTCTATTGTCTCTTGTCTTTGACTCTCAGGGATTTTCAACCTAGTTTCGGATAAAACACCGGGAGTGAGATTTTTTCGGGCCAAGCAAAGGCGGCCGAAGCGAGCAGGAAGAATTAGGGTAAAGGAATTGAAAATATGAAGGATGTCGAAGAAGAGTGGCGTGAAAGTCCGGAGGCCCGATTTTCATGCGCGTAATACCGCCTTGGTCGTACAAGAACAGAACACAGGGACGAGGCCCTTAGACGGGACTGGATATATGATGGGCACAGGTCCCCAGATCGAGAACCCTGAATCCCCCGGTTTCCGATCTTGTCCAGCTGAGGAACCGGACGAGAGAGATGCGCTGGGTAGGTCGAGATGCACGCCGGACGACGGATCTAACTTGGGCCAGTTGTCGGGGTTGTTGGACGCCTCAGCAGTGTTACGATATGAACTGGTGCTGGAGTGCTAGAGCTCTTGGGTTTGCTAGGGCGCGAGTCCTCCCTCCATAAAGCAACTTCGAGGGCGAAGATACTAAGGTCAAGCTCGATAAAAGAGAAACAGAAAGCAGGTACAAGAGACAAAAAATCAACTAAAATATACACAAGGGGCGAAGAAAGGTCCGGTTTCAGCGACGTGAGCAAATCGGTGGAGCTAGCCAAGGAAATGTGTGTTGAGATTAGATGGAGAAAATGCGAGACACTGCGCAGGGTCGGAGCGATGGGAGACACGAGAGGGAAGAAGGGTCTTGGTCTTGGTGTGGAGACATCACGGCATCGCAGGATCGAGGGTCCGAAGGTAAATACAAGAATGCAAGAAAGGAAAAGAAAAATCAAATATTAATCCAGCCGCTGGGTGATGTCGAGGGAAGAAAAAAAAAAAGGGCTAGCTGCAAAATGGAAACGAAGGTCGAGAGAAAAGGCAGCGCTGGATATTAAGCAGTTGCAGAACAATTCCAGGCTGGAGAATGTATGACAATGACAAAAGCTGACGAGGCAGAGCGACGCTCTTTTATGAGATTGAGAGCAACGATTGAATGAGCTAGAGAGAGGCGATGGTTAGGCCACAACAGACGCATTAGCGGCTGGCCATGTCCGGTGGGCCTGGCCACTAGAATTAGACCTGGCAGGAGCAACAAGACGATCAACATCAATCCGCCATCATAATTGATCAATGTGGACGCCTGGTCCAAGACTGCTGCACCTAATCCACTCGCCTGCTGTCCGTACTTCGTATGGGCTGGGCGAGGTACGAAGTAAGAGTACGAACAAGGTTTTGTATGGTAGAAGCAGCAAGGGGGCGGAAATACGTGGTGACACACGAGATGGTCGTACTCATACATTTGACGATCCATGTGCATGTACACTCCCCTAGCTGGCTCACGAGGAAGCAGTTCTCCAGCCAAGTGGTGTACCATGCTGGAGAAAAGGGAGGAGCGGCAGAAAATAGTGGTGACATCACCAAGCCAAGACGGCGGCGGAGACCGAAAGTTTCAATCAACGAAGTGGAAGGAGGGATGAGAAGCTGGAACGGGTTTTGAGACTAGGTCAGATCCGGGTAAATATCAGCTTGCATTGATCTGACATCTCAACCTCAAATCTGGTGCGGGCCCGGTACCGATGTGGTTACGTAGTACATAGTACGGAGCATGACCCATTTCTTCTCTTATTTGTCCACAGAATCAACCACGTCCAGAGAGTCGAGTGTCTGATGGAGTGGAAGAAATGTTCGAAAAACCAATTGAACAGGGGTGATGACAGCATCGTGAGAACCATGGGAAAATCAGTTGGTCGGGCGGATTAGAACGAAGGAGAAGAAAAGCTGGACCGAGCCAGGCATCAGCCACATGCCAATTTACACCAGACTGGCCAGATGCGCCGCGCCTGCCCGTGAAGCTGTCAAGTTGCATAGCTTCGTACCAGTAGTCAGTGTCAACGGTCGCAGCTTCCTCGGCGATTTCTCAACTGAAGCAAGCAAGAGGCAAGAGACCCTCATTACACGACGAAGTACCACTCGAACGACGAAGTTGGAAACTGCACCAGCAATACTTGCATTAATGTATCGATACGACTGACTGACGATAGCTGCTGCCCGCGTCGGACTGGGTCATTGACGGTATAATACGAGAAAATTTCCAAGCCACGACCGTCCTTCCTTCCTTTTTTCTTCCTGGTGGGGCTACTTGCCCCGCCAGGAACCGCCAAGCATTAAGTCTCCTCCATGCCCATGTCCATTTCCAGGAAACACCCAGTTCAACGATCCCCTTTTCATTGCATCATTGTAACAGATATCCTCCAGATTCTCAAGAAGGAAATTCGATGGAAGGAGCAAAGAAGCGGAAGGGAGTGCACGGTTAATTGAAAAAGAGAGAGATAAGCACTTCGTACCGAGGATCGATGAGATATCGCATCCGTCGTTGATGGCAGATACATCCATGTCATCTTGAGATCCCGCAACCGCCCTCACTGCGACCTCATCTGATACAATACCCCGGTCTCACTCAGTGGACAGAAGGCAACATATGGGGGAGACGGTCACATCTTGATCAATGAAGATGCCTGATACTTGGGGTTTGGTGGGTGTGAGTGTACATGTGCGGACAGGACAATTGGAACCGCAGGGCCTCTAGCAGCACGCAAAACATCGTAGGTTGCACCAGAGGAAGGAGAGGAAGCAAGACCGTGGTTGATGACTGGACAGCTTCTCTGCGAAGTTGGTCCCACACACCCTGTAGCTTGGGGTGTCCGCAACATCCCAGAGAAATTTTGAAGGAGAAAGTGACATCAGTTCCGACTCCATGTGAAGCTTCCTCGGGCATAGATACTCGGAATAAGTGTTAAGTTCAACGTTACCTCGTACTTCGTGGAGGCTTTGATCAGTGGGGAGCGTCTCCAACGGAAGGCCGACCCGGGGTCTCATCAATGTAAGGAAGCTTCGAAGAAGAATGGAACAAAAAGAAAATATTAAACGAACTACGAAGTAGTTGATAATAAACGGCAAGGGTCTGACGTGGACTTCAAAAAGTCCCTTATTTCTGCATCGAACACAGAGATGTCATTTGGAGATATTACTTTTTCCCTCCTTATTCCTGTGCTTCACCTTTGTACTTCGTCTCTCACTCCTCACGGCCAGAATATCCCCAAACATTCCCAAATCGTCGGTCGGTACTTGCACCACAGCAGATTCTTAGCGAATGATGCAACACCAACCCACCCACATGTACGTGAACCTGCTCTCATTTCTGGATCCCATCTACATGATACTGCCCTCATTAATTTTGCCCTGTCCATCCCCATCCATCTTTATTTTTATTTATTTTTTTTCCTTCTTTTATTCTGCGAAAATTATAGACTTTCTGCTATATAGCTAAGAATGTCATTCTCAATCCATGTAAAATCTCTTATTTTTCACAATTTTCTCACCGTTCGCGGGCCGTGCCAAACAGTTTCAAGAGAGATCCTTCTGTGGAAATGGTCAGATCGAGCAGCCGTTCTCAAAACAGTAGAATGAAATAACTGGCAGAGAGACCCCAAAATATACACCTCAGTGCAACCCTTCGCCGGAGCTTGCCAATCCGCCCCGCTTGTCTGCAGCCTCCAACATGCGCCTAGCTGAATCGTAAGGGCAATACGAACTGCAAGGTCCGATTAATTCGAGTTAGCACGACTCGCCACATCACCGGATTTTCCGAATGGCTGCAAATGGCATCGTCTCGCCGAGCCCAGGGTTTCATCGTCTCATGGGATATCCCTGGGATCCGCGTCCGCGCCGCTTCTTGCGTGCTTTGAACCGCAGACGCCATGAATACCTCATAACCCTGCCAATAGCCCAATATCACCTAACCTCCAGGGTTGTGGTCGAGGACAGCTGAAAACACCTCAATGCCCAGCCTGGGTCCTAGGTCGACACGCACACATCTAATGCAGGTGCTCCGGGCCCGTATCAACGGAATCCCTGTGTATTGGCTAAAAATCGCCCAGCGAAGCTCGTGGATGAGACCAGACAGACGACACACGTCGAGGGGCTGATCTTTCACACCGTGTTGTGCATGAAGCTGTGTCGGACTGCCTGGCGCTAGGAGACGCACCAGACCACGTTGCGACCGAGGGTCCGAGACGCATTCATTTTGCCCCCTTCAAAGTTGTTGAAGATTCGGCGAGCATCGTTCAAGGAGTGTCACTTCGGTTGAACACACCCGGGCAGAAAGCGAAGCAGGTCTTGGCGCATGCGAAGCCTCTATTTATCAATAGAGCCTTTCAATCATGTCAATGTTCTTTCTTTTTTTGTTACCGAGCGGCAATTTAGCAGCCACCGCTCTCCCGTGTCTGACCCCCGGCCGCCCGACTCCATGATCTCATCTGACACTTCATCTAGGCTTTCTTTTATTCTTCTCCCAGAGTAGCGGAAATAACGGAGAGCGGCAAGCACACATCGCTTACGAAGATAAATCACCGCATGCGGGGGGCTCACAGGAAAAAAACAAGAAGGAAAACCACCAGATGATCAAAGCAAATGCCCAACAATTAGCGTCGATGTCCCTGCTTAGACACGTCGTTCGAGGCCCAGGTAACACGGGCGGTCATCTCGGTCGAAATTGCACCTTGTTGGAGAAGCCGACTCATGCATCCAATCCCGGGGATATATTCAACTACCGCTCTAGATCCTTCCTTGCGCTACCCACCGCCCCTCCCTTTCATTGCCCTTTACCCACCGAAATTTGCTGCTCGGTTTTAGCCAGAAGGTGATTATGCCCCGTCTCCGCTCCAATCTACAGCTGTGCATTTCCTGGATCTACATGGAAACCGAACGTTCGCTTCCCTGGCAGACAGAGTCCGAACCGGTTGGACGGCTAGTGGGCTAGGCCCCCACACCTCCCTCTTCTCCCCTCGCCTTTGCCAATTCGCTTCACGACGAGATCGTGGGGAAATGGGA